ACAGCTTCCAAGATATCGAATACATGTGCGTTTCCCAACAGCTCCCCCAATGCGTTCAAGTTACTGATGTCCCCGAAGTTACATTGTGGTAGATTTGATGAATGGCGGCGATCTGCGATTCCATATCTCAAGAAAGTGTTTCACCGAAGAAGCCGTACGATTTTGGGCGGCGGAACTGGGCTGTGCTTTGCGGTACATTCACTCGCAGGGTATCATCCATCGTGACGTGAAGCCCGACAATGTGCTATTAGACTCGGAAGGACACGTGCATTTGGCCGATTTCGTATGTTTCTCTTCAGCAGCTGGACGAGATCTTTCGCTGACCTGATTCCTACAGAATGTGGCCTCTGACTTTCGGCCCGGCAAGCCCCTCACGAGTAAATCTGGCACGCTGGCCTATCTGGCCCCCGAGGTTTACGAAGGAGGCGGGTACTACAGCGAAGTCGATTGGTGGTCGCTTGGCGTGACCTTTTATGAATGTATTTATAACAAGGTTTGTGGAGTGATCCTTGGAACAAGGCCGAGTCGGCACGCTAATTCTCATTCCAGCGTCCATTCGAGGGCCGCAGCCAGGACGTGCTCAGCGAAAACATCAAAAAGGCGCAACCGAAGTACTACGTCACGAACCCAGCCGTATCTGTCCCGTGTCTTCGAGCGTTATCCGCCCTGATGGAAAAGGACCGTTCGAAACGAATTGGAGCCACCGGCTTTGAGACATTTACATCGCACATGTTCTTTGCCGACATCGATTTCGAGGCCCTGGAAAGAAAGGAAATCCCCCCCGTGTTTCGACCCTCCAGCGACAAGACCAATTTTGATGCCACGTACGATCTGGAAGAATTACTTTTGGAAGAGGCGCCGCTCGAGGCCAGGGCCCGCAGACAAAAACCGCGGGCGGAATTGCGGGAAGACGCCACGGCGAAGGAGATCCGGGAGGATGAGCTACATCGCCTCATTGAGACGATGTTTGAGCCCTTCGATTATACTCGGGTGTCCTACAATGGGTATGTCAACGTCACCGACAGCGGTTGTGTTTTGATAAGTGGTATGTGATCCGCTAACCGAAAGTCTAGAAGCGCTGCCGAAGCCATTGCCAATTCATCGTGAGTATTCCCTCGTCGCTGTCAGGGGGCCGAACCCGTGGCTAACTTGACGCTAGAAACCCCGAAGAATGTCTTCCCATTCAATCCGCATCCGCCCACACACGGCAAGTCTCACAACCTGATCTTTCGAGAAACTCACCGCCTCCACGGAACGAAGGATCGGTCGGTCACTTGACCCAACCCGACACTCCCTCCCCCCAGAGCGAGACCCCGACTTCTCAGCAATCCCTGCCACCGCCGCCACCGCCACCGCCGGCCCCAGCTCCTTCTTTCAGCAGACCGCTACCACCACCCGCAGCTGGTCGTCCCCGGGGCGCAACACGGAAAGCTAGCAAAGGTGGCGGCGTTCAGATGGTCTTAGAGGAAGCCGGAAGTTGGAGTGAGCTCGCGGATCATAGCTCTACTCTCCCGGCTGAAGGATACGACACCGTCACCGGTAAAGGCAAAGGCTCGAACAGCGGCATGCTTGCTTTTCTGAGTCGGAAAAAGGGACGCGATAGGAGTCCCAAGCCCCAAGAACCTGGTGTTCTGGGCAAAGAAGGTGCAAGACAGATCATCAGTTGAGATGGGTGTGTTGCGCCTCTACCATGGGAGAGAAGAGATACTTTCGGCTTGACTTGAGCATCATTGGACACGAGAGCTGATGGTCGGCGTCGGCTTGAACAGGAGAAAGCTTGGCTTGCGAATCAGTGTGGCATAGATTCCTGTCAGCCTGAGTCGTGGTCCAAAGGCAGCTAGCTATGTATCCTGGATGGAATCGTGAAGACTGCAGGTCAATTGGTTCACTCTTACCAAACTTACACGCCGCATCGATCCAGGGTGGTGGTGCGGCCGCAGTGTTTTGTGTCCGCCGCAACGCCGGGGTATCTTACTCAACTGAATTTGTTTCCATTACGCCGACTGACTCGAGCTCGGAACTCGACTTTCCAGTCACTAAATCGACCCGAAAGGAGTCTTGTGATACGACAGCACTAATTCCCTACCGGTTCTCCTATCACCCCTCAGGACCAACACGGATCATCCACAACACTTAATTTTGGCTTGTTTTGTGATTCACCCGGATCCAACGCAGACACGGGGTTTCTTCGACCATTCTCCCCGAGACGTGCTCGGGAGTTGTACAGACAGGAGTGGCACACGAACCGTTTATAATATACTTGATCGATTTTCATGTTCAGTCTTTTGTGGCATGCCCGATGATGGTTGCGTTGTATTCTACTTTCTGTTGTTGTCATCCGCTCTCCCTTTAAATTTTCTTGCGGCGTTTGCATACCCCTCCGGCTAGTCTTTGCCCTGAAGTTGTTCTGTTTCGTCGATCTTTTCATGAAGAGAGGTAAAGACCGGGGCAGGGTGAAGGTCTTTCTACATCTGTAACTAATGATTTATTACCCTGATTATACCTATAGACGTGTCGTGGAAACCTGTTGGGATGCAGATTGGTTGAATATGATGCATATGTCGTGTGAATTTGTTTAGTTCGGACAACTGAAACTATTTTGAGCTTCCTTTGGCCCACTGCTGTTGTGAAGCAGCTCCTCGAGGTTGCTTTGCGAGAGATCTTGAGGGTTTTAAAATAGCTTCACGTGTTGTACCAAGGAGAACTTATTTTGGCCAGAGAGGGAGAGTGACAACCATAGTTGATAGGCCCGGAACGCTGCACTCATAACCAGATGTCTCCAACTTCACCATGCATCCCCCCTGTCTTGTTGTATCGCACCTAGTTCTCCTGCCTCCTGGTGCTCAGGCATTATTTCGTAAATCACGACCGTCGGGAGATGGAGTAGAGGTTTCGAAAGTCGAACCCGAATCAAGGTCTGGTACAATTGCGGCCATTTTGCTGATTCGTCCTCTCCAGGTAATTGCAACCTTAGCCTTTACTGTACACAGAGACTCTCTGTCTTGTTCATCTCACACCAAATTCCCATCAGAAAACAAAGTATCATCCAGGTTACTCATGTCATCGAATTTGAGACCAGGTCCATAACCTACACCAAAAGAACAGGAAGAAGGGAGCCAGGTATCTGCATCCCGCAACTCCAGATGAATCAATCAACAGGCATGCCGTAAGTGGGTCGTGGGCGGAGATATTTCTGATCATCATTCTCTAGCGGTTCGGTTCACAGGGACTTACGTGGCGAATGAACGCCTACCATATTCCCGCGGACCATCTCCTGTCCTGCACGTTCGGTATACAATGTTTACCTGAGGATCTGTCATATCTGTCTATTCTTGAGATGGAGTCTTCGCATCTCCGCGCTGATGACGTTACTGAGACCGAGACCCAGACAATCCCCAATGGCCTGAAGGGCACGTTAAGAGAACCCATGCTGCTACCACTTTCTGTGACACGGCAACGCAGCTTCCGTAGCTATTATCGGGGTACACAGCCTTTTGGTCGGATGTTGATAAGCGTAGTGCCTTGCTTGAAATACCCTGTTAGCTAGACTGAGAGTTCACCGGTCGACCCGGGGTGGCGCATGCTTCACGTATCCTTTGAGGAGATGAGTTTGGCAAGTGAGGAGTTGGCTAGGACCTTTGCGCAGCTATCTCGAAGCTATCAAGGATTGATTCCTCTGCCGCTTGACTCAACACATGCAGTGCTGGATCTTAGTGATGAGAGGAAGCTGGTTGCGTCAACCTTGATCATTCTCCACGGAGAATCGAATTCCATATATTCGACGCCTCCAACACACGTAAACCGAGAGCAATGGTCCGATCAGCTCTGGGGGATATTACTCCAGCCTCGAGGTGTACCTCTGACAAGCTTGAAACATGGGGGCTGAACGTTCAATTCCAACACTCATATGCATGATATTGTTCCCGCAGTATCATCGTTCACCCCTGCGTGAGTCGCCTAACGAGATCGAAATGGCATGGCAACAGGGGTCGGTCGCCTCTGAAAAATCTATATCATGAACAACCAGAGATTCTGCCAACAGACTAGCTCTAGAGCATATCATCTGGACTACTGGCCAGGACGAAGATCACAAATTATACCTGGCCTGAGGTTCAAAGTCAAAACCCATCCGAAGTCGTGAGTGCGTTCCTTTTTTATGATGTGAGTAGCACCATCAGTGCGTGTGTGTGTGTCAGAGAGAGAGAGAGAGAGAGAGACAAAGAGACAGAGAGAGAGGCCCCCAGCAATGATTGACCAAGAAAGATCATGGGCTGGCTCATCCACAGAATCTTGCAGCCCCAACCCCAGGTCCCCCAGTATCGAAGCGAAGACACCTGTGTGGCTGTCCTGAGTCCTGAAATATACTCTGCCCACTATCCATGCCAACAGCTATTCTAAGAAAGCATATCGCATTAGAGTAGACGGATGATCGGATGTCCAGCTGCAAACCAATCCAGCCATAGAACAAGCTATGTTCAGGCAGGGGATGAGCACTGTCGTTGCTGATTAGAGCTGAGGCCCTCATGTGGCGGACTTCGAGAAAAATAGAGAAGATAGGACACCTCTCCGAAAACGCGAACAGGAAGAGACATTGAGATTAACAGCCGCACCGATAGTGCTTTCTCGACTTACCTGGATAGGCAAACACTCGGCTGAGATGCATGTGCTCTAGCTGATGCCTGATGCCCCCCCGGCGGATGTAGCCTAAAAGGACGCAAGGGAAAGGGAAGAGAGGGCTTTTCTCCATGTCATAAACTAATTTCACGGCCCGAACCCAAGTCTATAAATACGTATTCCGCACAGACAGGCGAAGAAGATACTCAGACACCAGACAACATGGAGCGCCTACCCAACGAATTGCTTTTCATAATCGGAAAGCACACTATGGACCGAAGGCGCCCCGCGAAAACACTGTGCTCCCTGACCCTGTGCTCTGGACGGTTGCATGCATTGTTCCAACCTTTATTACTTTATCGCATTAATCCCGACTGGTCTATCCGATTATACGCCACTGGAGACACCCCGAGCTGGCTAGGCAGGTGCGGCGTTTGGTGATTTCATGGCTGGACTGTGACGGTGGACCCTGTAAAAAGCTAGGCGAGGACGAAACCGTGGGGGACGAAGTGGTCGAATCTGTCGATGCTGCATTGGACGAGATTTTTGAGCCGGAGGAAGAAGACATGAGGACCGAATGGAGAAAGCATCTGCTGACCCTCTGCGAGGAGGCCTGGTTAGGGCTTCTTCTCGCCCGCACCACCCATCTGGAAACCATCGAGTTCTCCCACCGGTCCACGGAGCTGATGTCGGACATTCTGCGCAAGGCCGCATGGCGCCAGCGACCCTTCCACCGTACCCCTCCCTTTCCCCATCTCCAAGAAGTCTTCGTCTCATCCCAAACGGCCGATACATGGGTGGATCCCGTGGGCGAGTCGTACCGGGACGGCCCCGAGAACTGGTCGCGGGAGATCCGCCATTGTTCACGCCCGGTGCGTAAGTTCACTATCAGGCCGGCGTGGTGGTGCCACGGGAGGCTCGACTGGCTCGCCGCGAGCCCGGCGCTCGAGCATGTCGCTCTGGTCTTCGGACTGCACCCGGATGAGGACCATCTGCCGGATAAGTGCAAGTTCCACGCTCCGGAATTCCGCCACGCGCTCCTCCCATTCACCAGGACGCTCCGGACCCTTCACCTACAGGTCGAAGACCTGTTTGAGGAGGACTGGCGGTCGGCCACCAACGACAGGCAGCCGTTTGCATCCCTCCGGAAATTCGCCGTGCTCGAGGAGCTGCGCATGCGGTGGGTACACCTCCTGTAAGCCCCCCTCGCCCGGGTTTGCCGCTTCCGCGGGAACAAGATGCGGTCGCTCGTGGAGCACCATGATATCGATCTGCTGTCGCAGTTGTCGCGGTTGGTGCAGCACCGGACCTCGTTCCCGCGATTGAAGCGAGTTGGAGTTTACGTGAAGGAGGTAGATGGAGACCTGCGGAGCGCTTTGCAGCAGGAATTCGCGTTCACGGGGATTGACGTGGCGGTGGAGGTACAAGAATCCAGATGGTAGGAGATGAGGATCCTTCATGGGATGAAATGGAATTAGCATCAGCTTGCACGAATTGGATAGCTTATACCTACGGCATCAACTATCCACGAACCTGGTTCTTCGACTTGCTTTGCTTGCTTTGAAAAGGTTTGCTTAAATTGCAAGTGCTTTCTTTCTCTTTGACTCTGGGACCACCTACTTTGTTCTCACAGTTCTAAGCTCGTGTATAGTGATTCATAGCGCAGGTTGTGGCCCGTCTGCGCATTGAAGCAGTATACGCTCGCAGGACAGTATCAATACTGTACGAGAGTATCATACTCTGGTACCGGAAGGACCTTACCATACCACTAACTACCGGAAGGCGGGTAAGGCCCGAGCGGCAGGACCCGCTAATTTCCTGTATGATACCCAGTATGACAGCCCTGACGGCCTCTCCACATTGCGCAGTATTGAGCAGGGATACAGTACAGTACAGTACAGTCCGTACTGTACAGTACACTACCTCCCGAACTATATAAAGCGAACAACCCCACGTCTCCCAACCCACCATCATCCACACAAACTCATGTATACAAACCCAAGTTATGGCTGAACTAGACCCACTCCTGGTACCCATCCAGCTGGATGCCTTCGTCCTGAATAAAGCCATGCGCGGACACCCGAACGAAGATGGCGCCCGCATCTGCCCCATCACCCAGCCCAACTACACCTCCCTGCGGTTCGACAACGGTCGCCCAGAGCGACGTGATGCCGGATGCGGACTTGCACAATGCCACGCCCGCCTCGAGAAATCCTCACAAAACAGATCTCGGCACCGGGCTGCCCCGGAGGAACCGGTGGGGGGTGTATCTGCACTGGACGCTGCCGCGAGTGTATCGGACCGGCGTGGCGACGGCGGCACGAGAGGAAGACGAGCATGGGCAAGAAGGCGTTGCACCAGCCCAACGATCTTCCTCCCGGTCCAAGTGCTTCGATGCGCCCACCCGGTGGCTCATCATCCGCAAGCTGGCATTGGACTCCGTGAGACCCGTCGCCGCCGCAGCGGAAGTCTCCGAGTACGAGGCGTGGGTGGTCGAGAGCGACCACGTGTGGCACCTGGACGACATCTCGCTCGAGGCGGACTTCTAGGTGGACGTGTCGCCCTTTGTGCTGGGCACCGCGGGCGAGCAGGTGGATGTGGGCGAGCAGGCCGAGATTTGGACAGTTTGGAATGGGATCTTGCATGTCACGAGGAGAGACAGGCTTCCTGCCCGGACGGCCCAGGGACTATCGTGGGCGTGTTATTATTGTGATTGCTGTTGTTGTCCGTTTCATCGCGGTTGACGACCGGACAGGGCTCTGGAGATGTGGGCTAATTACTGGGCCGTTGGTAATCTCCTACTCGTTCCGCTTCCTCCACCTGCTCTTGATTTGGAGCACGGCCCGGTAGAAGCCCAGCAAGGTGGGCGACGGTAAGGTCTTTCTGGACCCACCGAATGTGATATACAATGAGTGCACCCGGCAGTCGATGTGGACGCAACCGGCGAGCGGCGGGCCCCAGAGCGTCAGCTCAGCTCCGACTTCGAGCAAGCCGGACCGAGCCAGGAATACCCAGCCCACAGTGAAGCCAATCCAGACACCGACCTGCACCATCGCCTCAAACTGGAATGGTTCGTAGTTGATGAGAAGATCTTGCCGTTGCTCTCATAAGGAAGGAAGTACCGTCGGCCCCCGGACGTAGGCGAGAAGTTGCCATGATACAGCATGTCCTCAGCCTGGCGTTGACCCTCCATCCCGTCATCCTGCCCATAGAGCAGCGATTGCAGCGCCAGAATGCTCTCCTCCACCGGGCCAATCGCATCATCGGACTCGCGGTGCCCCGTCTTCCGCGCGGCAAGATACGTGATGAGGGCGTCAATGACAAGGACGGACGGACGCTCCTCGAGCATGAGATCTCGATTTACGCCAAACCAATGCAGGGAACGAGACCCCTGACCATCAAAAAAGCACTTTTACCATAAACGCAGCGGTAACAATAATAGAGATGGACGGTTGGCGACTGGAGAAGCAGCTCGGTCCGGCTCCGAAGGCCCTGTGAGAACAATGTAATACCTTCGTCTCCACCTCCCCTCTCTCTTTCCCCTTTGGACAACCCCGACAGTGACCCCACCTGCACCGGTCACCGAACCACCGGAGACCTCCTGGATGGCAGCAAGAGTGGCAATCTCCAGCTCATGACCGGGTTTGTCCTGCGGGCGCCCAAGCCCCAGATGTCCGCGGACAAGCTCGCGAAGGTCTTGTATCCGGACGCTCGAGGGAGCCGGAGAAGAAGTATTTCCCCGAGGCAGCGGAGTCGTCGGGCGACTGGCTGCCGGGCGTCCGCAAGGATGGCTCAACGCAGTGGGTGGATGTCCATGACACCTCGAGGGGCGACAAAATCACGGAACAGGAGCCCGCGGTCGCAGATGCAGAGCACGAGCCTTCGTCTGGGGTGACTGAATTGACTAGGGAATTATTCTCTACCTCAGAGGCTACGTCCCACACCCGGAATAGCTGGCAGGAAGAGACATAGCCCACCGCCGTGCAATTCGTGGCCAAGTGGGAGGAGTTGATGCGCTGGGAGCGCGAGGCTTTATCGAGATGTGCTACGATGACGGTGCAGATGAATGAGCGGTTCATGCATTTGCTTGCGGATGCTTCTTCGATTTCAGTTCGAGGTCTCTCTGACGGTGAAAGCGAGATTCTTCTTCGAAGCCGAGTTGGACTATTGGGCTAATATGAGTGGCGTTGTCTATTTGGGGGTTTCTCGCAGGCGGTGCAGAGCACAATGCCAAGGTTTCGAATGATACTAACAATAGAGCAGAGTTGAGAATGATAATGCCGGATGAACTCAGCTAAGTTGCTGTTCCTCAAATGCATGGGATTAATACTGATTATATGGGGCTCATGACTGCCACGTACTGACAGAGGCTACTAACCCCGAGTAGGCAACCCTAACCGCGGAACCTCCGCGGAGGGGGGTTTCTGCTAAACTGGGCATGCCCAGTTGCCCAGTTTCAATATTGCCAGCAAATTCGGATGCCCAAGTCGAGATCTAAGCATACTACTTGAATTTCTAAATAGTTCCAGTATATTTCACTAACTTCATGTCCAGTTACTGGGCAGGGCTCTACAATCTGGAATGCCCAACGCAGCAGAGGACCTCTATAAGAGGTCGCTTTGGTTGTGATCCCGAGATTGGATTCCTTCAGTGGTAGACTATCTTCGTTGTCAACATGGTCAAGCATGCTCCCACGGCAGATGGCGAGCTGGCGAGCCCTCAGCCGGACGTCTCGCCGTCCAGCGCGAAGCCTACAAGCCAGCTGCGTTTCTACGACAAGGTTCTGCTCTTCCCTACTCTATGTAACTCCAAGGAATACGAGCTGTGGAAGAAGCATTTCTTCACCGGGATTGTTTCCCTGGCTGCAGTTGCGGCACCGCTGCAAAGCAACATCTTATTGCGTGAGTCTTCGTCAATCTACCCTATATCCAATCCATCAATTTCAACCAAGCTGACTGAAACTCCACCCACACAGCCGCGCTGTCGGAAATCTCCACCTACTTCCACGTCTCTCGCTCACTGGTCAACCTGTCCGTCGCATTCTACATCCTGGCCATGGGGATCATCCCGCTCTGGTGGTCGGTCATTTCAGAGCTGTACGGCCGACGCCCGGTCTACCTGATCTCCTTTGCGATATTCATCGTGTGGAATGTGGTCTCGGCGGAAAGCACTTCTATCAGCATGCTGATTGTCATGCGGGTTCTGTGCGGAGGGGCATCGGCCTCGGTGCAAGCGGTAGGAGCAGGAACCGTGGCCGACCTCTGGGAGGTGGAAAGGCGCGGACGAGCCATGGGATATTTCTTTCTGGGGCCGATGCTCGGACCGCTGGTCTCTCCCATTCTCGGCGGCATCTTGACTGAAAGGCTCGGCTGGCGCGCCACTCAATGGGCCACCGTTGTCTACGGCGCCGTTGTCTGGCTTCTCATTCTCTTTTGTCTCCCCGAGACCTCTCAAGCTGCTGCTCGCAAGCCACCGTCCGCGTCTCGCAGCAACCAAGAAGGCTCCAAGGCAATTCTGCAGCAGATCCGCCATATCTTCAGCATTTTGCTCGAGCCGTTCAAGATTCTGGCGTACTTGCAGTTCCCGCCAATCCTGCTCACCGTCTACTACGCCAGTAGCACGTTCGCCTGCTACTATGCCGTCAGCATTACCCTGCAAACCCTCTTTTCCGAGGCCCCGTATTCCTTCTCGCCCATCATCGTCGGCCTCGTCTACATCCCTTGCGCCCTGGGCTCGATCGTGGCCTCCCTGCTAGGCGGCCGGTGGACTGACCACATTATGCGGCGACGGGCGACATCCGCTGGGAGGTTGAATCCAGAGACCGGCCAGATCCAGTACCTCCCTGGGGATCGGATGGGGGAGAACGCATGGCTGGCCTCAGTAATGTATCCGGCGGCGGGGCTGTGGTTCGGCTGGACAATTGACAAGGGCGTCTTCTGGCTCGTTCCGGTAAGTATCTATGCTCATAACCATCTTGACCATTGTATCGGTGCTAACAATCATCTCCCAACTACCATATAGTGCATTGCGACGTTTTTCTTCGGCCTCGGAAGCAGCACCGTCTTCAGCATGACGTCGACCATGCTGACAGAACTACTGCCAGGGCGGACCAGCACGGGCGTGGCGCTGAACAATGTGCTGCGCAATGCCCTGGCGTGTGTGGTCGTGGTGGTCATGCAGCCGTTGATCGATGCCATTGGATCCCGGTGGATCTTCACTGGATTGGCGGTCATCGGCTGGGCGAGTATTGGGATTATTTGGTTGTTCAGAAAGAATGCGGTTGAATGGGCCGCTGCTATGGAGAGTAAGCTCGCTAGCTGACCTCTTTTTCTGCCTATTCGGCATTTGTAGACCGACAAGTACTTAGAAGAGTATGAAGAAATTCAAGCATTGGGCGGGAGCTGCCGTTGTTCATAAGAGCTTGTTCTGGCAGTGTTATTCCGTCTTGGGCATTGATCTTCAAGTCGGGTGATGTTCATTCAGCATGAACAGCATAAATATGCACTGCATTGGGTGCACAAGCGATCTCCATCTACCCTGGCTCGGCAGCATTAGCCGGCCCGCTTATCTCGATGGAACTTTTATGCACCCGATCCTGTGGATAACCCGTGGTTCTCAAGTCTCCGTGCCCGATTCTATGTGATTCCAAGCGATGATCTGCACTAGAGAGTCACAACAATGTGCTAGTAATCGACAGCATACCACGTAAGGGTTGGAGTCAGCATACAAGATGGGAAAATGGGAAAATGGGAAAAAAGCCTCGTCTCGCCTGTCTGGACATAGCGTTCTCTCCCTCAGATTATTTAAAGATCGCAGGGGCACAGGAATCAAATGCTCTCTTGCCATTCAACCAAGATCATCCATTCACATTCCTGCATAGAATCATAAAGCACCAATCTTGATAGACGTCCGTGTCAAGCGACCATGGTCGGTGTTGTCAATTCAGCACCAGAAGCGTTCAACGCACCTAGGAGGCTTCTTGTGACCCAAGTCGATACCATCGCAAAGCATTCCCCAAATAGACGGTTTGGCCTAATCCCAAATGGCACCGAAGTCGACCAGGGCTTCCGGGAAGTGACTTTCCGGGATCTTTCCCAGGCAGTCAATGCCATGTCCTGGTGGATCGATGACACTCTGGGCAAGCCGCAACCGGGAGAAAAGATCGCGTATCTGGGGAATAACGATGTGCGCTATATCATCTTTATGCTTGCGTGTCATAAGACAGGGTATACGGTCTGTTTCTCCTGGTGCGATGCTGATGGAGGGCGTTGCGACTGACCATCAATAATGGAATTCACTTATAGATCTTTCTACCCTCCACTCGGCTGTCGGATGAGGCATATAACCATGTTCTCAAGGACACCAAGTCTACGCACCTACTTTTCAGCCGGGAGAAGTCTCCGATTGCGTCCAGATTGAGAGCATTGGACTGGAAGATGCAATTCCAAGAGGTGCCATCTGTGGCGGACATTCTCAGCGATAGAAGTGGCACGAGTCACTTTGAGTTCTCCAAGACCTATGATGAGGTGGTGGACCAGATTGCTTTTATCATCCATAGTTCTGGAACAACCGGTACGTATGAAACGAAAGAATGGGCAGAGATTCCGTGCAAGAACCTCAGAGCTAACGCTTGAGCAGGTATGCCTAAGCCTGTGCCTCTCACCCATGGCTTCCTGGGTACGATTGACTTTGCCGCACTGATTCCTATGCCCCCGGGGCGGTCTTCCGCTTTCTTCAATGACCTGGCCTCCGATGATACCAAGCACAATGACCTTGTTCTTTCGTCCACGCCGTATTTCCACTTGATGGGGTTGACCTCGTTCTTTGAATCCATCTTTCACAACATCCCCTTCGTTGCTAGCCCTGAGAGGCTACTTTCCGTGGGGTTTTTGATCGACCTAATTCGCCACACGAAGCCGACAGTTACGATCCTTCCACCTTCAATTCTTGAAGACATGAGTTATTCTGACGAGGCTCTCAGGTGCCTCAGCACCCTGAAGTTTGTATGCTATGGTGGGGCTCCTCTTGCGCCCGAAGTGGGCGAGAAGCTGGCTCGATACACCCAATTGCGATCGGCCATTGGATCCAGCGAGATGGGCATCATCTGCTCCATGGTCCCCGAAGGAGAGAGCACCTGGGGGTATTTTGAGTGGAATCCCTTCTATCAGGTTGATATGCAATTGATCGGGGACGGGCTATACGAGCTGGTCATACCACGGGTGGAGCATTCTCTCGTCATGCATGGAATCTTTCACACATTCTCCGATCTGAAAGAGTATCGATCCAAAGATCTGTACACCCGGCATCCGATCAACCCCAAGCTCTGGAAGTATCATGGACGCTTTGACGATGTGATTGTGCTCAGCAACGGAGAGAAGCTCAACCCGATCTCGTTGGAGAAGATTATAGAGGGCCATCCTTCTGTGCATCGGGCTTTGCTTGTCGGTCAACGCAGATTTCAGACATGCTTGCTGATTGAGCCAGACTTCGATAAGGTTGCCACTCCTGTCGATGAGAAGGCGTTCATCAGCATGATTTGGCCAGTGGTACAGGCGGCCAACAAGACCGTTCCTGATTACGGCCAGATCGCGAAAACCATGATCCGCCTTTCATCTCGCGAGAAACCTTTCAAGCTCACCGCGAAAGGTACTACACAACGACATGCCGTGAACAAAGATTATGCTGAGGAAATCGAGGAGATTTATTCGGCCCAGGATAGGGAGCTGGCAATGGATTTGCCTTCAGCGATTACGCCGGACACTGTCTGTGGGTATCTACAGAACGTCATCTGCAAGCTTGCTGGAAGGCAAAGCATCAATCCCAGTGACGACCTCTACAGTAGGGGCTTGGACTCACTCCAGGCCATCCAGTTGAGCAAGATCCTGAAGAATTCGGTCTCCTCCTTCAATCCGGATTTGAGCACCGAGCATCTCAATGTTCAACAGATTTATGCGCACCCAACGGCAGAGGGCCTGACTAACCTGCTGTTGGAGATTCTTGACAAACCATCGAGTCCAGTCACTACTGTTTCTCGTTCTGAAAAGATTGCGCAATTGATCTCCAAGTATACGAATGATCTTCATATTTGCAAGTCTGATGTCCTTCCCCAGCTACCCGCGCTATTCACTGTGATTCTCACTGGATCCACCGGATCGCTGGGCAGCTATATCCTTGACGACCTACTGCGCAACCCTCAGGTGGCCAAGGTTTACTGCTTCAACCGAAGCGAAGATTCTCTGACGCGCCAGAGGGAAGGCTTCCAGGAAAAAGGACTACAGACTTCTCCTCTAGACAATCCCAACAAGGTCGAGTTCCTGCATGTCCGCTTCGGAGAACTCCACTTTGGCCTCTCCGACCGACAATACAAGGAGCTCCTTGATACGGTCGACGTGATCATCCATAATGCATGGAAGGTCAACTTCAACCATCCCGTGTCCTCCTTTGAGGACCCGCATCTGAAAGGTGTCCGGGAGTTCGTGCGTTTCAGCCAGGAGAGCCGCTACCGGGCGCATCTCGCTTTCGTCTCCTCAGTCAGCACGATCGGGGCCTGGAAGCCCAGCGATGGGGTCCCAGCCGTCCCCGAAGTTCCGATGGAAACGGCGGACGCCACACTGGAGCAGGGATATGGAGAGTCCAAGTACATCGGGGAGAGCATCTGCGTGGAGGCGTCAAAAAAGGCCGGCGTGCCGACTAGTATCCTGCGCGTGGGACAGATCGCTGGCCCGGATACTCGACTGGGCGTGTGGAATCCGCACGAGTGGCTCCCCTCCTTGATCAAGACATCCAAGGCGGCGGGCAAAGTGCCGTCTGATCTCGGGGGGTACCCCATCGACTGGGTGGCAGTGGTACGTACCTAGCCCTACCTTCGTCTACTATCTACCCCATCCGTAAGGACTGCTACTGATATCATCGAACCAGGATACTCTTGCGAAAATCGTGAACGAACTCGTCCTCGGCCGCCGTGCCTCGCTCGCGGAGACCCGCAACGCGGTCTTCCACCTGGTCAACCCATCCCGGACCACCTGGGCTTCGCTCGTCCCCGCGATCCAAGAACGATACCCTGTCCAGCCCGTGCCCCTCGTCGACTGGGTCGCCGACCTGGAGACCATCCAGGATCCCTCCGATCGCGACGTGCAAGAAAAACCCGCGCTGAAGCTCCTGGCCTTTTTCCACGGTCTGGCGGACAATGCGGATGTCTTGTCTGCGGACATCAGCGTCGAACGGACTAAGAAGGGGAGTGAAACGATGGCATCTCTGGGCCCGGTGTCACCGGCGCAGATGGCCAATTGGCTGAATCAGTGGAGCTTTTAGGGTGCGGTTGTGGGAGTTGATTAGTCGATTCACCTCGCAATCGTTACTGATCAGGGTAAGACACATCGGAGCTTCGAGAGTGACTTTCACAGATGTATTGTGTCCTACCGGGATGAAGAACTGCTCCGATAGCCCATTTGAACAGAGGCCTTCCTTATTCAAGTAGAGTACACATCTTCACAATGCTAACTAGATCTTTGGAAGCAATCTGGCCAGAATTTCGACGGCCAATTATCCTCTTTCGGCAATCTAATGTGCTGTGTGCCCCCTTTTCTTACGCCGCCGTTCCATACAACAGGCCCCTTCGGTCATAGGATGCCGGACTTGGTGGAGGCGCAGCTGTATTAGTAGATATGTGGGCGGGTAAGGCAAGATTGGAGTGGGGTGAAATATAGATTTTCCTCAAAACATACCCGCGGTCAGCATGCTTGATAGCATATTTCCGAAATTCTCCAAATCAAGGGGCAAAGGCAAAAAGAGGACAAAAACATACAACAGAAGGGATTCGCTGGTGGTCACCCACCCAACTACTAACCTCCCGGCGTGTGGCTTAAGTACGGCTGAGCGGACGGGAAGCCCTGTTTTCCACACCCTGTGGTCGTATGTGCTAGAGGAAACAGCACACAGCTCTATATAGCTAGGTAGAGCCCTTATATTTGAAGATTCTTCTACGCCGCATCCGCCTAACGCAAACTCTGTAAATAAGATTCTGTAGGTCACTGCCTGTTGACCTCTTTATAAGATCTGATCTTTCTCGAGGTTTTCTTGTCAGTGCCACACTGCCTATTCCATCCCTCGCAGACTCGTAAACATTCTAGCAAGAATTGAGGGGTGTGATACGGAAGCATTTGACAACCAAAGCCCACTGAGGTGGAGGAAGAAGATCTTGACAAAATTTCGGGTGGACACATTACGAGCGTAATCCGATTGAAGCATGAATAGGACTCTTCCCCCCTCCCTCACACCCTTCGCTCTACCTCTGCGCGTGTCATTCGGCCCTTGATATGTGCGTACAGGACCGCCCATCCTCTGACGGAACACTGAGTTGAGAAAGCGAAAAGGCTGACGCCAGAAGCTTACATTCTTCAAGAACTCGTGGGAAACATGCGGAAGTTTGGTATGTTGGGAAGTTAAGAAGAGGGAACCATTGTCGAAAGCGAGATCGGTGTGAAAGAGATCAGAAGATTCTCCGAGCACACTACAAGGTAGTGCGGGAACTGTGGAGGACTGTACATATACATGAGTCCGTACTCCGTACTATGTAGATCTAAAGAAGCATCTTGTGACACGGGCTATGGGAAGCTGAGCCCTAATTCAGGACAACTAGCCAGCCCGAGTGCGGGTAGGGCCGGGAGTCCCGGCCGCAGAAGCTTGGACATTTATCCCCACCCACCCCCTGAAAAGAACGGACTCGGTGCGTATACTGATACAATGAGAAAGGCAATGTCAGGAAGAATGATATGGAGAGGCAAATTGGAGGTAGACGGGACGGCTGAAGCCGAAGAGAGAATCCCAGTACTAATTTATCTTGACTCAGTCAGCCTATCTAAGGGCTATCTAGTCCTTTCTCAAACAGCCCAAAGCCTAGAGCTGGTCACCGTCGAATTGTTGACGATGGTGGCCATGAGCTGTTGGAGCCTCCGACGAGTGTCGTCTGCATCTTCCACATCACGTTCATTCCAGACCATGCTCCTAAACTCCTCCCGAAAGTGGTCCGCGACCTGGATGAACTTGTCATCCCCACCTTTGGCGAGGTTGCCAAACGCCACTTTCATCTGTCCAAGCCCTCGGAGTTGGTCCCGATACGGCAACACCGGGTCGCTAGTAGTACTACTGGTAGTCCCAGCCTCGGGGGCGGGGCCGGTCAACAGCCGCTCACAGTACAGCAGAGCGCCAGCCAACCCGGCCGCGAGCGCGGTGGAGACCGAGCTGCCGTATGGCCCGGCCTGGGGGTGGGCAGTGGGGCCCGATTGGGAGGAGGAAGAACTCCTCCTTCGCGGCAGGGAGACATTCTCGCCCGGTAACAAAAAGTCACAGGCGTCCTTGGAGACCCAGCCGAGCCGCTCCCCCGTGACCGTCGACGCGCCGATCTTGATGCAGTTTTTATTCTTCCCGGGATAGGTGTTGTCGCGGACGTGGCTGCCCTGATCAATGGCGGAGCACAGCATGATGATCTGGTTCTTCTCGGCCCGGCCGATGGCGTCATTGAGATGCGTCAATGCGCGGTTGGAATTGATGGACCAGCTCATGGAGATAATGTCGACGTCTCGATCGACGGCCCAATTGATTGCCTGTTGATTCCATCATCAGGGGTCTAATGGAGGAAGGGAGGAAGGGGAGGGGCGTGTGGTGACTTTACGTCCGTCGCAGACTCGGAAGTAAACGAGCGTCGTCCACCGGAACGGTCCACGGTCTCCAGCTGAGCCACATAGAGCTTGACCACTGGGCACACGGTGCAGATCAGATGCGCCATCAGCGTTCCGTGACTCCCCGAAGGAACGAACGTAGTAGGCTCCCCCGCGCTTGCCGTAAACCTCGTCCAAGACCAAGAACGAGTCGCCCGCGCCGATCTTGTTGTTGAAGATGTCGAGCCCGATGTCGATGCCATCGTCGATCACCGCAATCTTGATAGGCTCCATGGCCGGTGATGCCGATCGGAGAAACTCCCCAAAGTATGTCATGCGTTCTAACCATGGGTTTCGCCTGCCAAGGAGGAGTAGAATACGAGTCAGCAAGAGGAGCCAGAATGCACGGCTGAGTGGTCAATTGTCGAGGCATAGCTTTCATTCGTGCTATCAGTCGTCCAGTTGAATTCCAGCTTGGGTCTGTCTGGTTTCCCTTGTTTAAGTCGGTGCTCGAAGAGTTTCATATATTCTTCCAATCTTGTTGGACTTTCGAGACCCTGACAAGAATCACATTAGAAGTCACATTGGTTTCTTGGTCGACTCGGTGGTCGGCCATGGCGGGTTTTGCTTCGCTCGGGTTTGTGGTCAGGATCTTCTTACCTCTCGCACGTAAAGATGAACCTTCTCCAACTGTATACAGAGGGATCAATGTTTGTATTTGACTGAAGGGAGTGTTTGTGGGTACGAGGATGGTTGAGGAGGGACCAGGTGAGGGTAGCAAAGAGAACGGGAAACCCTACATTGGGAAACCGGGCAAGGCCGTCAGCGCTCGACCACCCCAGAAGGACTGCATTGTTGCCCGAAGAATACAGAGACACTTCCCTTGCAGTTTCCAGAGCCTCCTTCGCTATGACATCTGTGCACAGATCGATCTTCTTCCAGTTCCAAACGTCGACTTTTAGGCCATCGAGACATTCTTCGATGGCCTCGTCTGACTGAGTGCGGTGGGTCCGTATCATCGATTACAACAACGCGAATGATCGACTCAACACCACGCTTCTTGAGCCATCTGAAGATGTTGGTTAAGCTTCTAGTGCCCTTTCCTCTGGATCTCGATTGGATTGGTGAGTTGACTCTTGAATGAGTTCAGCCGGCCACTTGCTGTTTCTGAGGCTTGCGCTGTGACTCTGGCACGGGTGGGGCGGTGCTCGCCTCCTCTACCGACAGCCGCGGGAGAGCAACATAGCTGAGGATGCTTTCGAATTTGAGAATTTGAGACAGCCGGTCAAGGTAGTTGGTATCTATAGTGACTAGTGGAAGTCCGGATAAGTCGAAGTCAATCTGCAGGTCTAGTAGTGGTTACCAAGTAGTCAGAACGAGCGCGAACCCAACTGGGTGTTGAGGGGGATCATGTAAGAACCTTCGCCAACCTTGTAGAGGGCTGTCAGGGCATCCCGACGAGGAAGCCTTCGAATACAGTAGGACTGGATAAGTCTAGTAATCTCGTCTTGTTTGACCAACTCTCGAGGGTTGATCTTGGGCGTGTCGGCGGTCGAAGCGTCCGGAGCTCGCTGACGTCTTTCGCGCTCCAGATGCAAAATCCGGGCCTGGTAGGGAGTGTTTCCCCATTTATCCCGGTATCGAAAAAGAGCCGCTGGCATGGCACCAACTAGGTCCTGAACTATTTGAAGTTGGCTTGACTTCGTGCTGCTTGCCGGTTTCGCGCGTTTCTGGAGCATCTGCAATCGCCACAGGCGGAGGACTGTCCCTTCGATCATCCACTGCCGTGAGCTTGAACTCGATGGTGTCCTTCCGGGAAAGACGAGCCAGTCCTTGTCGATTTCGAGAATCGCCTCGAGGCCGATCTTCTGACGAAAGCTTATCGATATTCTTCAGGGGCCACGAAGGAGGCGCTAGATGGCTTGGACGCCTACTGGCCACGGAAAGTTCATCCGCAACCGCTGAAGAGTCTTCCTCCTCTTGTTGCACCGCGAGGCTCAGTGGTGTATCCCGATCGTCGTGTGTCATTTTGTCGAAGATCTTTACCTCGCTTTGGTAGCACACGCCCAAATGGATGAGGTCCCTGATGTAGCGGCTGTTATAGTTGATGGCAGAATGAAGACAGTGCTCGGCCCCCCTTCGTTTCAGCCTTGAATAATACCTTTTCCGGTGGGTCTGCAGTATGCGTGAGGATGAGTCCCACCATGTCATCGTTTTTGTTTTCCAGGGCCGTATGAAGGGGCGTGTTTCCCGCATTGGTTAGGCATCGGAGCAGATTTGGATGCTTCTTGAGAGTCCAAATCAGGGATTTCTCATGTTGAAGGGTCTTTTTGCGGTCCTTGGCGAGAATATGCAAGAGCTCACCATCCACCGTTTGGGTGTGCACCTTGGTCAAGCGAGCCGTACGGACGAGTGGTCGTCTTGTTGAGAAAAGTCGATGCTTTGCGCATCCTGCAGAACTTCTTCAATAGAGGTTTCCTTTTCTTTAGGTCGTGTAATCTAGATCTCGGCGTTTAGGAATGAACATTTTGGCATGATGACAGAATGAAGGATTAGGGTAATCTCTGCTGTTCAGGGACGAAGCCCAGCTATACTGTAGTCACTTTAAACAAGCCAGATCCTCTGCTAAGCACGGTAGAGCACGCCCCCGCAGTACTGTACCTCCGACGGGGACGCGGCCTCGAAGCAAGCCACTAAAATCACTTGATGGTTTTAAACAGAGTCGTTTCTGGATAAAGTCTGCCTGTTTGGGCAAATATCCAAGATTTCTTTGACAGGTTATGAAATTAGAGACTTAATCCTGTAGTGCACAGTCTAGTAGCGCCTAAATGGAAGATGCTTGCTTGTTCGGTGTAACGTGTTCATGGAGACTTGTGATGTGATTCAGCTGCAGCCAGCACAACAAACAATCATCTGCGTGGGAGAATTTCACAACATATTGGTCTGGATCCGGAAGTGACGGCGGATACGGCTTCCCAGCACCCATCGGTACCTAGCCATTCGTCACTTGAAGACGATAAGTTCCAATGCGTGCCGATTCAACTTCACTGAGCTGAGCGAGTTGACTATGAAAATCATTTGTTCGAAGCTTTTCACAAATTCGGTTGTCGATGTGGTTGAGCTGCATTGGTTTGTGACTTTGTTAGCGATACACCACTTGGGAATCGGGCTGTCGGCTTCAATCCGAACAAAACCGACCAAATTCGTACAACTGCGACAGCCATTGGCTACCGTGAGGTTTCAAGCCGCTGAGACTGTAATGTGACACAGTGAAGACAACCATACAGTTGGAGACGTACATGACTTATCTCTCTCATTAATCCCTTTAGTGTATGATGGTGATGGGAAAAAATCAAGTCGTTGCCTGCGGAACATCAAATATCGTGTTATTCCGAATGCATTAGCACGGAAATACGGGGAAGATAGGTGGAATGATCAGGACAGGAGCGAGGCTGCCAGGTGTCGGGTCAACTATTCTCAACCTGGAGATCTCCGAGCTCGGCTGGGCCCAAATTAGCCTTCCGACGCGGGGAGAATGTATGTGGGCATTTGCATCAGCCACAGCCACTATGACATCTGCAACTCGGGACAAGGTGAGTTCCAGAAACCCGAGGTTGCATATAGGCCCATAGCGGACCCCACCAATGCCGGTCGCTTATGGCAATAACCCAAATTATTAAAGCTCAAGCCAACTTGAAGGCTTTCAGGCAGTCTCATCCGAGTCCGAGACTTCACCACAACATCTGTCAGCCCCCCTCCCCCCGTCACCCGCGATTCTCCTATCTCCGTCATGCTAGCAGTACCCCCACCAGACTCTGAGTTGTCTAGATCGTCGTGTCTCCACTCTCGAAATGACTAGGAGCGATTTGTGCAGCTTACTTGGAGGACTAAGTCTGCAAGCTTACCATCTACGGTTAGTCGAATAAGCACTCCGCTTCAAGTCGAGTCGACGCTTAAAATTACATGGGCTGGCCCTGCGGGTCGATGATATAGTACTACGGGTTTTAGAGAACAAGCCTACAGAGTGCTTTCGAAGATCTGGAAACGGAAACCAGTTTTAGATTCGTCAAGTTTCCTCACATATGGTATAGACTTTGAACTTAACTGAACTATATGCCATATTTGTCTCCAAGGCTGGGTTGGATGGGCTATCTATGTTTTTCTTGACAAGCGACTCCCTGACGAAGATCGTCTGGAATTTCTAGACTACGCCCACACCAAAGGTGTTATCATCTGGGACTCAGCTGATGTCTATGCTGAAAATAATGACATCCTCGCTAAAGGTACGACTAAATTACGAGTCTCTCCTACCACATGCCGCTGATCTTCCTGTTGAGCTTACCGAAGAGGAGCATAGTAGGATGCCCTATTTGTATGTGGATACAACTCCTCAAAAGGAGACAGAGGTGTTAGGTCCTTTGCCTAGTATGATCAGATGGAATTCAATTTGAACTTGACGGACAGGTTCATTGGTTTAACTTGCAAATGCCTCATTCCAATCGCATGCTGGTTATTCCCCACGCTGACATGTGACCACAGTACTCTGTTCAGAAGCTCAAACTCCAAAACCCAGTTGCTTCAAATCCTCTTTTCAAGATCGCATTCAACTCAAGTTATCCTAACTGTAATTCGGCCGTGTAAATAATAAATCCTGAAAGCTTGGGTCACGTATGGAGCCGGTCACAAATCAATCAAGGCACTCTTGTAACAGCCGGGAATGTCCTCTATCAAGTAGGAATTATCAGGCCACGGAAATCATGTACATGAGCTGATATCATAAATCACGGATAGTGCACTGAGCCATCCATACTCTTCAAATCTCCTCAATATCCTATCAAAGTGCGACGGAGCGTGAGACCCTGCTCAAGACCACTCAAAACGAATTACAACCTTAATTTCCTGGTGTTCATTGTATCGTGCATAAGCCTGTGGTGCGTCCTCGATGCTGACTAGTGAACTGATAACAAACCCCGGCTTAGCGAGACCACTGTTTATCAGCGGCAACAGTGTGGTAGCGTAGTCTGGAGGATAGATAGCACCGACTTTATACTGAAGACTTTTCGAGAAGAATGTACCAACAGGGAAGCTGATATCTTTCATGACAGAGCTTCCTCGTGGAACCCCTGTGCTGTTATGCACATCCGCGTAAATACCGACACCACCTATTCCACCATTTCTTGCAGTCACATTGACCATCTGGCGAATGATAATGTCGGATTCCATCTGTAGCGTTTTATTAACTGCTTCGAATCCAACACAGTCCACACTGCGAATGACGCCGTTCGGTTCTTGAGCAAGAATATGCTCTACAGGGTCAGATATCAAAAAGTTCACCGGCACAGCACCTATAGAACGAGCCAACTCAAGCCGTTCAGGCACGTAATCCACGACGTATACCTTGGATGCCCCACGGAGCACAGCTGAATACGCCGACAGGAGGCCCACAGGGCCAGCACCGAAGACTGCGACAGTGTCACCTGGTTCAAAACCAGCTAAATCAAGGGCGCCCCAGCCAGTAGCAAAGATATCAGATAAAAAGAGATAGTCGATATCACTGTCTGACGGACTAGAAGTGTTCGAGGGAATAGGAATTAAGTTTTGCTCGGCAAAAGGGACCCTCACATACTCGCCTGAGCGGGAAATCATTAACAGAAGTAATTGAGGTTGGAAAGAAGAGCTTACTCTGACAGCCGCCCAGATTTCCCCGATCAGGTCCCATGCCAAAAGGGAAAGATGTAGAAGATTCTGTGACCACCGGCACATTATGAACAGTGTCCGAGATCACTACTCGATCTCCTACCCGGAAATTGCTAACAGCATCGCCAAGGTCAGTGATAAGGCCGAGAGCCTCATGACCCATGGCCCACGGGACGGTCGCACTCCCATAATGGCCACGATAGGTATGCAGATCTGTACCACAAATGCCTGCGACTGAGACCCTTACAATTGCGTCTGTAGCTGACTGAAGGAGTGGAACAGGCAGGTCAACAACACTGACATTAAAAGGCGTTCCCGTCCAGACCACGCCCCGCATGAGGGCAGTAGTTGTCGGCAGTAAACTTGTATAATTCATAGCTAAACAAAGAAGATATCAACAGGAATTTGAGAGTGTAAGTAGACGGCCGAGGAAAGTATTTCAAGCTTGACCACGATGACAACAACCTGTGCAGGACGTAATTTTTATATTGGATTGTTATCATCAGAAGCAGGCGGGGTCAGACCCCAAATTCAACGGTCAATTTGACTGCCTTGGCATGAAGTAACAGAGATAGCATGGTCCCAGCGGTGATGCTGAGCCCTAGCTACAATGCCTCAAAAAGTTCAGACCGGAAATTCCGCCCGTCACCCGGTGCTTACCGCTTCCGGCTAGCGCCATAAGCGACTTTAGGGCCGCTAGTTATTGGCTGCATTGGCTGCGCACAGTGGCCGTTATCTGCCTTTTCTTACCTTATTCTCTGTTCAATACACTTCCTAGCTAGATTTACCGATATCTGACCCACCGCCACTACACTATGTCAGCAAATGGTGCCCAACAAGCTTATATACAAACAACAAGAGAAGGCAGTGGTGCGCATGAGCTACTGCACCGGGACATAAGGGCCGAGAGGCGTGGGATGCAGAATTGTGTTAACCAACAAGCTTATTGCAAGCCTTTGTTATTGTCTTTACCAGACAGAACATGGGGCACACTCAATGATCATTTTATTATTAGGGAAGGAACAAACTCTTGATAATTGTGGATGTAATCCTCCTAAACACTGGGACGTCATTGGCACCCTGTGCGGTTACAATCTAGAGAAGCCCAGAACCAAGGGCGATAAAGCTCCGGATGATCATAAATATCAAATTACCAGGGTCAACCGGAGTGTATTTGGGGTACCCCCTCAAGTTGGCCATTTACCCACGTTAGTCAAACTTAATGTGTACCGTGCATTCGCCGAGAACATGAATGCGCTTGGTGTGGATGTCAAAGGATGGATGTACGCTGATGTAGTGTGTCCAAAAGGTTTCCCAATCGAGCCATCCCAAACTGCCTGCAGCCAACTGCCATACAGCATGCTGTGCCACATCACCCTTGGTTGGACTTCTTCCCTCATCCTAGAATGCGCGAACAGCTTTGCATTGATATCATGCGTTACTAGGATTCGGATGGGAATGCCCCAGCATTCCTACGAGTCTGGGGTCAGCCTTGGGATATAGTGAACTGGGAAAAGTCGGAAGCATTCGTCAAAAAGTGGGGTTGGATAGTCCATGGCTGCCCAGGATTGTTAAAATTCGACCAATAGCTGGCGTGCCCAAGGAGGTGAAAAACGGCTCGCCTTCAATGGCCTGTTTACCACTTCGCTTTAGATTGCTTACTTAACAGCGTTTTGATATAATCATATTTGTGTTGAACAATCATAGGGGATAGTCCGATTTGTCTACCTGCAAATGATCTATCCCGAATGAAGTAAATATTTATGATCAACTACAATTATTGAACAGACAAGCTCTCCATATAAAGAGATATCTTTGATTTTTACTTCTGAGTTAGAACAAATTCAAAACCCGACGCCATCAGCCTGAGGAGTCTGTTTCACCGAGAAGCTGATCACTCCAATGAACTACTCTAGTCGCATGAAAAACCACCGGTGATCTCGATAGCTATCATTTGATAAATGAGTACATGGAGCAGATAGATCATGTCAGAACATTGATAAGGTAATATCAACCTGTCTATGCTCAATCCATCAAGACATAGCGATACCGAGATTTACCCTGGTCCATATCGAGAATGGCTTGGTTTGCTTCTTTCATTGGTCGCACTTCGATTCACGGCTTGACATTCTTCATCGCTGCAAGCGCAAGCATCTCACGTATCTCACCGGGGTTTCCAATCTTCGAACCACAGAACTTAAGACCCGAGCCGATCAATGCCCCTGCAGGAAATGTGAAAGGACCATCCTCCGGGTTGCCTACTTGTATAAAAGCACCATAAGGTTTCAAAAGTTTCAAGTAGTCGGTAATCGGAAGTGTGTTGGATGAAACAGTAGAAATAGTAGAAACAATAATATCCAAGGAACCTGCGTGCTGGATTGCCCAGTCTTTATCCTCAGATGTCGCAACGTAAGTGTCGGCTCCCAATTTCAGTGCATCATCACGTTTCGCAGCTTTCCGTGAGAAGGCAGAAACCCAATCTGCGCCCAATTCCTTGGCAAACAAAATGCCGAAATGCCCCAGCCCCCCAACTCCAATGATACCAATCTTTTTTCCTGGTCCACAACCATACTGCTTAAGGGGTGCATAGACTGTTGCCCCAGCACACAGCATCGGGGCAGCAGCAGCGGAAGAAAGCGCTTCTGGGATTTTGACAGCAAAGTGGGAAGGCACCCGATTGTGGAGCGCATATCCGCCATAGGACATGCTCCCGTCTAGATAACGACCTGCATATGTACCTGTCCACAACTTGGTGCAGTACTTCTCATTTCCGGTACTGCATTGCACACAATGGCCGTCCACACGACCGCGGCATGAGTCACTCTGGGGGCCGACACCCACGCGGTCGCCGATTTCGAGTCCTTTTACTTGGGTGCCGACTCGAACAACAATGCCAACAATTTCGTGGCCGACGCAACAAGGGTATGGAGTTGGACGCTATCCGAGTACGTGAGCAGAGTAGCAAAGAATCATGGCCATGTAACGGAACTTACCCAGCCGCTTCGTAAGACACAAATATCAGAAGCACAGACACCACAGTGAGTGATGCGAATATCTATGTCTGATTCTTCCCATTCTTATGGCTCAAAAGATTGCCAAACCATTTGGCCCCGAGCCAATTCTCTGTCGAGGCCCATCCATCCCTCGAACTTTGGGGTTGATTCAGACATCGCGGACGACGAGACAAGACTAGACGGAGTAAGGAAGGTTTTTTTTTTTTCGTGAACTCATTCGTGCATTTGAATTCCAGGTGAAACAGCCAATTTATGTTCAAATTATTGTGTATACTAGCGATGGTCTTGACGTCAGCTGGCACGGGATTCAACTTGTCATCGTCATCGTTCTCCGATCCTTCCTGCCGACCCGATCAACGGCTTCGAATTCCCTCATGATGCCTTTTTAGGCTAGCGCGTCAGCAAACCGATCTCCAAGCAAAGAGAGCCTACCGCTATCTTCCTAAAAGTCCAGAATGCAAGGCTTCGATTCTGTCGCCACAAGTGAGCCACCGGAAAGAAAATGCAATCTAGAAAGTTTGCTGATGGATCAAGAGATCATGAAGGCCTATATTCTGCTATGTTATTCGAAGCAGGGACTGTACACATCTCTAGTGACAGAGAGCATGCGGATAATTATCCGACTTCCTAGATCGTATGGCGCCAATCAAGAATGCAGGGTCTGAGCCTTTACATCTTGCAGGATGACACGAATAGCCTTTACGCCGCGGCGGTTTATCACTATGAGCAATGTGAAGACAACTGAAAGCTGCGATTTCTACTTGACTGTACTGCTGATTTAAACTAAAGAGTTACTAGCAGCTGAAGTGCACACATCGCATCATACCTCGTCTCGTGCTAACTCATAGATGCGATCAAGGTCTTCCCCTTGAGAGGAATCCAAGCTTTTGTGCACTGCCTCTTCCACAGCCTCCTCAATATCTTTGGACCCTTTGTTGACATCAAACCATCCATTAGTGTCATTCCTCGATAGAAGACTGATAGCTGTCAAGGCTACGTCGCCGGCGGCAATTTGACCTAATGCTGTGGTGTGTCCTAACGTGATTTTGCCCGTCGGAGGCTTGCTAACGAACCACGTCGGCCTCAAGGAGATGCCTTGGAAATGCTGCCCCTTTGCCTGCTTAGCATTTGCCACTGATAGCAAATATTCATCCGTTTGCACCTTCATTTTGGCGGCGACAGGAAACATCTTTTTCTCTTTCAGATGATCCGCCCACTCCTTATCATTCCACCAGGGTGCCCGCTTCCGACGACTAGCAGGAAATGATATAACCAAGAATTTTCTCACGCTTGTGTGTCCTGCGGAGACCTTGATTAGCATCTTGGCAGCGTTGCAATCAATGGCTTCATAGTTCGCAGAATCGCCTATTTCGAGGTCAACTTGAAGTACAGCATAATAATTCAGGGGTGAGAACACACTTGCGGTGAAAACAACGCAGTCCGGTTTGACTCCCTGGAAGATTTCCCCAGCTATTGTTTCAGAAAGACTCAGAAGGTCACAAACAACCACATCGGGGCGGTTGGCGAGGCCATCTCCAAGTTGCAAGATTTCAGCGCTCTGCCTAGAGCTTCTGACAACACTTGTAACGTGCCACGAGCGCTCCAGCATATACCTCGTGATTAAACGGCCGATCGTGCCGTTTCCACCGAACACGATTGCTTTAAGGGTCATTGTCGCTGGTAAGACGGAAGCCTGACTCAGGAACCTCTGGTTGTTCGGGAAATGGATAAAAATTTGACACTCAAGCTTCCGGACCTTCCAAATCCGACCGTGGCGGATGGGGTATTTGTAGTTTATGAGAAAGATTGCTTGAAAAGAGACAGCTGCGGCTTATCCTGCGCGGACCTAAAGTCAGCAATAGTGGAGATCGGGCGGGGCGGGATTTGTGGACTTAGCGGAATTAGCCTTGTCTGGATGTGCAAAGTGGAGAGTGCCCCCATCAACAAGCCGAAATTCAATAAGGTGTTCTTTAAGCAAAGAAAGACTTGGTTACTAAGTGATATCAGTGATGTTAGTTGCTGATGGCAGAAAATGGACATGGATTATGAATAGTCACTTAATTCTTCCATCTTAGTAAGATTCTCGACCCCAGAATCTCCCACCCTCTCGGATGACCGTCTCGGATGGAACCGCAGGCCGGGGACCCCCAGCCCTAGCAGGCCCTAACAGGCCCATATCTGGTAGAACCCGATCATGTATGTATGTTGTCGAGTACGGTGTCAAGTGAGGTCAAGAGAAATGCCTTCTTCGACTTCTTCCCAGCGGTGGAACTACAAGAAGACAGAGATCAAGCTATGTCCATGCCTGCTCACCGGGAGGTGGTTGCTGATACTCCGGCCCTCAACCGACCGGGCCGCGTCTTTTAGGGCTAAGATTCTGTAGCTAAGTTCGGCAGAATTAGCGATATCGGACCATACAGTACACGCCACATAGCATTTTCCTCCTCAACTGCTCTTGTAATCCGAAGAACAAGAACAAAGTCAACACGCAGAGATATTCGCTATCCTTTAGAGAATAAATAAAGGAAAGAAAGAAGACCCTCCAAAAAGAAAAAGAAAAGACCCCACACAACAAAAACTCCAGAAATCAAAAAAGACTAAGTAGTCTCACCCACGGCGACCTCACACTCGATCAAACTCTCCGACCACCGATCCGCCGCCCAGATGCGCAGGATGCGGAACCCGGCCGCGTGCAGCAGGCGCGTCCACTGCGACTCGGTGCGCTCCGCGCCCGCAAAGTCCGCCAGCATCACGAAGTCCAGCCCCGTCGCCTGCCACTGCGCGCCACGATCGGGGATCACGTTCTCGTTGATCAGCAGCCGGCTGTACCCGGGCGTCATGGCGGCGCGCAGCGGGGCCAGGATCTTCTGGCAGATGGCGTCGGGCCAGTCGTGCAGGACCGAGTGGAGGAAGTAGGCTCTTGCTCCTGTTTTTGGAATGGGTGTTAGCTTTATCTTCTCTTTGTGCTTTTTTGGCCTCTTTTCCGTCTTGAGCAGGAAAAAAAAAAAAAAAAAAAAAACAAAAAAAAAAGAGAGAGAGAGAGAGAGGAAGGAGAAGTACCTCTGCACGGCTGCTCCGTGAAGAAATCATGCGGCATGCACTCGATCGACTCGTGCAGCTGGCTTCCCACGACCTCAGCCAGGACAGCGGGCTGGTCCTGCAGGATCAACCGACCCGGGGTGTTGGGCCATTTGGCGCGGAACTCGGCCAGGTCGTGGCCCTTGCCGCCGCCCACGTCCACCAGCAGGATCTTGTCGGCGATGTCTGTCGTCGTGTCGGCTAGGAGGCGCTCCTCGACTGGGTAGAAGCCCGGGTCCATCCAGCTGGCGCGACCTTGGTGATAGATGGACATGAGGTTGTTGAACTGCGCGCTGAGGACCGGGTCTTGGCCCACAAAGTCGAAGAAGGCGGCCTGGGTGTTGTAGCCGAGTTGGAAGGGGCAGTCGAGGCCGTTGGCCGGGTCGCGATAGCCCGTTTTGCGGAGGAACTCTGGAATCGCGGTGATGGCACGCTGGGTGGTTCGTGTTCTATGGAATCAGGGTTAGTCGGACGCGCCCCGGGAGACTGCAGGTGGCGGGAGGGGGTATCCGGGGACAAGCATACATCGTGGGAAAGGCATCGGCGTAGCGGGTGTGGGTGAGTGTGCGCGAGAAGTTGTTGCTCGTGTATTCGTCCTTGCCAGTTTCGGTGACAGCGTGGATGGCGTTGAGTTGCTTCATGATTCGTTCTGGGGGAGGTTGCAACGATAATTAGTGGTATGGAAGATGCGGACGGGGCTATAGGCACCTACGTAGCAGGACGATGTCAGCGCTGGTGGCTGTTGCCAGTTCGGCCACAGACATCGGTCGGTCATTGTTCGAGAGATACCGGAAGATCCCGAGGTCAATGGCCGTCTCAATCACGGCAAAGCCGGTAGTCTGGTGAACTTCCCGTCAGCTTGTCTATGGGCAAAACGTACGGGCACGAAGAGGCAGCGAACTAACGTTTCGCCAACAGTATCGGAAAATGGTCTCGCGCGGCGTCTCAACGGCTGCTAGAAGGGCATCGGCAGCTTCCATCAGCTGAAGTCGTGCCCCGGCTTGACCAGAGGTAAAAGCCTTGCTCAGCAAGTCCATCTCCTGGGCCAGACTGGCGACCTTTCCAGGGGCCATGGGACTGACGGCGATACGATCGACATCGACACCATTGGCCACGTTGGGACCCGAGGCCGGCGTATGAAGTCCGTTGGATTCTACCATGGCGAAAGTAGGAAGCAAGGAAGCGCAAAGACAGAGTTGGGAGGAATCTCAAGGAAGAATGCAGGCATTTCAAATTCCTTCCCCTTTGCCTGGGGATAAATAGTCTCTGAGGTGCTCCCGTGCCTTGCTTCGATTCTTTCTTCGAGGCGGAAGACCGGAGATTCTTGGTCTAGCCGACACAAGTCCGTTTTGAGAGATGAACTTGGGACGGGGTATAGTCAAGGTACTAAGTACTGTACTACTAACTTACTACCTAGTAGTACCTAGTACCTACTAGGTAGGCAGTGACAGCGGTAGCTGAAACCTCCGATTGAATGTTGGGCAGACCGTGTCTCATATGCGCTCCACTCGGGTCCACTGCCGGAGGATCCGGATTGATGGTCCGGAACGCCATCCGCGCCGCTAGCCACCTGCAGCCTGCAGGCAGCGTGGCCCGCTGTTTCCGGGTCGGAAGGGCCGCGGCACGTCCCACGATTCCGACCCGTACCACAAGGAGGACGTGCCCATGCCCACGGTTCCCTATCTTTCAGAGCACAAGCCGCACAAGGGCTGAGCCCGCCTGAATGTTGATGGAGTACAGTACAATGCACCTACGAGCGCCTGTCAGGGGCACTTGCTGCAAGGAGGAGGGGTTAAGCCCAGCCCGGTAAGCCACCGAACAATCAAGCTAAAACCTTCACTCCTTCGTTAGTGTCGTCGAATAGCGCTGGTTGCGTGGATTCCTCTCCGAACTAGTTCCGGCGCCAACCACAAGGAGAATTGTGTGCTCACTTTCTGAGGACATCAGGCAACGCACCCAAATAATTGAGACCAAGTTACTCCGAAGTAAGCAATCTCGGAGGCACTGCCTATAATTGATGCCACTATCGCACCGAACCGCGCTATGGAGCGACATGCCTTTGCGCGGGTAATTTTGAAAAAAAAAAAAAAAAAAAGAAAAAGAAAAAACGAAAACGTTGCCTGCTGCCGCGCTCCTCCTTCCTGTCCATGTCCTCTTTTCCTATCTTCTTCTTAATTCCCCCTCTACGACCACCTTGGGCAGTCTCACCTTCACACTATGGCGGGAACCCCGGCATATGACCAGCAGAACAAAGGTCCAATTCTGCTGGCCGTGATGTGGACACTGACTGGCCTCGCAACCGTGCTGGTATGGGCGCGGTTGTTTATTCGCACCAAGATTGTGCGTGCGTTCGGGCTGGATGATCGGCTCATTGCCATTTCGATGGTGAGTCCCTCTCAGACTGCCGTGATGGCCGTGATGTGAATGTGGGAACCATATTCAACCCCGTTTCAACTCCAGATCTTAGGGCTAGTCAACGTGATCATTGCCACGGTCGCCGTCCACTATGGCTTCGGCAGACACTCGTCCACGGTTGGCCATGCCGCGACTGAGCGTGCGAACATGACCATTGATATCGGCTGGATTTTCGGCATCCTCTCTTTCGCCTTCCCCAAGATGGGAGTGGCCGCCCTGCTTCATCGCATCTTGGTCCCGGGGTTTCGTATGCAGTGCGCGCTGTGGGGCTTGACTGGGCTAGTAATGGCCGTCGCCGTTGCCAACGTCCTTATTTTCTTCACCTCGTGCGATCCGCCGCGCGCTCTGTGGACAACGGTCCCAGGATCAACCTGTCGCAGTTCCGGTGTGATAATCGGGTTTGCGACGTTCAATGGGGGTGAGTCCCTCCTAAGCAAGTCACAGGGCTTCTGTTTACTAAGATAGGCAACACTCCCGCGGGCTGATAGTGCTGTCCGCCTTCACTGATCTCAGCCTCGCCATCTACCCGAGCGTGGTTCTCTGGAAGCTGCAGATGTCGCTCCATAAGAAGCTGGCGCTGTGTGCCGCATTGGGAATGGGTGCTATGTAAGCTTTGCCCACTGTCTTCTTCAAATCTCACTCTGTTTCGGCTGCTGCTAATCCATGTATGTGCAGATCCGCCTGCGCGGCCATCATCAAAACGACCCACATCAACGCCCTTGCCAACGTCTCCGACGCAACCTGTAACCCTCGCTCTCTAAAGATTCCTCCCATCATCCACGCTCCTATCCGAGCGAGAAATGCTGACTAAAGACTCCCAGACGCAAGCTGGTCCCTCGTCCTATGGACAAAGTTCGTCTCGCCCAGACCCCCAATCCTCACACGATAACTAAGCCCACCAACCTAAAAGTGTCGAAGCCGATCTCGTCATCATCGCCTCGTGCATCCCCACCCTCCAGCCCCTCCTCGAGTTCCTGCTGGGCAAGCGCTCCCTCGCCTCTTACAGCCACCCGCGCTCCTACCCCAGGACCACCGGCTACGGGGACGGTGGCTCGAAGCCCTCCAACAAACGCTCCCGCCGCTCGACGATGCTCGACCCGACCGCCATCACAATCACCTCGATGCGCCGCGACAGCCAGGAGGAGATCCTACAGTATGAGCTCCGGTCGCCAGTCCCAGGCCCGACACAAAAGCCCGGGTGGGAGATCCAGCGGACGGATCACATTGTGATCGAGTATGAGATGGAAACTACCGGTGAAGGGAGGGCCGAGGGAGCGAGAGAGGCGGCGGCCGGGCGGAAGCCCTAATTGACGGATAGACATGGCTGACGAGCTGGCCGTGGCGGTGATCGAGTCCGCCAGTAGAAGTGGCGCGTACTACCTAGATACATACATACATAAACTTATATATTTATATATAAGGGAGGTTAGGTGAGACCTCCAAATTGACATTGACTATGGTCTAATAGATGAGAAACAAGCAGCTGGGTTAGAGGGTCATCATTCAACTTACGTAATCCCGCTATCTATCATTAACCAAGACCTGTCCACTTTTTGTTCTCTGCCTGACCAGCTCCGACCTCCTTGATAGAAATATGACTTCCCACAGGACAACAATGCACCTGGGAAGTGCTCAGTTGAAGGACATGGACCCCTGCAATATTAATATCATCAGGCAGATCACGTGCTATGATTTGTCTGCAATATTCGAGGTAGATCTGAATGGACACAAGTATGCATTGAAGGTTTTCCACGACAACGGCGACTCTGGATATACCGAGAAAGGCCGCGACTTGAACAGGTTTCGCCGCGACTTAGATGCTTACAAGAAGCTTCTCACCTCTGGTGTCTGTGCACGCGGTTTTGTGCCACAATTCTACGGCTACATCAATCGAATGGATCCCGCAGCATTCCATCCTGCTTTACAATCTTTCGCCCGAGACTAGCCAAGGCCGAGAGCAATATTGCTAGAATATTTCCCATATGCAGAGAGTCTGAACTGCGTGGACTACTCGGACGCGCACCTTCCCCAGGCCATTGAGGGCATGCATGAGATACACCGGGCGGGTGTCCACCATCAAGACATCTACCCCAAAAACCTTCTCCTGGTCCGTGGCAACCCCGGTAGGCTGGTCTGGATTGACTTTGATGTTGCAACGACCTTCACCGACTTTGGACCTAAACAGCTAGCCCGCTGTGACTACGAAATTGCGCTTGTGAAGGGGCTCGCGGAAGGTATGGTATGGGTTGCGTTGCTGTCTACATTCGAATCATTAAGTGTGCTAACTAACGAAAGCAGAGAGATGACCAGGCCGAGGGACTCCCACCGAATACAAAATTCTGTTAAGGGTTCCATGGGCGTTTGCCTGTTTTGAGAATGCTTGGTGGCATTCACGCGTGCTTTCTTGTAATAGATATCAGTCGGGGCGGAGTTCCCAGCAAGGGCTGTTTGGGTTTATTTTACTCCTTCATATGACCATGAATCAACATCTCTATTCCCCAGAGCCGCTCTTGGAGCCAATTGGATCCTGTCTTAGCTACACCGTTTGCGCTGCAATCCTCGTCTACAATGAGTTTTCGCCAAAATGCCGGGTATATCTCCGAAGCAGGTAAACCTCCATAAGAAAACCGGGCATACAGTAATAAATATGGGCATTCAGCATTGTCCTTGACATTCCAAGGGAAACATTGTGATTTCTCGAGTATATTTGTGACCATCGAGGCAGTGAAGGCGGCTATTGTATTGCAGCATGGCAATTCCGGGGCTCTGCGAATACCAAGGCTAGGATGTTGAATCTGAGGGCCGAGACATTTATGTATATGTACTAATAGGAACCTAGGGATGTTACATGGTCGGAAGTAGACATTGACCACAAGTATCTCTGCTTGTCCGCTGGAGCAGCTCAGCTTTGCAGAACATAATTCGACGCGAACCAAGACAGATTCGTTGGCGAAGCCCCATGCCCTGGCGCTACAGGAGGTCATCAGACACTAGGTACGAATCAGCAAATCCAGTCTGCTTGAAGCAAATTTGGATTTCAGGGCCTAGTACGGAGTACTATGCCATCATCTGTCGCCGGGCCCATTCGCGGCCGACCATCAACAGCAACGGGGAACAATATAAATCTACGCGTAAGGCTGTCTTATACCCACAATTGCACTGGTCAGTGTCATACCGTCTAAGAAATACTTTTATAACGTGGCGAACAGGGGATCAGTAGTTTGTGTACCTAAGTATTTAGTCATCTCTAATCCCCCAAGCCCCCCATATTTACACTAAGCCATTCCCCTCACCTTATCGCTCCATTCAGTGGCTTCAAATCAGTCCAGGTGTTCGATCGCGAAGTCCTCCACCTTCAACCCATACTTGACCACCCGACAGACCTGATAGACGGCCAGCCCGATATACATCAGATAATTTTCGAGCTCGTCGTTCCACTGCGCCACGGCTTTGCCCCAGGTGCCGGCGAACCCGGCGATCGTTTCGATGAACCCGTTCACAATCAGCACCTCGTTCTTTTCTGCGGCGGTGGCGTCCATGATATCGCCTGTGAGCCCGAGGCACAGCGACGGCACCGACAGCACGGCACTGACGGTCCCCTTCCACCGCTTGACTACTGGTCGTTCCAGCTTCATCTTCTTGCCCACGAGTTTGACCACGGTGCCGGAGGTGAACTTGGCGCCCGTGAGGGCCCAGCCCTGAAAGATCAAACGTTAGTTTCAGGTCGTGCGTGAGTAGGGGTCATGAGAAACTCGGGAATGATGCTGAGGAGCATGATGTGTAACACTTACCGCGTATTTGATGGCGTGTTTGGTGTCAAGCGAGGCAGTGGTCAGTCCAGAAGAGTAGGAGGCGGCGGACGTCGCGCCACCTCCCACAGGCCAGGTTGTGAATCCGTTTACGGCGGCAAAGGTCAGGGACGCCGAATCAAAGACATTCATGATACTATCCACCGGTCCAAAGGGGATAGATTCGAGCCCGAGTCCCTCGAAGGCGCCATCGAGCCCCAGCGAAAGCATGTCAAACTCGGTCTCAATCAGGAGCACGCCCGACTCCGCGGCGACACTGAACCCTCGGATATCCGCCGCGAGCGATGTATCGCCCTGGCCCTCAATGTACTGGCTGAAGGTACTCTTTGTCAACCGCCCGGATAACTTAGGAGGCGCCCGCTTCTTCTTTGCCTTGTACAGCACCGTGGTCGGGATCGCGATCAGCAGCGCGCAGAAGTTCAGCAGCGTCAGGGGCCGGCCCCGGGCGATCACGTTCTTCCAGAGCCACGTTATCACGGGGATGTTGATTTCCTTCGTTGCCAGGTCCTGCACGAGGTCGATGCCCAGTTTCAGGGCATCGAACAGGATATCGGACAGCTTCTCCACCGCGTCGATCATCCCGTTTACCAGGTCCACGCCCACCTTGGCCATCACCTCCCGCACGCTGAAGTTGGCGGGGTTGAAGAATTCGACCAAATCCTTGGCCACATTCGTCACCGTCTTCATGATGATCTGCACTTCGTCCTGGACATCCTGCCACAGCTTCACGAGTTGGTCCTCAGTCGTGCCTCCTGTCGCGAAGGTTTTAGTGCTGCTGTCGTCTTGCAGCACCGCATTCGTCGGTCCGCCACCGTAGGTGAAGTAGTACGTCGACCAGTTATAGGGCACTGCCGCCTTGACTTCATCCTCATCGGCGCCCTGGTCTGCCTTGCCATCTGTGTCACTGGCAGTGCTAGATGCGATAGTGGTCTTGTTCTTGCTATCGCTGCCCCCCAGCCGCGCTCCGTTGTAGTCGTTGGACTGCAGAGAGGTGAGATTCTGCAGGATGGTCGAGCGCACGTTCTCCAACCACTTGTGCGCGTCGAGGTCTGCCGCGTCCAGCGCCTCCTTCCCATAGTCCAGGGCCGCGGTGAACCCCGCGGCGATACTGTCGGTTGTGTCCAGGATGTCGCCCCACTCAAACAAGTAACTGATGAACTCGATAATATCCTTGATCACGGCGCCGATCTTCTTGAACACCCAGATAACGCCTTTCACGATCGAGGTGATGGTGTTGAGGGCGATCTCGAAGATCTCCTCACCGATCTTGACGATAAACTTCCACACGCCGCCGACAAGATCGCAGGTCCAGTCCCAGACATCCTCCGCAACTGAGGTGAGCCAATGCCACGCTCCAGCAAAGGCGTCCCCTATGTCGGACCAGAAACCATACGGCACGGGGGTACTGCGACTTGGAGTGGTAATCGTTGCGTGGTATGTTTGCAGCTTTTGTTTCTCCTGCGCATGTAGATCATTCGCACTGGCGACGAGCTGTTGGAAGATCTTTGCGACGCCGTCCGGATCGTCGGGGGCTTTCTCGAACAAAGGGGTCCCGTCTGGCTTCTTCAGGTTCTTGACCTGCTCGCCGGTTTTGATGTCCTGGATCTTGGGGAGGATCTTATGGGATGGATCAAGCATCGGATCCGTTAGGGCTCGCTCGCCCGCTGCTGCTGCTGCTGCCGACGACAAGGGCTGCGATGGTTTCTGCGCGGGACGGTAGGCGTCGGCGGCGAACTGGTGGATCGTCGCGTCGTCAGTCTGCAGGAGGATATTCAAGACGCCCTTCGCATCGGTCTGGTACCAGTCTGCCGCGGGAGAGAGAGTCGTGTGGCGACCGTTGACGATACACCGAACGACGCCGGAACAGCTCACACGCAGCCAGCAGCCCGGGAGGAGGTCGGCCGCGTCCCCGTCGCCGTCGTTGGTGACCATCGTGTGCAGACGAACCATCGACCCCTTTACTTCGGTGATGGTCTCTTCGGAGGCGTGCCAGAACGGGTACTGCTGCCACACCTGGGAGGCAGGGTCCTGCTGTAGAAGCGAGAGGTTTCCGGTTTCGTCCACGGACAGCAGACTGCTGACCAGAAGCTTGCTATCCCCGTCGGCGGGTCGGCTGGACAGAAGGCTGGAGATCCGGCCTCCTTGTCCCTTCGCGAGGAGAGGAATCACTACGCCCTCGGGGAGAGCCGTGGTCTTAGTGGTGTAGTAGTAGACTGCGTCGGCCACGGTAGTATACCAGAGCCGAAGATTCTCCCCGGTCTGCGAGACGTGCAGATCCTTGAGGTCACTGATCTGCTTCAGGCTGTCTATCACCGTGCCGGCACTGCCCTTGGACGAACTGTAATCCTTGTAGGCCAACGCGGTGATCACCTTGCCGCCCACCAACACAACCGTCCACCCCTTGGCCGGGTCCAGGAACGAAGCCAGACAAGTCGCCCCTAAAGTAGACATCAGACATCAATGGAGGTGTCCTAGGCGGTACGCCATGATACGAAAGCTGCCACGCGCGCAGAGAGTCATTCCCAGAGACAAGGCAGGAAGAAAATCCTCTTACCTTCCGGACAGGGAACCTGGACTTGGAACCCAACACTGTCATCGTCGTCTGCGGCCAGCACCTTGAACACCAAAAACTTCTCCCCGGAGAACCCTTGATACAGCACCATCACTCCATCGCCCATCAGGCAGGTGACCAAGGTCACATCCAGAATCTTTTCCGGGTTGACTGGCAGGCTCCAGTGTTCCACCAAGGTGGCCTTCTTCCTCTCGATCTTGACGTAGTTGAGGTCCTCTGTCTTGGTCAACCGATCTGCTCGTTGGAACGCCACCATGATCAGCGGCAACGCTCGCTCTGCGTCACTCGGTTTGTGTCCCTTGATGCATGGAGGTGGCCCCAGGTTAGCTCCTTTCCAATCACCTGTTACCTCAGGACATAGGGACATGACAAACCATATATATATGATCCACCGTCGGGAAGGTCCCTTGGATGACTTTGGCCGATGGCACCGTGCCTGGGATCTCGTCCAAGGTAATATTGTGCAGCAGATAGAAGTTTGAGGTTGTATTGCTCGCTTCCGTGGCAATGCAGATATCCAGACTGCCGTCCGTGGCTTGGAGGACGGCAAACGCTTGGACCTTGACATCTTGAGAGAAGAGACCTGACAGCTTGGCAAAGTCATACTTCTGGGGCTCCCGGCCCACGGTAATAATCAGGCTGAGGATGCTATCTTCTCCCAGGGCGAACACGGCGGGCTGCCATTGCTGGTCGTGGAAGACCCCGAATGACTCGCCAGCCGGGACCGGGTTGGCGGCCACGTAGTTGGTCATCACCTCGGAATCCTTTTTCACAGTAATCATGGTGAAGGAATGCTCTTGAGGCAAGAATAAGGGAAATGAAGTAGTTTCGATGTACTCTGAAAGGATGAGGAAGGAAAAGATGAGGCAGCGCTATTGCTGAAGAAGGGGGTGTTCTTATAAGCACTTGTAGGCTGTCTTCAAGATTGCCAACTCTCTCACTATCTCTTTCCGTTATTTTTCTCTTTGTCCATCTCGAGGACTCCCAGCTGAAAGCCGAACTGACATGATCATGATGCCGGGATTGAAACAAGAACCAGTAAATGGCACCTCCCCCGCACCATGCGCGATTTTCTTGATATGTGTCATGGCTACCAGCTCCAATGTTTAGCCCCGTGCGTACAATGATCGAAGTGCGCATCAAGATCCTGTGAAAAATGTAGTACTCTGTGGGTGGCAAAATGCGCAAGGTGCGCGAGCTGTGTGCGAATTGTTTGACTCGTGCATATTTAGTTGCATATCTCATGCATGAAAGGGTGCATCCGCGGGGCGGAACGGACCTTGGCTGGGTAAACGCACCGAGCGGGGGCCTCGCAGACCGAATGAGCTGAATCCATTCTGAGCATCTCCGAGGGCCTAGGCTTGCTTTTCCCTCGATGGTGTTAGTCGGATGGCCTGCAGTCTGTAGATCCTCTGCCTTCCCCCTCGCCACGTCACTTCTGCACCAACTATATCCTGCGAGCTGAAAGCACCCCACAGAGGCTTCAGCTCCGATCAAACAGGCTGGGAAGCCGTCCTTCCCTGTGTCGCACCTGCAATGTTTTACATGCACAAGTACGAGGTTTCTTGCTCCTGGTAATGCGACAACCTCAGAACGGAAACTCGACCCTCCAGGATCATCCAGCTGAGTGGCGGTTGTTCTGATCCGGGCCAACTATCTGACGTCAGTGGAAGCCACAGGCAGCTGAAGAAAAAGCAAACAGGAAAGCTGCACGTTGGCGGAGATCATGTTTGTCGAAGAGTACCATGGCTGAGCTGAACGATGTTACCTTATCATATCGGAGGCGGGGGGAGAGGGCGATGCAAATTCGGAGAACCATGCGACAAGAGCCAAACTCGGTCCTACGTTCTTTGAGGACTCCCCTCTCACTTGTCAGGCCTATATAATAGGACTCTGCTCGACTGGCTGCTCACACAAAGACAGCCAAAAACAACTAACATCTTTCAATACTGTCGCCAGGCCGCCTCCAGCATCATGAGTTCCTCCCAGGAATACTATGTTAACAACACCAGTCCTGACCCTTATGATCAGATCATCGTCCTCTCGCAGAAGGTGATCAATGCAGGGTTCAAGAACATGTGGAAGCTCGCCCAGGGGGAAGACGAGGGCCCCTTGACACACTTCCACAAAAGCATACACGGCGAGTCGATCGACGCGACTGTTGGGGCCCCTTCCGTGCAGCTCCATGTCGAAAGCCGTGAGCCCATGTTGTATTTCCTGTTAGCTTTGAAGACGGGAAAAGTGGTCCTGTACAAAAGCCAGGAGTCCGACGATACCATCGAACTCGACATCGACAACTGGGTCCTCGCCTTCGATGTGGTGATCAGTAAGTGCGCGCCGGCGAAACAGGGAGGCTTTGTTCTCGAATTGCCTTTGCTAACCCTCCGCCAGACCAGAAGAAAATCTCGAAGGACTCGGATGAATACAAGAAGTTCAAAGAGCGTGCAGGGCTTCCCGAGTCGAACTTTTCTCTCGCGCAGCTCTTCATCGACTCGTCATGTTAGTGCTTATAGTGTTCCTATCAGATAGCCTGCTTTTAACACCCAACCACAGCCAGCACCAAGTTCAACGAGGATATCACGACGCTCGGTAAAACCAAGTTGAGCGATCTGAGCGGTGACTCTCGGGCTAGCTTGCTTACGTTCATTGATCACTGGATTAAGGGAATGTCCGAGAATGGCAAGAGTATTCTAGGATACTCCGCCCAGCGCGAGGCAAGCAAAAGCGCCGATGAACGTAAGAGAGCCTCTCACGTGTAGTGCCAGCGCACTCAAGAAACTTGCTGATTGTTGTCGGTCCGTGCAGTCAACCCATACGCACCATCGTTTCCGCCTACCAGTATCGATTACTTCTGTTATCCATGGCGCGGGGCGGATGGTCAGGGATCCAACAAGGATTACCAGGACGACAACGCCATGTCCTACCTATTGATGTCGAACTTCAAGAACCCTCCGGCTGAGGGTGCCATGGGCTACACCGGACCGTGGGTTGATGGCGCAGGCGATCGAGGGGCCTCGTTCTGCATGAGCCGCACCTTGTTCTGGGAATGGATGCTGCCGCTGGCCAGACAGGTGGTGGTGGCCATGACTCCGGTGCCGGACACCCCATACCTCGAGTGGGTGGGAACCCCGGCCGACACACCTTATGGCTTTTGGACCAGGTATCATATCGGCGATGCCGGGGCGTCGGACAGCAGTTATAAATGGGTTCCAAATGCGTACGGCGGATGGTCCACGAGCACCGAGGATAAGTCCACGGCGAAGAAAGTCAACAAACCCGGTAGCGGGAGTGATTGGATGAATGCGGCACAGTATGGTATGCACTCGCCTTTCTTCTGTTTCTTCCGAAAAGGATAAATCAAGTGCTTGAGAGGCTGACACCGTCTAGTCACCAATATCCAGGCGACGGTCTCTTTCACGGCTGGAAAAGAAAGCCTCACAGTGAAGGGAGGCAATGACTTCAAATATGACCTCAATCATCACAGATCCTCAGGGAGTCCCACCGAGTGAGCCCTTCTTACCTTTCTCTTTTGTGTCTCATGGCGGTCTGAATGCCTCTTCTGACGTGGCGGGGGGCTCTGAATTTGCAGGTTCTGGGTGACTGTACACACCACATGGGAACTCGAAATTGATATGACCTCGATTGAAGAGGGCGGGATTGTCTTTCGTCCCAAGGACAGCAATGACCACGTGCAGGTCACGTACGAGGAAGGTGGCGGTATGAGATTGACTGATACCGCGAAGAATATCGCCGACGAGATGGCAGACGACCTCAAGGCAAGCATGAATTCTGCACTGGATAGTGTCAGTCACGTCTTGGCCGAGGCGATGGCCAACGCAAACCGCCTCTGCCTCCCGGCCGCCGGGACTTTCTTCATGAAGGATCCTCTCTTCAACCAGAGCGGCGATCTGCTGGTCAAGCTGGCATACGATGGGTACGTGCTCCTCTTCAGTGTTGGTGCTTCCAGAGTGATCTCGATCTGACAGTCTGAACAGGGCGGATCCTCCACCACCCCCGCCCACAGGGAAATACAGATCCCGGCCCCCGACGTTGAACAGTGTGGTTCGTCGCGTGGATTCTTAGGCGGTGGAAATGCCTGAGTTCGTGTTCCTTTTGAGGGTTGCTAGCGGACACTTGAGTTTCAAAGTGCCTCTTTTAGGTGGCCATGAGGCGGCCACGACCTTGGACGGGGAGAGCCTCCTTGTTAGGAACTAGGATACTTTTATCATTCCATATCAAGACCCGTATTTTGTACTGACGAGATTACGGAGCAGCACTGTCCTGAGTTTGTTGATGGATCTTTTCCTCCCTGGAGACATGAGAGACGATGACTAGTCTGCGCGATGTGCAGCTCAGTAGAACAGCCGCATGCCTACGTCAATCCTATTTCAACTGTATAAAGCTATTGGTTTTTGTTTTTTCTGTTATTTATCTTAACCTATATCAACTATAGATGACACATGTAATCGTATTCCCTTCGGCCACACACGAAGGGGCCAAACAAGCGGCCAAGTGAGATGACTACTTTACATATTAAAGCTAGTCATGTCAATGTGGGCTACCGCCCGGGAAGGATAGCCCTATCCCGGGTCCTCAACTTGCATTCACTACTAGTGCTTACTTTTCTGTATGTCTAAGCCACAGCCAAACACTTATTTCTCTCTTGTCTTCAATTTACCCCCATGTTCAAATCTCTCTTTCTAATTCTAGCCAGGCCCACAACTCAGTCAACAGGAAACAACTGCACCTCATCAGAAATGCTTCTCGAACCCCCTCCCAACCCCAACCCGGGGTTCGACTCAGTCTTGGACCTGAACCTCCTGGAAGACTGGGACGATGAAGAAGGTATCTGGTATAAGAAACTACTGATATCACTGGTCAACGGCGAGACGTCACCCACGCAGGCCGCAACCGAAATCGACACCTACATCACAAGAGAGCCCAACGAGCGATACGAACTCCACCGAGCGTATACCTACCATCGCGATCAGATCCCGCCGCACACAGTACTGGATGAAGATCCTCTGACGGTGAGAATGGAGGGCAGCACCGAGGAAGAAGTCACGATCGGAGCTCCAGCTCCAGGAGCCCACTTCGAAATGGTCGTGCGGTGGATTACCCGACTGGCCTCGGCTTTTCCGCCGGAGCACGTCGGGCAAGACCGCATCGTCGCCTTCCTCGAAGCCCTGAGAACGCTCCCCCGCCACGGGATTCACATTATCAATCCATCGCGAGAGAATGACGAGGAGGATAACTTTTACACCACGCTGAAAGTGTGGCCCCTGGACGGAAACTTCCTGGCATTGTCGTCGGAGGTTCGCTACGAAGGAGAGGGTACAGTATATAGCAATCCTTCTTCTTGTGATTCTTTTTGTTCAGAATCTCACGACCGGATTGTGTCCATGCAGCGTTTAGCTACCGCCACTACCCGGCAATCCAGCCCCCTCCGACCGATCGGGACCTTCGCTGGCGGAACTACCAGGCGGCGATCGCGCGATTCACCGCTCGAAATCTGATTGATTGCACGCATCTCTGCGCGCTGGAAGGGATTCTACCGGACGATGGCTGGTACCCGAACTTGGACGATCCCACGCATCGAGACTCGGGGTACAGATGGCTCGCCGGCTGGGTGATCGCCGGGGCTCAGTGGCTGCTGCGACCCGAGGTGCGGAGCCATGTGTATCAGCAGTGCTTGAATCAGGAGAACGTTGGGAGGCGGGAGGACATGTGGAGCAGGGAACGATGGCAGCAGTGGAAGGACCAGTTCGCACGCCTCGCCATCGAGGAGAGGCTTGGGCCGCATGCTCGGGAGCTCGCGGGTTTGGTTCGTCAAAGGATGGTTGCACACGAAGAGGAGGTTGTTTTGTTTCCCGTGACAGGCAGTCTGTAATGCTTGCTCTTGGGTTTCATACTCTGGCATATAACACTTGAAATTTACAACAGGTCCTGCGCCGTCAATTCGTTTGTGACCTGTTGTAACCTTGAATCAACAGTCTCCTTATATATATCAAGTTTCACACAGTGTCCTCAGTATGTTAGGCTCTCTAGGTTGTTAGGGAACCATTGCGCGTCTTCGCTCAGACCGTTCGTCAAAAAGCCAACCGCCAGGCGAACAGCAAAGACCCCCCAATTGATTTTGAGTCCCTCCGGCTCGGGTGCTTCGCTCGCGTTCCTCTCTTCATCCCAGGTCGACATGTCAGGGTCTTCATTTTGGTAGAAGTATGCAAACAGTAGGCGAAGGGCGTCATCTGCCTCAGCCTTCGCTGCTTGGGCTTGCTCCTGAGTGAACGAGTTGGTCTGGTACTTGGGGGACTCCCAGAGCTTCTGCATCCAGTCGCCGTATTCCCCGAAAGCATCCTCGCCGTTCATGTATCCGACCTCATTCAGCATCTGCATCATCTCTTCCATCGTGGCCTCGTCCATCGCCCCAATATCGATCATCGTCTCAATCATCTTCCGCATCTGCTCCATGCTAATGTACCCGCTTCGCACCACATCCTTGAGCATCTCAACATTCACGTGGCCCTGCTCGTCGATCACCTCCTGGCAGAGCTGCTGGCCCATTCTCATCCTCTCCTGCTCAAACTCGTCCTCGTCGGGTTCCTCCTCCTCGTCATCGTCCGACCCGCGCTGGACGTCTTCGGCGGACGGCGCGTCCGCCTGCAGGTCTAGCTGCCCCAGCGCCTCAGCAACCTGCTCCCCCACCACCTCCCCCGCATCTTTCGGGTCGGCTTCGTGGGCGTCATTGTCCAGCTCCGCCGATTCATGGCTGAGCTGGTTGGTGTCCGCGGCCGTCGACCGGCAGCGTTCCTCGACCTCCTCCATCTTGCCGACGACAATCTTCAAGCCGAAGACCCGGGCAAAGTCAGCGATCGAGGACGCCAACTCAGCGCAGCGCTTCCAGTCTCCACGGAAGCTTGGGACTGCGAGTTAGCCAATTCGTCCCAGGGGCTGTCTGTTATTGCTGAGGGAACGGAAGATCATTGTACCGTACCTCTCGTTTTCCAGTCGCCAGAGGGCTTGTCTCATCATTTTGAACCTCCAGTTGACTTCCCACTCTTGCTCTCCGTTGTAATCAAAGTAGTAGAGGAAGTTCTACAGAGATATTAGTCAAGCTTCCTTCCAAAGGGGAATAGGGTTGCGGACCTCGAACAGTTGGTCCTTGTCAAAGTGCTCTTCCAGCTGCCAATTCCCCATTTCCCAGAATTCCTCGTACATGTTCTCATATTGCTCTTTCATGAAGGGCTTCATACCCTCTCTTTCTTCGTCGAGCCCAGGATCCATTTGTTCGAGGGGGAAGCTTGGTACGGGGCTGGGGGTAAAGTTGCAGGCTCTAGACTGGTATTGTTGTGTTCCGACGGACAGGGGAGAGAACGCCTTTATTTGGGATCAAGGCTGGGACAGAATGGTCGCACAGAGCATTTAGATCTCCCATGTGTGCAGCTGGCGTGTAGATCCATCTGGCGTTTTCGTCACTCAGCTGAACCGAGTGAGGATCGGCATCAGCTGCCCCACCGCTCGGGCCCACTGTTGCAAAGTCGTGGGACCCATCTGCAATCCTTAGGAAGACAGAGTGTGTATCTGAGTCAATCCCTCTCGAGATGTGGAGAACTGAAGAATCGAGCCTTGACCGCATGTTATAACTGAGGCAATTGATTGGGTGTCCCCACTGTCGCGATTCACGGCTGGTTGAATATCATTATCTTGTCTCGCTTTTGCTGCCGCGCTTTTCCGATCGATCTCGGCTACTGTGGACCTGATGCCGATCTTGCAGGTGTAGGTACCCCTTGAGCTCGTGGATGGGAAACCATCTCTTGTGCAGCAGTCCTGCAGCAGGACCAACTACTACCCTGGATATGGGTCAGATACCGCAGTTTTCTGGCAGTAACGAATTGCAATGAGATACACATGATCCTGTACCGGCTGGGCCATGTAAGTAATCGGTCGATCGGTCGCCATCGGCCAGACCGGCAGTCGCGATGATTGGAGTCGAAACTAATCTAGGCAGAGTTGTGGTTATTGATCCATGGGAGTCTCCAGCGCAGGCCCTCGGTGAGGATACCTTCAGATTCAGATCTTTTTCTCCCTCGCCATAATTCTGGTGGGAAGTATCATAAGAGGCAAAAAGACAAAACATACAACAGAAGGGATTCGCTGGTGGTCACCCACCCAACTACTAACCTCCCGGCGTGTGGCTTAAGTACGGCTGAGCGGACGGGAAGCCCTGTTTTCCACACCCTGTGGTCGTATGTGCTGGAGTATCAAAAATGCTGGAACTTAATGCACGGCAATCCTATGCTTTATCCCTTGAAGCTCGACAATATTCAATAAACATTGTTCTTCCTAGGTTTGTGCCCTTGATCAATCTCACTTTGACGCTGTCGGCCATATTGCTACTAGGGGCTACAGAGACCCTTCGTCCATTCTTCACCTTGTTTACCCTAAACTTAGTGGAATGATGCCCACAGGATAGTAGATGACTAAGCGGACCTCACCTGTCGGGAAATACATCCAGTCGCCCGGCTCTTCCGATTCGCTGTATAAGGTGTATAAGCGCCACCTGAGGCCGGTTTTGAGAATAGATTGAGCCGGCAGCTTCATGCTCCGGAAACCATACCGAGCCCTTGTGAGAGACCGCTATTATCAATTTCGCGACTAGTAGAATCGTTCCTTTTCTACTCATGGAGCCTGGATCGCTCATCACGGTATCTATCGACACCAGGTGCAACACCGCAATTGAACCATGGACGAGTGTTTCTTGCACTCTACGTAACTGCAGGTCTGACACATTCAGCTACTCGCTGACCGCCACCCTCTCATCGTTTGACATACTCGGCCAGACGCGAGGGGAATAAGACCTATTTTCTTTCTAAAGAATACCCTGCCTGGTCTGTGGAGAAGTTATGCGACAAGACATAATCGGAAGAGATTACGGAGTAGACTAATTGGACTCGGCCCGGTTGCCAGCCCCAGTCCCGCTGAGTCAACTCTAGGACGCAGGTCTTAGTTAGCTAGGGACTTGGTCGGTCAATGAACTGACCTATTGACCAGTAGCACTACATTTAGTTGCAAATCACCCCGTTACTCGGTATATCCCTCAAAATATTCCGGACGGATACCCGAGAGCGATCTGTCCCCGCATTTCCGTCCGCTCTACTTGGCGGGCCTGCTAAGTCAGCGGACAGTATACCCATCTAGTACTGGACTATTTTAGACAGGTAGCCAGTGAATCAGTCACTTGGCCTAGATCCATATCGACCCGATGTATCATGTGATACGGGCCCATTTTCCCTCCGTAGTGTCACTTTATGAAGCGGGCCTTTTAGTATGTGGTTCGGGATCTGACCGCCAATTAGAAAGACTGGTTATTGATCTCCGTTATGCCGGTCCCACTGATTTCCAGAGCATATACTCTGGGCATATACTCTGGAGTATGACCTTGTGAGTCCTCGGAGGATCTGATGTGCTTGAAGAAGAAGTCAAGCTAAAGGGAGGTAGGACTAGTATAAAATCCAATCCAATCATCAACCACTTTGGGGATACTCGTATCGACTATCCATAGCTGCCAACCATCATCCCGACAACAACATCATACAACAAAGAAGCGGTCAGCGCAGTGAAACAAGCACCTTGTACCGAGAAGGGGCTGCATGCATTCTCAACAGGATGGCTAAGGTCCGTCTGCCGGCTTCATGTCGTACCCGGAACGGGCTATTCAGGGGTCAGGTCAAGAGGAAGGCCGTCGACTCTCCACTTGCTCCTTCCCTCGTGTCTATATTAACCCAGATAGATTCCTGCATCTTTGATCCCTTCTAATCCCAACAAAAATCACTCCTGCAACCTCTCTTTCATCTCTCTCTCTCTTCTTCAATTCATCCTGAATTCAGACCCGACTCAAAATGTCTTTCCAAGTCGCCGATGTTGACAAGAACCTCATCCACGGGGCATTTATTCTGACCCCCAAGCCTGAACATATCGATGAGGTACATTCCATCGAGGACCCCCCCGCAGTTCTCACCGGCAGTAGTGTGCTGACGAATGGTCCAGATCTGTTTCGAGCTGTCGGAGCTTGCCGAATGGATCGAAGCCAACGAGCCCGGCACCCTCGTCTTCTCGATCGCCCAGGCCCACCCCATCAGGGAGATTGGTGGTGAGGGTCCCACGACCATTGGAGTTACTGTCGTGTAAGTGTTCTTCTTTGGCACGAGGAGAAGTATCCTTTCCAGAGGAGAAGACCATAGCTTATGCAGATCGCCCATAGGTTTGCGAACCGAGCTGCTGCCGAGGAACACCGGTCTTCCCCCAAGCTGCAGGCTTTTATTGCCAAGGGCAAGGAGGAGAACAAGTTGGCTGGTCCCCCTGAGATCCGGGCTTTGACTCCCAGGGGTGGATTCCTGCGCAAGCCCCCTCAGTAGGGGCTACTGGGGATAGCTGCCGAGACTTTCGGCTAGAAGTTGCTGTGTTGGCAATTCGATTTGTCAATACATACTTAGCTGGCTGGGAGAAGCTGGGTATAATCGATCATATTCCAGATCGCATAGAAAATATAGAAGGCCCTTCTGCGGCTGGATAAAAGTATCTTAGATGCTATATTGGCTTCTATTGATAGCAATATAAAGGGATCTTGTTTATAAAAGTGACGATCAGGCTTTGTCTGGTATCGTAGAAAGTCTAGTAAGTATAATCAAGATAATATCCTAAAAACTGAGAACGCCGCACTCACCCTGGCTGGCCGTGTGACCCGGGAAGAGCCACGCAGAAAGGACTGTATTCGGAGATAAGGCTTAAATCAATCTATCCATCAATCGATTAAGCTACAGTAACATGTATGGCCCAAGACGCTTCACCCAGCTGGGCAATATTCCATCCAGAATGACGGCTAGAGCTGAATGACACTGTCAGAATGGATTTATCCATGCTGGTAGCTGGCAACTCTATCCTTTGCTCAATTCTGACAGGCGAAACAGGTGATCAGTTTGAACAGGTATGTCAACACGTTTGCGGAGAACAGAGTAAGGAGAGACAAAGAAGCCCGCAAATATGACAAAGCTTGGCTCTCTTGGTCTTTTCAAGTCAAGATAAAGGGGTGCGGGGATAACACTTCTTTAGACTTTGGACATATCCTGACACAATAAAATCTACATCGCCTGGTACGCTGGTTCCTGACTCAACAGAGATATCTCATGCTGGTTACATTGAATGCATTCATTCATATTCATACTCAAGATCGAAAACTACTTGCGCAAGTCCCACCTGATTACCGGATCATGAGGCGCTGTCAGCATAAGGGGCTCGATCGGCGAGACCTGGAGGGCCATGTCCACACCGCTATACCTGCTTCCAGCAGCCATGCCGATCCAGCCGGCCTCCTTGTGACAGGCGCGAACCGGCCGGATCCGAAGCTGCGAACGATCCAAGGTGTAAACCCGCCGATACGCTTCTTGGATAGTGTCGTAGACTTGCGCTGTGAACATGGCCTTTTCTCCATGGATCCAATCCCCAACCCCGGCGGTGGGCGGATCCGGCCCAAGATACTTCCCCTGCGCCCAGTACGAGATATCGACCCACCAGCCTTTCTTCTTCTTCTGGTGCTGCTGCTGCTGTGTTTGTTCCTGGGCCGCGCCGCTATTCCACGGCACGAACTGGCTCCACCAGCTCCTGCTCCTGCTGCCCCTGCCGGTCATCCAGATCATTCACAACGACCATCACGTAGCTGAGCCGGGTGAAGTACTCGCCCAGCACGCGCAACGCCTCGGGATGCCGTTGGAACAGCGCCAGCGGCACCGCGATCCTCTCAAAGAAACGCGACCGCGAATGTTCCCACCTGCTCCTGGCAAGGAGGATTACTTCGAATTCCGCGGACGACAGGTAGACGACCGTGTCGGAGGCGTAGAGTTGGCGGAAGGTGTAGCGACGCGTCCGCCAGTCGAACGCCAGCCAGGGGTCAGATTCGTCACTGGGTGGTGTCAGTGTGGCCGTCGGACACGGCTGAAAATACTCGTGCAGGGAGCGCTTGATCAACTTCCGGGAGAGAGTGCGCGCCTCGCGGTTCGCCGCCGTCATCGCGGGCATCACGATCTTCAGCGATGCCGGCTTCATCTCCTTGTAAGCGGGGTCGGAATCGTCGCCGCAGTATAGCTTCTACTGACACTCCGCCGCGGGACAGAGTCTGACCGCGTGGTGCAGACGAGGACTGAACCATGCGAACTCCCAGATCAGAGTGCGAAGCTCGGGCGGGAGGCGCGAGAAGGGATGGAAGGTTGTTGCGGTGGTAGCAGTTATCTCGGCCATGGCTCCTGGTGGGTTGTTTCTTGGGGTTCGCTTCTTTTGAGATCAATAAGACTCTTGCGGTCGGGGTTATTCTCCGGAGATCAGCGATTTTGTACTTTTTATATCTGACGGGTTGTCTGTCGCCTGGCGGGTTACAAAACAAGGCTCTCTGTTCTACATAAAGGGGTATGCTCGATCATTGTTGTCACCTAAAGTAATCCACATACCTCCTTTGTGTGGATTCAACACCATCATAATCATGCTGAATGAATTTGTTGCAAGTTGCCGCACGACTTTGGCTTCTGAGAGAATCGCTTCTGAGAGAAGGGAGTTAGGGTTGAGCGGAGACCAACCACAAGCCTCAGGCAGCAGTGCTAGATAATGTGTGCGCAACGGACCATGAGCGCCATTGAGGCGTACCGCGTATGATAGATTTAAAGATAATGCGGATCGATAGAGCTCTGGAACTGAGTTTGTGAGCACGGAGAGAAGAAAGATATGACTTGAACATAAACACAATTTCCTGTCCATGGCACAGAAAAGCTCATCTCTCAGCTCTCAGGGTTTGCGAAAAGTGCTTGACATTAACTCAATACATTTACATCGATTGTAAACCTTTCTTGCAACAGAATAGAAACTTCCAGGTATTCACTCCAACACATAAGGAACTATACAGTGTTCTACAAATAGAGATCAAGACAACCTACTCCGTATACCTGCTGGATCAATTCAAAAATTACACAAGGTACAGGCTCAGAACCTTTACGAACCGTCCATATTGAAGATTACACAGCGGAATGCGGCCGCGCGATGTAACACCCGGTATCGGAAACAACCCGGTCCTGACATGCTATCGCCCCATGTGTGGCCGGAGGCATTCCGGACAGCATCCACCAAATCCACTTTGTTGAAAAGAGGGTTTCATCTAGTCAATCCCAAAAATGATTCACCTACATACAAGACTTGATACATGACGCGGAGTAATGGTCAATTATTCCTTCACCAGGTAGACATCTGTATCGAAAAGAAACAAACCAAGATGATGTCCATGATTCTGGCATGGGCGGATACACATCCCGGCATCAAAACTTTTGGCACAATTGTCGTGTGTCTCGCAGTCTCATTTTACATCATCCAAGAGCTGCTCAAGCCAGTGGGCAAGCGTCGGGGACCCGGTGGGAAGCGCTACAAGCTGCCGCCGGGCCCGAAGGGGGTCCCGATTCTCGGCAGCCTGCCTCTGCTGAAGAATCGCGCCCGTGATGACGACCACAAAGCGGTGAGTTGATTAGAAGATTCCTAGGTTACTTCCAATGCTACTATCTACGAGAAATGACTGACTGACTCCGTCAAACTGAAAGGTCACCGAGATGGCGCAATACGGCGAGATGACGACGCTTCACCTGGGCACCAAGACATGGATTCTTCTCAACAGCAAGCGCGTCGTGGCGGAAATCATCGCGAAGCGCGGCTCGCTGACCAACGGCCGGTCTCCGATGCCCATCTCTAGCGGAATCGTCAGTCGACACGGACGGTCCCTGCTGCTGTCGCCGGAGGAGGGCTGGACGGAGAAGCGCCGGGTGATGCACGCGCTGCTGAGCGGCTCGGCGCTGAAGCAGTACGGCGGCTGGCAGGAGCTGGAGAGCACGCAGATGGTGGCCGAGTACCTCTACCAGCCACAGCGCTGGTTCGCGCATCACTACCGCTACGCCAACTCGGTTGTCCACCGGATCGCGCTCGGGGAGAGGCTGCACAAATCCAGCCAGGAGCTGGCTGACCTGCAGGACGTGGTGACCCGGTTCGTGGGCAGCATCGGCACCAGCTGGATTGACTGGTTCCCGGAGCTGGACCACTGGACCCCGAAATGGGTGCTGCAGCCCTGGCGCCGCTCGTGGGAGAAGCTGGGCCAGTGGAACTACGAGGTATACCGCTCGTGGTGGGTACCAGTCCGCCGTCAGGTTGACGCTGGCACCGCCCCGCCCTCGTTCGTGCGCGATGTGCTCCTGCATGAGGACACCAAGTTCACTGGCGACGATCAGGAGGCCATGTATGTGGCCATGCAGCTGATCGAGGCTGGCAGCGACACCACCCGCGAGGTACTGAATACCTTCGCCATGGCAGCGCTCTGCTACCCGGACAAGTTCCAGAAGGCGCGCGAGGAGGTGGACCGGATTTGTGTTGACAGAGAGAACGGGACACTCCGTCTGCCCTGCCTGGCAGACATGGAAAGCATGCCGTATGTCTGTGGAGTGATCAAGGAACTGCTGCGGTGGCGGCCGATCTTCGTCTTTACTCCGGATCACTGTCTGACGGCCGATCTGGAGTTCGAGGGGTGCTCATTCCCGGCTGGGGTGGGATTTGTTATTAATGAGGTGCCCGTGGGCAATGAATGCGAGGATCCCGAGGAGTTCAAGCCGGAACGCTGGCTGGATGGCCATGAGGCGGATGTGGCTCATGGCTTGTGGCAGTTTGGCGGAGGAAGGCGCATTTGTGTTGGGTATCGGTTGGCCCAACGGGGGCTCTTTATCAACATTGCTAGGCTGGCAATGTGCTTTGATTATACTGCTGTAGGATCGCCCCCATTCCTATCTTTATGTTGACACCTACGATTGTCTCTGTAACTGACGTTTTGGCGATCTGCGACAGACCGGGCCGATCAATTCTAGGAAGCTCAACCATCACCTCACGACAGAGCCATTTCCAGTCAAGGTCACAGTTCGTAGCAGTCGACATGCCCAGTTGATCGAAGAGGAGGCGGCACGGGAAGGTGTTCTGGCCACTGCACGGGGCAAGTGACTTGGACGGTTTTGTATACAACCTGGCTTTTTTATGCTTCTTCTAGCCTTGAGTATCAAATTGTACCATGAATTTCGAACTTTGAAGTAAATAAGTACAGTCGTTCTGAGCATGTGTGTATTTTTCCAAGATTCTTTAATGATAGGTGTAAGAGCCAAGACTGAGTCTAATCGTCTTAGCATATTTGGTATCCTAGCATTTATCTCCAAGCTACAGTAGCTTACTCTCCTTGGTAGTGTGAGCTAAAAATCCGGAATATATATTCGTGTACTGTACCAGGTATCTCCACACTAAGTCACTCAGTTCTAATTCTGAAAGGCATCCACAATCCACCGCGTGACGATCTCGGTAGTGCCCCGAGGCGATCGATGCGCCATGAAATCCATCAAGGGCGCATCATGGGCCTCGTCGAGAGCCATATGTGCGATCAAATCGACCTGGGTTCGCTGCCGGATTAGCTGCACGAATTGGCCCACATGGTCGCGGAAGATCTCCTCCTGGCCCGCCGTGACAAGCAGCCCGTCCACCACCAGCCCTAAGTTGTCCCACCATCTGCCCGGAACATCCAGCGCCATGCCCCAGCCTTTGCCCTGCGAGATCTCTTTGTGCCAGGGAGTGCGGTCGACGAGATATTGTCCGAACGTGCGGACTACGTAGGGCGATAACACGTCGACGCTGAAGCGCTGGCGGTAGGATGGTGTGGTAAGGTCAAGGGATAAAAGAGGCGAGATGAGAAAGCAGCCTCGGAGACGGCTGGAGTGAGTCCCCAGCGAGGAGGTGGTGGTGGCGGCGGAAGGGTGATGTGGGTATGGGTGCATCAGCGCGGAGAGCACCGAGAGGGAAAGGTGGCCCCCAGCGGAGTCTCCACCCAATATAATCTAGTACTCAACGTTCAATTAGTGTGTGTTGGGTGAGGTACTTAAGGCTGCACAATACATCGGATAGTTCGTAGCCATGGTCTAGCAGATGCTGTAGCCCCATAAGAGCTTGTTTTAATTGCGTAGGATAGCTGTGTCCAGGAATAAGTGCTAGAGAGTGCGGGGGACGCATAGAGGCGTTAGAGACAAAATTCGAATCCAGTGCACAGTTAAGAGGGGCGAATAAAGTCTACTTACAGTACTCTAGTATGCAAACACTGACCTCCAACGAGGCTTTCAAGCAGATCCTCCTCACATGTGCCATCCAGTCAAGATGGCCATCTGAAAGTGGGAGCACGTATCCTCCTCCTAGAAGAGGTAAGCTTTATGATTACGCTTTCCACTTGTAGATTTGAAGGAAGAGAGGGCCCATTACCGTGGAAGAACAGTATCACTTTGTCGGATCGCTTAGGCCCAAGCCAGAGGAGGTGAGTTGTCTCGTCTTTCAGTGTGTCGACCCGGTGGCATATTCCGGTACGCTCCGCATTCCGACGAATCCAGGATGTGTATGTTTGCATTGTAGACGGAACAATTGCCTGAATCTGGTTGGGATGGAGGGAGTCCATGATTGCCCTTGCGCACGCATTCTGAATGCTCGGGCGGAGCGGAAGACCTCGAGCTGAAGCTCCGATCGCGGTCTTCAAAATGTTGCATACTATGGCTAGAGGAATCCGGAAGGCAAAGGCAGCTATCAAGTCCACTTTTTGCACAAAAGACAGCTGCGTTCTGGCTGCCATATTGCGCTTGGAATGAGGTTTTGGTCAATGCCGGGGTCCAAATCATAGGATAAAGCTCCTTGTATTACCTGCCAGTTATAGCTCTCATTCTTTTATGCTGGCTGTCTTAATGATGGACTCTATAACCACTTTGTCAATCACATGCAACAATAGTTCCACACCTTAGTTCCTGGTTCCCCGCATGGTCGGATCATTCCGAAGCCCATCCGGCCATGATCCGGGGTCGCGTGCGGCCGCGGCTCGAGCCCTAACTATGATACGACCAAGGCCATCTCGCTATACTACGGTGCCTAAATCACTGTGCATATATTTACAGAGAAGATCGTTACCACTACCTCCAACACAAATATTTTCCGCTCCGATACAAACATAAGCGTATCAGTTTTGCCCTTTCAACATGGCTTCTAAAGAGCCCCTGTTCCCCCGATCCCCTGACATACCATCTTACAGCCAGATTGCCTGCATTGGCACTGGACTTTCAGCAGTGGCTCTGGGCGCGACCCTGAAGCGATGGTACGATTTCGACGATATCCGTTTCTTTGATAGACATCCCGTGAGCGGGGGAACATGGTACATCAATTCCTACCCTGGATGCGGCTGCGACGTGCCCAGCGCTCTGTACAGTTACTCCTTCGAGTTGAACGCCAACTGGACCAAGATGCTGCCTTCCAATCAAGAAATCAAGCAATATCATGACTCTGTTCTGGGCAAGTATCACCTCCGTGAGAAGATGACGCTCTCCACCGAAGTCACCCAATGCGTGTGGAGAGACGATGCGGCTCGATGGCTTCTCTACTTACGGGACGTCAAGACCGGCCATGAATTCACCCACGAATGCCAGATCTTGTTCGCTGCCAGCGGCCAACTGGTGAAGCCTCGTCGCTGCGAGATTCCTGGATCAGAGGAGTTCCGTGGTGCCCTCTTCCACTCCGCCCGATGGGACCATAGTGTTAGCTTGGATGGGAAGAAGGTGATTGTCATTGGGAACGGCTGTAAGGCAACACTCTTCGGAAACACAAGAGCATTTCCAAGGCCTCCTGCTAATCTCCTTTGCTTGTTTTGACGTGCACAGGCACAGCGGCTCAGATTGTGCCCGCCATCGCTGGCAAAGTGGGGTCACTGACGCAAATCGTTCGATCTAAACATTGGGTCTCTCCGACGCATAATTTCGCGTATCCACCCCTCCTGCAATGGATCTTCCGTTACATCCCGTTCACTATGAGGTTGCATCGCCTGCACATCTTTCTCGCGGCGGAAAGCGACTACTTTCTCTTCCCTATGACCAAAACAGCAGCCCGACTGCGAGCGCAGCGCAGGACAAAACTGGAGAAGTACATGCGGGACACTGCCCCGGCTAAGTATCATGACCTGCTAATTCCAGACTTTGATGTCGGCTGCAAGGTGCGTGTCCATCAGAAGCATATCCATACTATAACTAACCTCATATCATGCAGCGGCGCATTATCGACTGCGGTTATCTCGATTCTCTACACAACGACAAGATAACGTTAACCAATGCCCAAATCGACAAGATCATCCCCGAAGGTATCCAGACAAAGCAGGGAAATATAATTCCTGCAGATGTGATTGTGCTTGCCACTGGCTTTGAGACCAACACCTTTGCCCCGTACATGAACATCGTCGGTCGCAACGGGGTGAGTCTGATCGAGCACTGGGCCCAGTATGGCGGTCCGTCCGCGTACAATTGCTCCGTCATGAGCGGGTTTCCGAATTTCTTTCTGTTGCTTGGACCGAATGCGGCCACGGGCCATACGTCGGCCTTGATGGCTGCGGAGAAGTGCGTATTGTCTTTCTTATCTTCATCTTCATTGGTTGTCTTTCTAACATTATATCGATCGGACAGCTCTATCAACTATGCTCTTCGCATCCTGAAACCTGTCTTGAGCGGCTCTGCCTCGACCGTGGAAATCAAGCAGGAAGCCGAAAGAGGCTATGTGTACTGGGTGCAGGAGGCGCTGCGAAGGCGGGTGTGGAATGCTGGCTGTATTTCGGTGAGTGTGCTCTGCCTAAAGTACATTGTACTCCTGGATATCTATACTAACCTAACCTTATTGTTGGATTAGTGGTACCTTAACGAATCCAAATGGAACTCAATGTCTTATCCTTGGACGCAGGCCCATTTCTGGTGGCGCAGCCTGTTCCCCACGTGGTCGGATTGGCACATCAAAGTAAGGCGGCCTTTAACTCTATGGGGCTTTTATATTTACTGACATGAGCTGTGATATAATAGTGGCAGAAAAGAACTGGTCTGAAAAAACGGACAGGTTCGCGGTTCCTGCTTTTGATTCTCCTTGTAGCTCTTCTGTTTATTCTTATTGTGCGTGAGATTGCTGTTCAGAGTTGTATATTTCTTTGAAATTTATTTAAGTAGTTGCATTATATATTGTGGCAGAAGGTGACCCGACGACCACGTGACCGATCAATAGAACCCTCACCCATGGACTAGTAAAGCAGAAATGTATTAGTCAAAGAGTAGTCCTGCGATCATCCACAGGCCCAGGAAAACCTCGATGTAATCGAAGGCCAACACAATTTAGCTAGAGAAACAGAGGACTGAGCTGATCCCCCCCGCACGAACAGGTTTTTCCAAGTGGGGCGTGCTTTCTGCATTCCGCGCCGCGCCGCGGTTCTCGGCACTATCCCTGACTGATGCTTATATCCTTCTCCAGCCCCGCAATTCAACCCCAAACCGAATTGAAAGACAACAGCGCGGTTCAATCCGCCTCCTGTCGTCAACTTAGCGCTTGTGCTTTGCCTCTTGTATACCTGCAGCATGCCTCCCAAGACAGGCGGAGTCACCAAACCGCAACGCGCGTCGCGTCGGAAGATCGCTCTCGCCTGCGATGTTTGCCGAGAGAAGAAGACTCGGTGCGATGGCGTGAAACCCACATGTGGTCCATGCCTACGACGTCCCCATGGCGCTCGCGAGTGCGTGTATACAATGGATAACGCCAGAACCGCGAGTCAAGATGAGTAAGTCGTAGATCTTGACACTACACGTGCTGTTGCTGAAAGAGCGTCCCATGTGGCTCAGGTACATGCGCGCGCTGCACTCACGGATTCAGGAACTTGAGAATGTCTGCGCTCGAGCTGGGGTGTCATTATCTGCAATGGGAGAAAGTGTTTCAGGCGCGAATCCTCCCGCAGGACAACAGCAACATGAGCATCAGTCTCCAGCGTCATCCCGAGAGGTTGAAGGGGCACAGGGAACCATCGACCGGCTGGGCAACACAGATCAACCAACTAGTGCCCTTCAAGATGTACTATCCACCGCCAATGTGAATGAGACGGTACAATATCACGATCCACAAGAAATGGTCGCTTCGGAAGCCCCCAGTTCTGCATCGCCGCATTACGAAAGCCCTGGTCATGTTACGGGAATGGGCCAGATATCCGCGCCGGACAGATTCTCGCGTACGCCTGTGTCTGTACCTGCTAAAGAGTACTATGGGTCCCCCTCCACTGCCTCACTCATGCGCTTCGCGCGGATGACTCTACCCCCGCGTTCATCAGGGACGATGGGCGCAGACTCGGGAGGCACTCCCACTTATGAATTCCAGGAGTCTCCGAATACCTGTTATCGACCTGATGACTATACACTACCCCCTCGTTCGGTGGCTGACCAGCTACTCGAATGCTATTGGGACCGGGTAGCCTGTATATACCCCTTTTTTGACCAGTCCAGTTTTGAACTGGCGTATCAGAATCTCTGGAAGTCTGAGAAAGAACCCATGAATCCATTGTCGAAACTTAACATCGGCTTAGGTGGGCAGTTCGATTCGGGTCCCAGATCGATAGTGTTTCATGCGGCCTTGAACGCCATGTTCGCGCTGGCCTGTCATTTCGCGGAGATCCCAATTCAAGAACGAGAGTCAACTGCCCACTCCTTCTTCCTGCGCAGCAAACGATTTATTGGTCTAGACATTCTGGAGCATAACACGATCGGGGTAGTCCAGACGCTTCTGCTCACCGCCCTGTATCTACAGAGCACTCCGTACCCCAGTCGATGCTGGAATGCGATCGGCTTGGCATGTCGAATAGCGCAGGGGCTGGGCCTGCACAAAAATGACAGTCGCTTTCCATGCACTTCGTTGGAAGGCGATGTACGCCGGCGAACATGGCATGGTTGTGTAATGCTCGACATGTAAGTGGTCCCTACTACATCCTTAAGCCACGTGTTCTCCCTGACAGCATGTGTTGCATCTAGTCTAGTCAGCATGACACATGGCCGACCCAGCATGACTAGTCATCTCGCCTTTCTATCACTGCCACGTCCTTTAGATGCTTCTTGCTCACCCGAACGCGACGTAACACGATCGGAAATGAGCTTCTATGTCGTGTCAATTCAACTGCATCAGATTCTCGGCAAGATCCTCTCCGATGTATATAATACATCGAACAGCCAATCGGAGGAGGACTCTACCCCATCCGATCCATCGAAAGACTTGAACATAGATAATGTGATCGAGCTGGAGAAACAGCTTCATACCTACAAGGCTAGTCTACCATCATATCTCAACTGGACTGTACTAGGATCGACATGTGGCGCCACAGAGCCTTCCCCGATCTTAGAACGGCAGCGGAATGTCCTCCACGTACGGTGAGCAGAATAAATTCCCTGAGTTCTTCCTGTCCCAAGTTTCTGATGTGCAGTGTGCAGGTACTGCCATATCCGCCTCCTGCTATACCGACGAATCTTTACTCAGTGCTACTCAGAGGTGGCTCAACACAGTCCTCATGGCGATAAGAGTGGTCCTGGCCGTGCCTCGGCCACGAAAAATACCGATAATGCACTTTACTCTTGCATTGCGGATAAATGTGCCGAGACCTGCATTTTGACTGCAGTTGATCTTATTCAAGCGGTATATGACACCTGCTGGACTACATTTACAGGTGCATGGTGGTACAATGGCTTTTGTAAGACGACCCCTCAATTCTTCCTTCCTTCCTGCATTCCTGATTGAGAATGTGAGATATAGATACAACCACTGCTGCACTTGTCTTGGTCATGTCCTATTCAATGCCATCCCTGCTGCAGTCGGTAGGCCCCTCCTTGATCCAAGAAAGCTGGGCCAAGTGTGAGAGAATCCTGGGAGACATGGCGAATTACAGCCATTCGGCGCGAACTTCTCTCCACTTCCTGCAGACCACCTTTAACCAAGTCGCCAGCCGCCGTCAGCCATCTCCCGAACCGAGTGTGACTGCAGCCGGCGACACAAGTATAATCTTCGCAGAGCCTTGCACTACCACTATCCATCGAGATATGGGCTTGCCTGGCTCGGAGCAAATAGCAGGGATCTCTTTGACTTCGAACCTGCCTTCATACTCGGCCGATGACAATCTGAGTGCACAAAACCTTGGTCTCTTTTCGTGGGTGGATATCCCAGACTTGCCGCCGTGGCTGGGGAGTAGCGAATTCTGGTCGGGGGATCCAAGCCAGTGAGATTGTTATGGCAGCGCTCGCTCAGCATTGACCTTCTTCACCCGTCGCCGGCTTGACACCGTCACAATACACGGTTACAAAGAACCGGAAAGTACCCGGGCGAGCAATTTGTTTGTCTCCGGTAACAATCGGTATTCATGTGGTATTACTCCCTCTTCCCCCGCTTTTTCGTGTCTTGATCTCGATTCCGGGCCCCCCCCCCAGATCTCACTGTGGATCATTTATATTCGGAAGAAAGCAGACCCCCATGGTCTATACCATCACTGCAAAAAGCGTTTCTCAGTTGTGCTCGATTTTCGCCTGACGACCGAGACATGGTTAGTTCCGAAAGAAGATTCCTCCCGCGCGAGGGATTGTACATTGATCCGATTATCACGGGCCTGCGCAACACAATTCTGCATCCGATCTTCAGCATTCCTGTCTGGTGCGTTGCGCAGAAGGCAAGGATAGCGTCCCCTCTCTATACGCAATTCGCTCAATACCTCGCCATGGCTAGCGTCTTCCTCTGGCTCAACACGTATCTCAGTAAGCAAAGCCGAAACAACTGGACCATCGACGATACCTGGAATGATGACTGGAGGAAAGAGATTGTTGTGGTCACTGGGGGTAGTGGCGGGCTGGGGGCCGGGGTCGCTCAGCGGTTGGCGGCACTCGGAGCCCGCGTCGTGGTCGTCGATATTATCCCTTTGACTTACGTGCCCGGTTAGTGATTTCCCATTATTTTGCGCAAGGGAAGAGATTGGACCTGGAATTTTCACTAGAAGACGTGCTAACCGATGAAAATTGCCATGGCTTACGGAAACCAACAGAGAACGACCGCATTACCTATTACCAATGTGATCTGAGTGATGAGAAGGAGATTGCATCCCTTTGTGAGAAGATTCGGTCTGAAGTTGGCGATCCTTCGGTCTTGGGTGAGTGAAAGCCAGAAAGCCACAAGCAGGAAGAGTTAGGGTTTTAGCTGACATTATTCCGAATATAGTCAACAATGCCGGCCTCTCACGCGGTCAAACCGTAGCCGAAGGGACGTACCATGATACCAGCATCACTTTGAAGACGAACCTCCTCGCCCCATTCCTCCTGAGTAAGGAATTCCTTCCCGGCATGATCCACCGCCAGCATGGCCATATTGTCAACGTCTCATCGATGAGTGCATATATACCTCCAGCGGGGCTGGCGGATTACGCGGCTTCGAAGGCCGGATTGATCGCGTTTCATGAGGTATATCTTGTCTCTTATGTTTTGCACCCGGGATAGATCCGGCTCCCACCATTGTTCGCTAACCAACTCTCCCCAAAGTGTCTGACTCAAGAGCTCAGATTTCGCCACAATGCTCCCAAAATCCGAACTTCGCTGTTGGTCCTGAGCTTTACCAGAACCCCGATGTTCAAGGGGGAAACCAATCAATCGCATTTCTTCATGCCCCTGTTGCATGCGGACACGGTGGTGGATGCAATTGTCGACACTCTGGTCAGTGGGTTGAGCCGGACCATCTACTTACCTGGGATCTTTCGGCTCTTTGCTGGATTGGTAAGCATCGATTCATAGTTCCATCTCCGGTTCTTCTATGCGGGATGTGTTGATACTGATTCTGAATTAAATGCGAAACAGCGAGGTGCACCGGCATGGTTCCAGAGTCTCATCCTGGATCGCTCGCAATCCTTGGCAGTGGACTTTAAAGGCCGGCAGAAGATCGATCCGGTCGCGGGGAAGCTTGTCCAGGGCGATGATATCATATCCGGGGAATAGCGGGTGTGGATCGGAGATTCTGTAGCTATGATGTATTGTGTTGTGTTGTGCTGAGTTGTAGACGGGGCCAGTTCCGGCTACGGAACGCTCGGCAGCGTCCGCGCGGCGTCCGGAACGCACCCGATAACTTATACACCCTAGATTGACTCTAATAAGAAGACCCCGTGTCACTTGCCTTGAGGTTGTGTTCTCAGACATCTTTATCACCACCTATCGTGATCGAATGATTTATAGCTTCTTGCTTGCATTGTTCAATTGGCTTTTACCCTGGACCTGGAAATCCAAACTCAACGACATGACGGACCACGGGATGGATTGGCTGCAGGGGAAGATCCTGGCTTGGGCTCACCCACCGCCCGTTAACAAGATCGACACCCACCACCATTTTGTGCCGTCGTTCTACCGGGAAGGTTCGTGCAGCCTAGCCCTGACTCCGGTACCGTTACAACTACTAACGCTGGGGAAATCCATCGCACAGCCGTTGAGGCAGCAGGAGGTATGCGCAAGGACATAATGCACCACCAGTAGGTTCTAAGAAGCTAAACTAACCAACACCAAGGCGACCCAAGCGGCTGGCCCACCCCCAGCTGGAGCCCACTCCGCTCCGAGCTCCTCATGAAACGCCTAGGGATCCGCACAGCGATCCTCTCGACCACAGCCCCCGGGGCCTGCATCCTCCAAGGCGAAGCCTCGTACAAGCTGGCACGGCAGCTGAACGAGTACGCGGCAGACCTGCGCGACAAGCACCCAGACCGCTACGGGTTCTTCGCCAACCTGCCCGACATCCTTCTACATCCAGACGCCGCGCTCGCCGAGCTGACGTACGCCCTGGACAGCCTGCACGCCGACGGCGTCACCCTTTTCACGCGCTACGGCACCTCCGCCGCCACGCAAGCCTACCTGGGCCACCCGTCCCTCGAGCCCATCTGGGCGGAGCTGCACCGCCGCAAGTGCGTGGTCTTCGTGCACCCGACCCACCCGGCCGACACCACCCCGGTCAACGCCCACCTCCCGCAGCCCGTGGTCGACTACCCGCACGAGACCACCCGCACCGCCATGGACATGATCCTGCGAGGCACCCGCCGCAAGTACCCGGATTGCACGGTGATCCTCTCGCACGCCGGCGGCACCCTCCCGTATCTGATTACCCGGCTGGCCACGCCCCTCCGCAAGGCGCCGGACCTGGCCGCCGAGTATGTCGTCGGCACGACCTATGAGCAGGTCATGGCGGATTTCCGGAGCTTTCACTTCGATCTGGCGCTGTCGGCGGCGCCGCAGGTCGTCGCGGTGTTGCGGCGGATGGTGCCGGCGGATCGCATTCTGTATGGGGTGGGTTGTCCTTCTTTTCCGTTCGGTTTGCTTGGGTTCCTTCGGGGAGGGGATCCGCCAAGCGTCAAAGGGGTTATGTGCGTCGGCTGACTGTGGCGATAGAGTGACTTCCCGTACGCCCCGTTGCCGGCGTATCCGGCTTTCTTGGAGGAGCTGGAAGGGTGCGAGATGACGGAGGAGATGCGCGAGGGGATTTATTTTGGAAATGCGCGGAAGTTGATCCCCAGGTTGGCGGGGGAGGGCGGGCGTGAGGGGAAGATCTGATGCAGAGATCTCAAATGGGACAAGGGACTGCTGTAACTAGGGGAAAGAGGGGTCGAGGCCACAAGCCGCCCCCGGCAACTATAGGTATGGAGTTCACACGCTGTCAGTTGTAAGAGATCAGAGGATATGAGCAAAAGGATTCTCTTACAGTAACTGGTGGAGTACACCGCTCAACATATATAGCCGCGTATCGACACCGTGCGGGCTACCGAGGGAGATCATGACTTGATTCTCACCTACTGTATCCTTCATCATTGAGATATGACATGGTTTTCCTTTTTTTGCGGTATAGCGTTGGCTTGCTGTTGACCTCTCGAAAAATGAGCTTTTAGGATTAGCAACAAGATCAAGAGGTATCTGGAGAGATATTAACCGTCATGCCCACCAAATTGACCTGATGGCTGCTTGTTTTCTTGTTTAAGTGGGGGTTTATCCTTGATATCAGTAGCCTCCGTGAAGCGCTTTCCAATTTTCGAGTGGTGCTATGAATCACTGTAGATCTCCACTAAATCCTTTGATATCTGTGAGTAATAGTATACAGTTTAGAAAATGGAAAAGGTGGAAGAAAGGCCGAAGGGAGAAAGTAGTAGGAGGCCAAATAGGAAAGAAATCCTAATACTTCATTTAGTACTGGACTCCTGCACTTGGACAGATACAATGTGTAGCATTCTCTTTTCTTCTTTTCCTTCCATCGCTAAGAGGTAAAGAGAGCCAGATATAGAGCTATAGCAAGGACGCGCACCATCTTGATGGGATATCACATTACATGCGGTATCTGATCACATGTAGGGAGAAAGCCTCTTGACTCGCAATCGAAGCAAACCGTGATGCCACCGCCGCCTGAGGTATGCCAACCGCGAGGTTCAAGTGGGCAGCATTTCAAACAGGAGCATGACGAAGTCACATTCTCTATGTTTGGCGAGCGAATTAAGACACAAATGGCGATTCCCCACAACTGACCGACCACCATAACTGAGCTGATTTCTCGTTACCAGATGGGCAGAATCGTGCAGGGCACGGCACTTTTAGACTGGCAACCCTCTTATGAAAACAAACAGCATCTATGAAGAGATACAATGGACAAGGGGATACGTTTTGGAAACAATTTGGATTTATGACAGATCTTTGTGCTGCAGCATAAGAAAGGGAAGTCTCGAGCAACCTCAAACCTCATCTCAAGTTTCAGTGCGCTGGTATTTGGCCGTTCTCCTCGAGCCAATTGAATACTTCCTGCCATCTTTCTTCGGATATCTGATTGAGGCGTCTTCGCCCTCTTCCCAGCACTCCTAGGTCAATGATCTTCTGAGACTAACACCCCCAGGGGCACTGTCAGCAGAACAACCATAATACGATGTGCACTAAAGAGAACCAAGAAGGACAAGAATGGGACATACATCGGAAACCGCGGTGACTTGGTATACCTCATCAAGAGAGCTGTAGCAAGGGTGGTATGGCCGGGGTTGTATGTAATCGCCGACTGCGAAGCGCTCGAGGGTATCGGAACTGCCTACACCGTAGCCCATGCCGGGCAAAATCATAACACCGCACACACTGGCCTCATCTCTGCCTACGGAAAACCCATGGAAGTTTTCGATGTCGATCGTTACGCGAACCCCGGGATAGAAGTATAGATTAGGCATGTCCTCGTGTTTCCAGCGTGTCTCTCCATGGATCTCCCTTGCCCCACGGCATGAGTAGCCCAACATGGCTCTGGATCCATCCTCAAAGAAGAACTCCAATCCGGTGACGGAAGGCCGTGCGGTCTCGTGCATCACGGACACCGCAATCTGGCGTACTGGAGCGTGGATCTCGACCACCTCCCGGTAGGTACCCCGTTCGAGGGAGTTATCATAGTGATAGAGGCCCATCCCGCGGAAATCGAGTGGGCGTGGCCGCCCGGCATGCAGAGCCATGGCTGTGTCGCGAATCCAGCGTAGCACCGCCCACGTACCAATCTCCAGGCGAAACCCCCAACTACAGCTCAGCTTACAGGTGCAGTGGTAGAGCAGCCTCCAGTCCATCTCTCGCTCCGCCTGCCTTCCCCCCCTTCTTTCAAAGTAGTTGCGGAGGACGGGCAACAGGAATCCGCGTTCTGAATTGATCTCAAATCTCGTTTTCCAGAACGTGCGGCTGGAGAAGATGGCTACAAATCCGCGTGACGCGCAACGGAGGTGTAAAACATCCCGGGTCGGTAGCAAGATGGCAATCTCTTCGATGATTTCCAAGGGCAGACGCTGGAAGCCATCCCTGCCCGGTCGCCGTCGGTGGGAGGTGCGCCGTCGCCGGGTGGTAGACGGAGCAGACGGAGGGGGGTCTCTCCCGAGGCGCATGAGCTCTTCCAACACGGGCAGTGCGAACCGGCCATCACGCCGAATGTCCTGATGTTCAAAGCTCGTGCGGAGGAAGAGGGGTGAATTTGACCTCAATGTGCGGTGGGAATAGCCCGGCGTATAGGGTAACAGCTCCAATGCCTCGAAAAGACTTCCTAGGTGTAGTTCACCGGGGCCGAAATGTCCCAGCAGGCGATGCCAGCATAGATCATGGATGAGGTACACGTCGGTCTGGCAATGTGCGGGCACATCACCCAAGCCCCAGCTATCATCAGTCTCGGTGTCTCCTGGTATTCGCCCCTCGGGTGGTCCCCCCAGCCACAATGAAAATGCCATGAGGATCTGGGTCACTTTGACGCCGAAGTTGGTGCAATAAACTTGGATTGATGTCAGCCCAAATTGAGAACACATACACATCTCACGCGGGTAATCACGCAGCTCACCGGCCCTGAAGGGCTTTTTCCACGGGACGTGTTCATGGATTCCACCCCCACACAAAGTGCACATGCTGATGCCAAACCTGTTACTGAAGTCTGCATTAAATTGTAGCAGTGAAAACATGATCAAGAAAGCGTAAAACACTATCCTCCGAAGGTGAAAAGATAGAAGAGCCGTGAATACATATTCTGCCCATGCATGTTCCCCTCTCAGGCCTTTTAAACCTCCCTTGCCCACGTCATCAAGGTGTCATTTGTTGAGGAGACATTCGGCAACATTCCCATCCAATTCCCGCTCGATTCGAATCCATCAATCCTGAGCTCGAGAGGCATGGCCTCGCGATTTGACGGGAAGTGAGTTCCGAAAGTGCTAACCAATGGCCACGCGCCCGAAGCCTGAGACCGTAACACCGGCCATTCTTGATGTTGACCAAGAAAGGGCCACAATGGAACAATCAGTACACTACTAATATAGGCCTGAAACAGAATGATCAATAGCCTGATTCCCTGAACCTCAATGTCTGCAACACATTCATAGTCGGCCGGAACAATAGAGAAACAAACTATGGCTTTTCAGAGAGAGTTTGCCCCCGCAGGGGGAAGCGGCTTTCCCAGGTCGCTGCGTGTATATATGGCTTCGCATTCCAGCCTCTCTTTCGAACTTCCCTTTGTCTTCTTCCGCTTCGTCCCAAATCATCGTCCCTCTGGTAGGAACTGGTAGGAAGTCCATCTTGGTGACATTTTGTTGCCTGTCCAAGCTGATGAAGCGCAAACACAACGACAACCACAACCACAACAACCACCAGCACCACAACCACCACCGCTATGCCTGCCACACAGCAAGTATGCAACCATTTGTCACTGCCTTATCTGTTGTGCACGCATGTCTGACGGACACTGAGCAGATCTTCGTGAACGCGGGTGGCCGGGCCACCATTGTGGCCCCCACCGACAATCGCCCCCGGGCGCTACGGCAAAAGGAGGCGAAGAAGATCCAGAAATAGCGGCAGGCCCGCAAAGGGCTGGAGAGCAAGACCATCTCTGGTGAAGCGCTGGTAAGTTCAAACCGAAGGCATTGACAGGTTGGCTCGAAGCGAAACTAATTTTTTTGCCTGTCGGCAACAGCTGCGCGAGGCCGAGCGCCTCGAAAGGGCGGCCGCGGCGGAAGAAGCGGAGGTGCGGCGAAAGCGGGAAAAGGCCGCAGAGCTGCGGCAGAAGGCCGAAGCCCTGAGCAAGGGCGAGGATATGGGGGTGGCTCTCGCTCTGAGGGTGAAGGAGGCGAGTGAGAATGATGCGAAGATGGAGTAGTTGAAACTAAGATCTACGGCGCTGGCCGCCGGTTTGTTCCCGACACTGCAATCAATTTTTCTCCTTGAGTACCATTGTAGCGTAGTGACCAACGAAGACGAGATATCTAGGCAGCCAGTCCACCCCCCAAGACTTCCACACAGCAGCGCGCCCGCGGGCTTCAGCGTCCAGTCGTGCAGGTCGGACAACCAGTTCATAGCGCTGAGTTCGCCGCTGGGGGGGCTACGAGGTGACAGGGGACGAGAAAGGAATTCTACCTGGTGGAGCTTGAGTTGGCGCGGCTGGATCAAGAAGAGCAAGTCTACTTGATCGCTATCATACGAACTGGGGGAGATAGGGATTGTGTGTGTAGATACGCAGCAGCCATGCTTTTGGTCATTTGCGCAATCCATATCCGCGGTTCCTGAAGCATCGTACAATATGATGCAGACGGACCTGAAAGGCATATATATACCTACTCCACGGTGAAGAGAGCAACTGTCGATCATAGAACCTCGAATATGTATGTTATGGTACACTGTTAATCCAAAGATCTTTAACCCATGAATTCAGCGATCAGAAAGGACAAAAATTCCGAACACACGATGCCTCCTTCCTCTTCTCTTGCCCTTTTCTCCACATTCTTGAGATATTTAGCGCAGAAAGTCAGTAAGCAACAAAATAGACTTCAGTCTCCAAGCCTTAATCTCTCTGTCCTAGTAGCTCATATCGAACGTTAGAACTCGATGCAGAGGGGCGCAGGAGGTTCATCAACTGTAGCAGGTTCAGTGAGATGGGGGGAGGTTAGGGCTCCCAAAGCTGCTGCTCCTGTTGCGGGCGCGGAAACGCCAAAAAGAGGATCCTCGGGAAACCCGTCCACCCCCCAATACTTCCGCAAACGCTCCCTCAGCAATTCATACTCGGCGCCAATCCGCAGGGCCTTCATATTATCGAAGTCGATGATTGTCGATGCGCGCCCCCCGTACACATGGTACCGCTGCAGCCCGTAATCCACAATCACGTCGGCGGCATCCTTGATCTCCTGGTCGATGTCCTCCACCCGGAACTTCTGGCCCGTGCCGGTGAGGTTGGCACTCGACCCTAGCATCAACTGGCCGGCCTCGTCGTTCAAGCGGCCCAGCTCTACCAGCAGGGACCCTCTACCGAGATAGATGGCCAGGGTGTCATTCTTGGTCGTATTCGCCAGGGTTGCCGGGGTCAGCTGCTGGAGGAGGGGGTGGTCCGCGCGGAAGGGCGCGACCACCCCGAAGGACATGTCCATATCTTGGTGTAGTGTGCGTATCATCTTGTGCCGCGCTGCGGAGAGCAGGTGGAGCTCGCGGTGGAGCTTGTAAGTCCCGATGATGCCCTGCGCGTGGCCGGGACGGCGTCTCTTGGCTGCAAACGCTCGTTGGATCGCCTCGGTCGATGAGGCCATGAGGCCGTAGCCCACTTCGGTGGGCACTAGGGCTACCCCGCCAGATCGGAGGACGTCGAACACGCGGCGTGCATCAGCTTTAATGTCCGGGTGTTGTCCCGGTGCGGGTATGATCTTGGGTGGGGTTGATGGGTCCATTGGATGCGGGGTGGGCTTGTTGACGCCGACTTGGAAAGGGATAAACAGGGAGAAATGGTGTAAAGATACACTAGGTCACGAGATAAGAAAGATGGGGAGTCATTTCATTTAAATGATTCGACTTTGGGCCTAGAGCCGGTCGGACTCCGCGAGCTAGGCTGGCAAGTCCTGTACGTGTCTTATCCATACAAAGGTCCAATGATCCTAACGAGGGGTCCACATCTCACGCAAGTGGGGTGTTTGAATAATAAGTGTTGCCCTCAAAACCGGCACTAAACCTCTAATGGTAAAGCTTCAAGCTCCCTTGCCCAAGGGCGAGAATCTGTTGATCCGATGCTTCTATCAGGGCATCTAGGGCTTCATTTCAGCTGAAGGGGGACACAACTATGAGGGAGTTCGCAAGAGAAAATTTCTCTGAGGATGCCTGTCTATGCCGGTTCGACTGTCAATAGCAGCTTTGGTGCTGATTACAACCGTAGATCCAGGCTTCTTTATTTAATATATACTATATCTCGAAACGTGCTCACTCGGCAACCGTCCAGTGGACAACATTCGATGCCGGGACAACCACTTTCAGGCGGCCTCCATTATTTCTAGGGTACACGACCGGTCCCTCCAGCTTCCCGCCCGGCGGCGTGCCAGTCATCGTGACGATCGTCTGCGCATAATCCGCGCGGATCCCCCAATCCCACCAGTCCCGCGTCTTTCCCTTGAACTGGTACCAGAGTCACTCGCCCCCTCTTAGGTCGTCAGGAAGACTGCCCCAGTCCACCGCAAGCTCCCAGGAAGTTGACTAGGGTTCTCCCGGAAAGAGGACACAGATCGTCCGGTGCTCCGGACAGGTTGATCTGCTGATCGGGCAGGTCCCACCACGGCGGTACCGTATCGCTGCCGTAAAATCTCTCCCATTCGTCTGGTGCATCCACAGTCTCTTGAGAAGATCGATCGGGGTTGCGACGGCGATAGATGCGTCACTGAGTGGCGAACATGCGATCAAATGCGTAGATGTGGAATGTGATCGGCCGGGCCTTTTCATCGGCCGTTCGGGCCTCAGGGCTATCGGATGCACCGTGGTATATCACTCGAATGGACATTCCTCTCCTCCCGGTCCGACACATGGTCGGGTTGCAGCCGAGTCCGAGACTCAGAACTGATGCTCCAGAACTATGGCGCAGTTAGCCAAGCACATCTATCCTCCCGCTGGACTGGAGATACTCACACTCGCTCGTCTGGACCGATAGGCGGCGGCGTCGGAGGTCGCCCAATTGGGGGCATCTCCCCTTCGTTCACGAAAAATGTGACCGATGCGCTCCCTGGGTTTATGATCGCGGGCCGCTTGGGCGGCTGCTACAGATTCGGCTGTACCCCGTCCCAACAACGGTGTGGGTATACCCCGGCTGTAAGATCAATTCCAAGGCATGCGGCCAAGACATTAGCTGAGTCACTGCACTGCGATCCCATTTTACCCTGGCCTATTCTACCTAGAATGAGGCTGGCTCGTTGCGGAATTGCTGGGCTCTTGGGCGTGGGAAATATGGAGACTGCTCCTCCACACCAACCCGCTCGAGGCTGCTGCTGTTTGACTCGTGGCGTAAGAGGATGAACTCCTCCTGGCTGGGATCAATGAGAGGTAACCAGTCTAGCCAGAAGGCATGGCCCGTTGTTCGAGTATTCTCGCCGTTTCAGTTGCGGTTTGGCTCGTCAGTGCGGATGCGGCGGAGAGTGATGCCGACTAAGAAAGGTCGGTTGTAGGGCTCGGTCCAAAAGATAGGGTTGCGGGGTATGAGTTCTACAACTAGCTGAGGGACATTGAAAACGTGTTTGTCCTTCTCCGTGTACCTATGTACGAATCCATAATGCCACTTATGGGGCTATTGGTTGGAATTGAGAGACCAAACCTTCTTCAGGTGGGAGTAAAGAGAAGTAAAGAGGGGAAGAAAGTCGCCAAAGCCACAAAATCCTTGAGATTTAGGGTCCAGTGTAGTGAATTAATGATAAGAATCCCCGCTAATGCGCGACTAGGCAAAATGAGATGCTCGCCACTGTCAGATTCACCAAACCAACGAATCTTCAATGCAATGACAACGGCCAATATGAGATAACACAGGATGTCATGCTTATTCTATATTTTGGTGCTCAAGATGAAACAAATCTACTCTTCCCTGCCTCTTACAATCCCACCACTTAGCAATAGCCACCATGATTCACGCTGCCTACACATCGAGATCACAACCCATCTCAACCTGAATTATACTACTACAGGCCTCACACCCCCTCGAGTCTGCGGCTTCAGCGTCCCCAGCATAATCTGCTGTGACCGCCAAGCCGCCCACTCATTCACCGGCCTCGTCTCCTCTGCCTCTCCCTCCACCAAGCGGGGAATCTTTCCCCCCTGCAGCCGTCGCATACTCGCCTGCTTTGCCGGCCGGACCAAGTACGCCACGCTCTGTCGTGTGACGCCTGCTTGCTCCCCGGGGGCCGCGACAACCCGATGCAAAGAACTGCGCAGCAGCTCCCCCGTCCACTCCACCAGCGTATCCCCGAGGTTGACAAGTGCGCAGCCCGGCACCGGGCGCACGCACCGCCAATTCTCGTAGATATTGTCCTGCCCTGCGGGGAGGATTTGCAATCCTCCAACGACGTGGAAGAGGAGGGTTAGGGTTCCGATGTCGGTATGGCCGCCTAACGTGATCTTCTTGGCGGTGTCTTCGGTTGGGGTTGTGGGTTGTGGAGGACTGCAGAGTAAGCGCACACTGGTCTCGGATTCCTGGTTCAAGGGACTGAGTTTCTCCAATGTGCCTGGTGCAAGACCCAGCTCATGGTCCAGAGTGGCGAGGATGACTCCCAACGCAGCAGAGGCTTCCCGAATAAAGGTCTGGATCTCCGCACGTTTCTCCTCTATGGGCGGCGCATTGACCCGAGCCGGCCGGTTGCCAAGTATGTCATCCTGGCTGATGCTGTACAGATGCATGTGGTCGACCTTGCCGTCGTCTGTTTTGAGGGCGCCTATCCTTTTGTACCTATCCGCCCACGCAATATTATTAGATCGTTAGCCATTGCTCCGCACTGCACCCTTCTCTCGGGTCTCTTCGTTTCTTCTGATGAAATGGGGCTGTGCAACGTACCCCGTAAGATCTCTTGGCGCATCATATGCATACTGATCCAATGTCGCCTGATCCAGCGCGAAGAGCTCGGCGTCCAGATCGAACATCCTCTCCGCTTGGTGCAGCAGGCGCGCGCCCTGGTCATCATCGCGGAGATCGAGGACGAAGAACCCCCATTCACGGGATGCGGTAAACAAGTTCTGGGACTCGGTGGGGTCGTGGGCTTTTAGACTATGCAGTGATATTGTGGGGAGGGCTACCGTTGGTGTGTCGTCTGGAAAGGAAGGGGCTTGCGCGAAGTATTTTCGAGTTGGCATGTTGGTTTTGCTGCGGTATTGATGACGTACAGTGGTAGTGGGAATCTAATCAGATTGACAAGATAGTCATATGCTAAGGGAGACGACGTGCGAAGGTGAGGCTTATATCTTGACGTCTGTTGGGTTAGATCTGGGCATGTACGATGACGCAGTGGGGATGGGGCGGGGAAGCGGGAGAGAAAGACGGTTCGGGCATCTCCATCTGGCCGCTTACCCGTCCGAGGACGCAGCGGATCAAGCAGTCTGGGTAGTGCTTATTATGCTTAGTCGGCCTAGCGTTTAGGCCACTATCCTTTCCGCTCGCCTACGTCCTATTGGACGTTATTGTTGATCAGTAGCTGGTTGTGGATAGGAGTCAGATAGATGTACAGGTCATGTTAATTGAGGGTGAGCAGGACCACTAAGCTTGTAGGTGATCGGATAATGCGGGTAAATGGCAGGTGTGGCAATGTGCGATATGAACCCTAAAGGACAAAGTTCTCCTACTATTGTATTCTATCTCTATCTCTAGCATTATCCTTCATCTCTATTAAACGAACGCTAAGGAAAGCTACTGAGAAGCCGCCAGAGCCTCATCATTCCACCTGTCCCTCGTCAGCAACCATATCCTCAATGTCATATAGACAAAAATAACAGAACTTACGAAAGATACTTCCCCGACAACTCCCGAGGCGCATCAACCACCAACCGCGCAATAACATGCCCCGGCTGCTCGGGTCTCAGCAGCCCTCCATCCTTGTGGACGGTGGTAAAGAACGAATGGAACTGCCGATCCATCTTCGTCGCAAGATCCTCCCGGATGCCCCGCTGCATCTCAGTGTCCACGATCCCCGGATCCACCGACACAGAAACCACCTCAGGCTCTTCCTCCCCAAGTGTCAGCGCCAGATGGTTCATGGCCGCCTTGGTGGCGCCGTACAAGCCCCATCCCTTGAAGGCTGACACGGAAGCCGCGGATGAGGTGAAGATAATCCGGCCCTGAGAGGCACGGAGGGATGGGAGAGATGCTTGTACCTGTTGCTTATCGTTAGTTCTTCTGAGATGGTTGATCTTCCAGGGGTGATAGTGCGTTGACGTACGAAAGCAACACAGCTAAAATAGTTGACGTCGAACCCCTGCTTCCATTGCTCGGGGTCCGCCTCGGCCACACTCGCCACCTGCCCCAGAGTTCCGTGATTCAGCACAAGTCCGTCCAGCTGTCCGAAGGACTTCAGAGCCAGATCGACGGCTTTCCGACCGAGCGAGAGATCGGCGAGATCTCCGCCCAGAACCTCGACTTGGCTGGGATACTGCTCTTTCAGGGCTTGGAGTGGGCCAACGCTCCGTGCGATGACGACCAGTTTGTGGGATTGCGGACTGCTAAGGAGGTACTTGGCGATGGCGAGGCCAATGCCTTGGTTGCTATTAGCCTTGGTGGGGAAAGTAGGAGGTTGGGATGATGCAAGAGGTGCAAGTACCGCGCGAGGCGCCAGTGATAATGAAGGCTTTTGGGGACATAGTTGGATCTCCTTTATTGGGTGCTGTGTGAGGTTGTCTGAAATTTGATAGTTGACTGTAGTGGAGGGAACCGGTTGAGTCGGAAAGACACGGTGGTGGGCGATGCTGACTAATGGGCTTCCGTGGCTGACCGAAGCTGTGGCTTCCCTAGAGACTATGTGGGGAAAAACCTGAAGGCTGGAACCCTAGAGGGATCCACTTAGTTGAGACCATGTCATTTGCGGCTAGTGAGGGTTGTGGATGGAGCAAGGTGAGCTTATCATCTATTTTGACTTGGAGGAGATGTTTCGAAGCATCGAGCTGGAGCTGCTTGGCTTGTTAGGGTTTCCGTGTTGCGTGACTCGGCCTGGGGCAGGAATGGTTTCCGGGTTCTGGATGGAGGCTTACAGTATCTGAAGATGCCCTCGCTCCTTATCGTCCGAGTTTGGGAGCAATCTGTACACACTGTGCAACAGTTGGTCTCTTGCGATTTTGAACAAGGCTCTCTCCGAGGGAATTGATGGCATTTCAGCCTTCTTGACCAGGCAGGTGCTACCCCGCACGTATGCTCAATTCATTTATCATACTTTGTGCTACTGGACAGCTCAATAGACTAGTGCTGACGACAGAGGTTGGATTGAGTCAGTCAAGCACGAACGTCACCCAAGATCGAGTACAGACAGCACGCTTCACAAGCCACTGATCTTGAATCGGCCAAGCATAAATAGAATATTCCCTCCCCCTCTAGGCGCCCATCTATGATCCTTGCACGCAAATGTCAGCTTGGGGCAGCGGTGCTTCACATGGCACGTCTATTGCCTCGGCGATCATAGAGTAAGAGCATGATATAATACGGAGGCCTCCTATAGTATCACTTCAATACTTAGTCCAAATCTCAGATGCGCAACCATGGAGCAGACCCAGACAAAACCACTACCCGAACCATTCAAGGATTGGCCCAATGACGCCGCGGTAGGTCTCTGTCCGTGCCTGATTACGATCCCTCATAGAAACACACTAAATACTTCGCTGGTCAGTTCGAAACGACGGCCGAGCAACGCGAGCCCATCGAGCTGCCCGTGATCGGCTCATTCCCTCTGCATGTTGCGGGAATTCTATACCGGACCGGACCGGCTAGCTACAAAGTCCCCGGATCCAAGTATCAGCTCCACCACTGGTTCGACGGCTTCACGCAGCTGCATCGTTTTCAGCTTGTGCCCCAGTCTAGCGAGTCCTGCAAGGTGCTCTACAACTCCCGTCGTCAGGTCGATGCGCTGATTGAGGAGGTGCGCAAGACGGGCAGCCTGCGCGGCATGACGTTCGGGCAGAAGCGAGACCCTTGTGCGAACTTCTTTCAAAAGGTCAAGGCAGTCTTTGAGACCCATTTGAGACCACCAACCCGGAGATGGTAAATGTGGGAGTCACGGTGCATGCTAATGTAGGTCGATATTTATGCCGGGTGCTCGATTCCATCTTTGTGAGGGAGCATATGGACTAACAGGCGAGAACAGGTCCCAGAATTCCGTCCAACCTCAAAGTCCCTTCTAGGCAGCACGGGCAAGGGGGATTCGCGAGTCTAACCACTCTGACCGATGCGAACCTGATCAAGCACGTATGCTGCGCACTTGCCCCCTCCCTCCTTTTTCTAGAAAATGGTGTAAGTATCCAGAGCTGACAATTAAACCCCGTAACTTAGATCGACCCCGAGACCCTCGAGCCCCTAGGAGTAACGCGGTAGGCAGGACTGCACCCCGCGCTAAAAGGCCCGTTGTCCAGCGCACATGCTGAGCTCGATCCCATCACAGGCGACCTATATAACTACAATCTTGCCTTCGGCCGCCACGCGACATACCGCGTGTTCCGGACGTCGGCCGCCACCGGCAAAACCGAGATTCTGGCCACTATCACTGGGTTCGGCGTGCAGGCGGCCTACCTGCACTCCTTCTTCTTGAGCCGGGACTATGTGATCCTGTGTGTTTGGCCGGCGCTGTTCGTGGCCGGGGGCGTCAAAGTCCTGTGGGAACGCAACTTGCTCGACGCCATGCGTTTCGACCCCGAAACACCTACACGCTGGTACGTCATCGACCGGAAAGATGGGCGCGGAGTTGTTGCTACCTTTGCCAGTCCGGCGTTCTTCAGCTTCCATACCATCAACGCTTGGCAGACGGACGATGCTGATGGAGAAGAAGAGGGGCCGCGCGACGGGACCACAGACATCATTTGTGATCTCATCCAATACCCCACCGATGAAATGCTGCACCGTGTCTATTACGAGTCCCTGGTCTCGACGGGACCGAAAGTCGAGAAGTACTATGGAAGTGACCGCTCGCGCCCTCGCCTTGTTCGCTATCGCCTTTCCGGAATTCCGTCGACTGGTCACCGTCAGGATACTCGCAGGGAAAAGGGAAGGAAAGATCGTCCTGACACTGCCTGGCCTCTAGCGACGACCGAATTGACCATCGCATCCGATGCCGTGGGCGATCTACCAACGATCAACCCCAGATTCACCGGCCGAAGGACGCAATTCTTGTATAATCTCTGCACGCAGGGAAAGGTATGTGTCTATCTTCTTTTCTCACGTGGCCTGTTTTGATGTACTGATTCTGGCTGATCGACCTCACGCGTAGTCATCGTTCTTTGATGGAATGGCGAAAGTCGATGTCGATACCCAGGAAGGCACGATCTGGTCTCGAGACCGACATACCCCAGGGGAGGCAATCTTCGTGCCTGACCTCGGGGCCGCGGCCGAGGATGAGGGGTTCTTGCTGAGTGTGGTGCTAAATGGGGATACTGGGATGAGTTATCTGCTGTGTTTGGATGCTCGGACAATGACGGAAGTGGCACGAGCGGAGTGTGGGGCTGCCGTTGGGTGCGGATTTCACGGGTCTCATTATCCAGCTAAGTAGGGCTTGTGAACCGTAGATCCTGGGTTTGAGGTGGGGTAAGTCTGCTGAGCTCGGGTGACGATGTACTAATCCTGATGTCCAGGGTGTATAGGCAGCTGAATAGTTCAGACAAAAGCCGTCGAGCGAGGATAAGCGAGTATCAATTAACGGGTCGGTAGAACTCATCCTATTTGAAGCTGCCCACTTTGCATACTTTGCTAGGTGCAAGGAAAGACATTACGGCGGATCTCGGTATCTCTTGACGAATTTTTGTACATGTGTCTACCCAGAAGTGTGCCAGAAGTTACAAAAGGAGGCTTTGATGGAATGCGATGTTTGCTCCCTTTCTTGGGCGCGGATTAAATATTGCTTACCATCCTTGATACCAGTCTCACGTCAGATTACCCCAGATCCATATGGCCTTTACAATCACAGTCCCTCACCTCGAGGCAACGGATTCAACTCTTAATTGGAATACCCCAAGCCAAGCGCTCACCAACTGTATTGCGTCTGGACTCTGGGAAACATGGCCCTTCGGAAGCTAGCGTATCTTGTCTACACGGTGAGTTGGGCCGACGCTCTGGCCTCCGTACTCGACGCCCCAGGAGCAGCTCTGAAACAAGAGAAAAACAAAACGAGAAAAAAAGCCGGGCGAGCATTTATCTTCAGCCCCAACTGACGAAAATCACTGGATGCTGGAACACGCGGGCTAGTATAATGTCGTGATCGGATATGGACGAACCACATCTTGTAGGGTTAGCCTTTTTCCCCGCCGGTACTGGGGATTTATCCGAATCTCTTAAAATAGTCTATCCGGGTTGATAGTCGGAGATCGGGAGTGATCCCGTGGACACTTCCAGTGGTACAGTACTAGCCTGAGTAATGCCATTATTGGGGCCCAAGGAACGATCGTGGTGAGTGTGAGCTTGAAAAAAGCCGGGGTCTTGTTTTTCACCTTCTCCGCAGATCCTTCCTTCTTATCGGTCTTATCAGAGGCCTACTCTAGATCGAGTCCCTTGTTACGACTTGAAAAAATGGGAGGACAGTGAAACCGTTCCTGTTTGAAGAATACCAAGGCGAAGACATTTCACCACCCCACCTACATATATACCGTACAAATGTACAGTCCCTTACAATATGTATATATATATCTGGCCATCTTTGACTACGAACGGCAGGTTGTTTTTGCTGCTGAAACACAACCTACCAGAGCATTAGACCCGGACATATCAGTGCAGCTGTTGATTTGCCACGGAGCAAACAACTGTGGACAGTGGCGAGTTGCGCCAGTTTCGCTTCAATCGACTTCCAAATGACGGGTGACTTGACTTACCAGTTGCTATATCAGCATTATGAATGCGACAGTCAGGCTGCGGGACGGGAACAAGCGACTCGAACCTTTCCCCTTTCGGGGCGACTGAATAACCACGGCACTCACACAATCGCGACCCACATCGGGTTAAACCGACACGAAAATCCTTCCAGGGTTAGTCCAGACCTCATCGTTCGAAACTACTGCATTGCAGTCTCGAATCATAGACGAGCAGACCGCCCACGAGAACTGTGCTCAACAATGCTGACCACCAGAGTCCCCTGGCAACTTGGAATGAGGGCTATCTCCCCTCACGGGCCAGGGCGGTCAAGTATCGGGCCAATGATGGCGGCAGATCATGACCAGGGCCCTAATGTTCTAATCATGGATATCATGGATATTGGTGCAGGATCCGAAGGACTGTCGAGAAGGGGAGCGAAACGAGGGCCAAATCTGCAGGCTTATCAATCGTCCACGAGTGCCCGTTCATGCAAGTCGGCAAAACAGAAAGAAAATATCATCACACCTTACCCTTTCCTACGCACTATCTTAGAATACGAGATTGGCGTGACCACCACAACCCTCCATTCGACGGCCAAGACTTGCAAAGCCGCAGCGCAATATGGACCCTGAAAATCGGTTGGTTGGGGGAATCGTGGCTAACGGCTGGCTAACCCGGAACGGGTAAGCACTACTACAAGCACTGAGTGTCATATCAACTCGGGCTGACGAGAAGTTTTGTCAGGACAAAGTGGCTATTTGCGAGATAACGGTCTATAAAAAGGGTCTGAGAAGCCCGCGGTGAGTAGGACAGAGCATCACCAGCATTTCCAACTCGATTTTCCTCCTCAGAATCTTCTTGCCTTGCTAGACGTCTCAGAATGGCGTCAACCACCAAGGGCCAAGCCCCATCCTCGACTGGGCAATCCCAATACCAGCCTCCCTCCACTGGCATCTTCAGTGTTATGCCAGCCAGCTGGGTGCCATATGCTGAATTGATGCGTCTGGACCGACCCGCCGGCTTTTTTGCGTTCTACTGGCACTACCTGATCGGGATGAGCTTTGCCGCGGCCATCCTGCCTTCCGTGACCCTCCGTGCCCTAGCGGAGGCAGCAATCTACCAAATCGTCTGGGTGATCATCCTGCGCGGGGCCGTCTGCACCGTGAACGACAACTTCGACCAGGAGTTCGACCGCCAGGTCGCGCGGACCCGCTGGCGGCCCATTGCGCGCGGGGCGGTCTCCACCACGCAGGCCAACCTCTTCGCCGCGGCGCAGGTCGCCATCCTGGCCGTGATGGCCCTGCGGTGTCCGCTGCAGCAAGCCGCGGGGCTGAGCGCCGTGCCGCTCTACGCCAGCCTGACCACGGTGATCCTCAGCGTCTACCCGCTGGGGAAGCGGGTGACCGACATGCCGCAGATGATCCTTGGCGTGGGCTTTGCGGCGGCGATCCCGTTTTCGGCCGCCCTGCTAGGGCTCGACCTCTTCCCCGTTTCACCCTTCAATCTGCACCCGGAGACAGCGGATGCGCGGTTGGCGGCCGCCTCGCTCGGCCTGTGTGTGGCCTCGGGCATCTGGACCGTCATCTTCGATACCGTCTACGCGCACCAGGACCGCGCGGACGACATCAAGGCGGGCGTGCGCTCGCTGGCCGTTCGTCTGGGCGATCACACTAAGCCGGCGCTTGCCGTGCTGGCGGTCGCGCAGATCGGGCTGCTGGTGTTTACGGGCGTGCAGAGCCGGTTCTCGTCGGTGTACTTTGTCGGGTCGTGTGGAGCTGAGGCCCTCGCATTGGCTACTATGCTCGTTGTGGTTGATTTGAGCAAGGCGGCCAGCTGCGCTTGGTGGTTTGGGAAGGGAACGGCTATTGTGGGCGTTATTTTGCTGTCCGGGTTGGTTGGAGAGTACTTGTTGAAGTGAGGTGATGTTTGATTGCTGTCAGGATCGACTCTCAGTCTGGAACATTCGAGTGTTACGAATGTGCTATATGCCTATATTACCTAGAGTGTATGGTCGAAGGGTTATATATGGTTTAGATTGGATAGAATGCGTGCTAGCTACAATATGATGAATTACTGCCCTAATCCTGTATAGAATTGTGCTTATGGAGACTCTGGGTACTAACAGTCGCACCTGGAGTCGAGGTTCGATGCTTTACCTCGGAGTAGAGAACATAGAAAAGCAGGTGTGCTTACCGATCCACACGTACGGCTGTCATCACGTCACAGCGCCAATAAGCGCTAATACTTGATTGCTGTTCCATTCTTTGTCTAAAGCAGGATGATTATCCCTGTCAGGCGAATGTGACAGTGCCCGCGCTAGAAGTAGATCCTTTCACTACGCCCACCTGGCACATCCTGGCTCCTACCCTGTCGGGTTTAGTCTAGAACATGGAGGGTGAACCCTTCTGACCTACAACGCCAGCCCTTCCCCGCTTGGCCAAGGCAATGCGGTCTACTGCGTAGATCTAGATGCGAACTCTTTGCTTAAGGTTTAACGTAGTGGAAAGGGGCGTGGCCTACCGACTCAAACCCCGTCCCCTCCAACCCGCAACCGTCTCCGACACGTCATGTGATCTGGGCTACCCTGTCTCCTCGCCTATGCTTTTTCTGACACAGTCCAGCGAATCTAATGGCTCTGCCTCATGGCCATCATTTATCTTAATCTAAGCATGCGTAACAGCTATAAGTAGATTCAGCCAGTCCTATTCCAGATATTGATATTGATATATAACGTCATCTGGTCGAATAGCGCAGTTGTACTCGCATTCGCAGGGTTCTGCACAGACTTCTCGATACAACAAGTGGGATCCTGAATTCATTTCCAGCGACATTCTAATCGTGAGCAGTGAAAACTCGAGCCATACTGGAACAAAAACAGAAACTTCTGAATGCAGCTTACAACAAGTCAAACGAGTGTAGATAGTTAGAGTATTCGAATATACATGGTGTCCCGGCAGCAAGCTTCCACAGACTGTGAGGGACGAAAAGAAGAACCACCCCGTCGACAACGACCATTCATCCCAGCAACCCCTAAACTCAACCCACCTAGTACGGAATCTGCTTATGGAACCACTCCATCATAAAGGACACCTGAGCCGGGTGCGCCACGGGCACCTTCTCAAACGCATCGCCCAGCTCCATGACCACCTGGGTGCCGTTAGCGCTGTTGGGGCTCCAGTGGGGCAGGGAGCCGCCGGTGTACGAGCCGCCGCGGTTGGGATCGAGGGTCTTGGCGAAATTGGCCCAGTAGGCGGACATCTTCTCCTGGATGGCGTAGTCGGTGGCGTTGAAGGGGTACCGATCCGTGTTGGCGTAGAGTGCGTTGAGGGCGTACATGATCTCGGACTGGTGGAAGGCACCCTGGTCCTGGCCGGGGGGCGCATGGGTCCAGTAATACGTGTAGAATGAGGAGGAGGCGGCCTTATACCACTCGGTGGCATAGGCCCACGAGCCGATCAGCGAGGCGTCCCGCGCCGCCGCGTTCCACGACTCGTCCTGCGTGCCGTTCGTGTCCGGGTAGAGCTTGATGTAGCGGTCGTAGAGGTCGCCGTACTTCAGCGAGGTGTAGTTCTCATACTGCGCGACCGTGTAGTCCGTGCTGGTGGCGGCCCCGGACTCGTCCTTTGTGTTGCCGGTGATGACGGGGACGTCGTTGGCCGGGCCGTTGCGGAGGCTGTCGATGTACTTCTCCGGGAGCACGTAGCCGTCGAGCACTGGCTTGAAGATCAATGGATAGCCCGCGGAGAGGGCGGTGACCCAGTTGATCCACGTGGAGTTCACCCGGTCCTGCGACCCGACGAGAAGATCTTCCATGGACAAGGTGCGCAGCTCGGCGATCGTGGAGACATTGTGGCTTGTAACATAGCTTTCGCCGAAGTAGATGGCGGTGGACATGTTGACATACGACGTGGCGAGGCCAGCGAGGAGGGGATCGTAGGGGTATCGAATGCCCGACTCCGAGATTCCGCCGTGGAAATAGCCCGTGAAGAGAGGGCTGTTCACAGCGTGATACACTTGCGAGGAACCAAAGGACTGGCCAGCGACAATCACGCGATCCGGATCACCGCCGAATTTGGCGATGTTCTTCTGGACCCATTTCAGAACCTCAAGTTGATCGAGGACACCGTAGTTGCCGGAGGTGTTGTATCCCGTTGTGCGCAGACCCTCGGCGTTGAGCTCGGGGTGGGCCAGATACCCAAAGGCATCATCGCGGCGGTTAAAAGTGATAAGGATCACATCTTTCAAGGCCATTCCACCTCCATAGTACCACGGGTTGTCGCTCGTCTCATCAGATCCCTGGTTCCAGACCATGACGGGGAGCTTGGCGTCCGCGGTGCCGGCGTTGGTCCATAAGTTCAAGCTCAGGCAGTCTTCGCTGATGTACGAGGTATCGCCTGTGGGACACGCGGGACCGAAGGCCGTGGCCTGCAGGGTGGTGTTCCAGGGCTCTCTGGGCTGGGGCGGCTTCCAGCGGTTTTGATAGCCGGTGTCGGCGGCGTAGGGGATGCCCAGGAACGCCGTCACATTTGACTCGGAGATGCCAAAGTAGGTTTCCAAAGTGGCGGACTCGTTGAAGTACTTGTATCCCTGGACTGGACCGTAGGTTGTCTGAATGACTTGGTCCCACAGTTGCGCCTGGGCAACTGCAGCACCCAGAGCCACTGAGACCAAGGCCTGTGGAATTAAAGCGGCCATTCGGGAAGACTAGACCGATGATGATGATGATGATGATGATAGAGAAGGAAGGGGAGGTTGCTGAAGGAGTTTGGGGAGGAGGGGTCGAAACAGCTCTTTATATCTTGCTCCCAAGGCAAGATCAAGCTGTAATTCCACCCAGTTGTGCTGCTCAGGTAAGGCTTCGTCGCGAAGTTGCAGGCCAATCAGTTGGGGTTTCGCGTTCAGTGTACCTCGGCTGTCTGACCAGCCGTTCCCTGCATGATCACTGACGATCGTTGCCAAAGCCTGTTAGTGAGTGTCCTGCAAGGTACAGTCTACTAGGCAGAGGTACGTCAACCTTTGATTGCATGCATACGTCGATACCAGTATGAGACCAATGGAGCGCATTTGTCCTGATCCACCAGATAGTGGTTACGCCTCCCCTCGAGGACCGGATCCTTGGCATTGGCCAGGCTTGCAGACTGGCGTAGGTAGGCGAGCTGCTAGAAATGTAGAGACGAGTCTACTGAGCCAAATGACTCAATATACTCATTTCATAAGCATTGGGCCCCAATGGAGGTGATACACACGGCTGTCGTGAAGCGAGGTCCGGGTTCACGATTATCAATGAAAGTCCACAAACTCAACCATATATCCAAGAGTCCCAGGGTTTGGGCTGCGGGTAGTAGCACTTATGTCCATTCTGCACAGTTGACCCTGACGCGAGACGGGGCAAGATCTTGAGGGCTACCGTGCGAACATGCCAGCAATGGCAGGGATTGCTCGGAATTGGATTCCCAATACAGGCACCAGACTCGGTGACCGACGGTAGGGCTCGGGACTAGCAGCCCGACCGGGTACTCCCGTACGAAACCCCTCGGGTTAAGACCATAAATCCGGCGACTAGGGTCTCGCTAAGCCACTTTTGGCTTCAATTCTCAGAACTAAGTCCGCCTTACGACCGCACAGGCCGAGCATACCTGCTAGATAAGATGTTGCAGCTTCTGTCTACATAGCGGACTAGATTCCACCTTTCATTTTCCCATAATTCACCGGCCTACGTAACCCTGGAGGAGCGCCAACGTATTTCGTGCCGTCTGTGATCGCACCTTGCTGGTTCAGGGCAATGCCACCCTGCTCCTGTTCGGAACTCAGGGTCGTCGTCGTCACCTCTAAACACGGTAGAACTTTCTCCCTTAAGTCTCCGAACTACCCCGGTGAGTAGTGCTGGACCCTTCAATGGCCCAGTAGCTTTGGATGTGTGTGTGCCCTGACATTATAGGGCGTTTCCGTCTCCGTGTCTCTGAACACCTGGTTGACCGCCATACAGCCTTACCGAGTGCTTCCACCTTAGTCATAATCCTCCCCCGTATTCGCATTTTCAGATGGCTAATTCAACTATCGCATAGGCAAGACTTCGCCATCGGGCAATAAACACCTCCCTACCGAACTGTGTCAATTGAATGTACCGGACACCGGGGCATACGATACGCCGAGGCCAGTTTGTCACTCATTCTCTGTTTCAAAACCCAAGTCCCAAGCGAGTGAGCCCGGTTCATCGAGCCATTCCAGAGAGGGACGCGCGTCATGCTTTACCCCGTCCACATTCAGTGGCAGTCCTAACCGTATGCAATGATTTACACGAGTCATTAATCTATACATTCGCACTCTAGGCCTTTGAAGGACTAGGTATGGCGATTCACTCGCTATCCCTTCTGTGAGCAGGTCTCGGTGGCGTGCCTTAAACTTTCAGAGGTCGAGTGAGGGTCTCCTCCCGCGCTACTAAATGCCAGGTAGCCTGTTGCGGGGAGCACTAGAATAGCCTTTCTCTCCATGTTGTGCGGTCACGGGCCTCTCGTGACTATGCGGCAGCACCGCGGTGAAAGGGCCCCTGTCAGGCATAGTCATCACAGGCGCCCTTTCGACCTGGCCATTATCCTTCAACACATATACAATGCGAGTACATTATATGCTTCACGATGACAAACCATAGAGGCAGTGGCGGCGGTGGGGAGACGGGTAGATAAGGTTTGTGCACAGCAATTGTCCCTAACCCCGTGTTCGGAAGACATTGGCCCGCAATTTACAGCTACCTGCTTCTCGCAGTCTATGCAGAGTAAGCATCCTCGATATCCATCCAGGCGAAGCTATATCATCTCGAAGGGACGCTGCTCTATCTCGCAGCTTCACCAATCTTAGTATTCTAGTTTCCTTGTGGAATATCGACTAAGGTAGACATACATCAACAACACCTGCTAAATGTTTCTGAGATCACCCTGGGTTCTCTGCATCAGTCCGTTCCTTCTTACTAGACCAAATTCCGCCAACATGTCTCATCAATAACGTACTTTCAGGATATTACAATCAACCGCTATGCCAAGCCTACCCCGAATCAGACCATCTGCACCAAATACATTCCCCGCCTCGGAACAATGCCCAGCTCACAGCACCAGATTCCTCGGCTTAAGCCTCACCATCAACGCGGACTTATCCCACAGCAGATGGCATTCCTGGTCCAGCCAGTCCGACTCCGGATCCTCTAGCTCCATATCAAAATTGAAAATCATGCGGGCGAGGATGATGCGCATCTCGACATATGCCAAGCTGGGAACCCACCGCGTCAATTAGTCACCAGACGGGCAATCGGTGGGGACATACATACTTGCGGCCAATGCAGTTCCGCGGCCCGAAGCTGAACGGCTGCAGCACGTCCCGGTTATCGGTGGCGTAGGGCGGGTCGCCGAGGTGGCGCTCGGGGATGAAGGCATCCGGGTCGGCGAAGTTGGCTGGGGAGTGGTAGGCGGCGTAGTGCGGGACGGAGACAGTCGTCTATAGCAGTGAGTTAGTCCGTCCCAGATCCAACATTCGGTCCTCTCGAATGATGTGTACTGACCCCGCCAGGAACCCAGCCCCCAGCGATGACATCCCCCTGCGCATCCACCACGCGGGGCAGTCCCACCCCCTCGGGCGGAAAGAGGCGCAACCCCTCCGTCAGCACCGCCAGACAGTACTCCAGACGATTGACGGAGTCGAACGTAATCTCCTCCTCGGTGGCAAAAGCAGACCGAACCTCCTGCTGGAGCTTGGCCAGCACGCGGGGACTCTTCAGCAGCATAAAGGTCACGCCAGACAGCAGGGTGGCGGTGGTCTCCGACCCGGCGATGATGAGGGTGCTCGCATTGGTGATCATTTCGGGAACACTGATCCCTTTCTCCGAGTGGCCCTGGTGCTTGAGGATATTGGCGAAGAAGTCCGGGCGCTCGTTGGTCTTGGCCAGCCGGGCCTGCACCTTCTGGGCCGTCAGCTGCACGTGCCACCTCTGCTGCTCGAGGACGCGCGCGGGCGTGATGGCGCGCATAAGGTACCGCGTGCCCGGCAGCCGGCGCGCGACGTTGAGGTACGAGGCCACCTTGACGGAGCTGAAGATCAGCCGCACCCAGTCGTGGTAGGCGCCGTTGCGCAGGCAGTCGAAGGGCTCGCCGAAGGCCAGGTCGCCGATGATGTCGAAGGTGCAGAAGTTGTACCAGGCCACCATGTCCAGCGCGGTGGGGGTGGTCGGGCCGTGGCGGCGCGCGTGCTCGTGCAGCCGCTGCATGAGCAGGTCGACGTAGCCCCGGATGATGGGCTCCTGGCCGCGGAGGGCGCTGTCGGAGAAGGCGTGCGAAAGGAGCCGCCGGAACCGGCTGTGGTCGGCGTCGTTGGACTGGTCGATGCTCGGCACGTTGTTCGCCGTGGGCGGGTACGCGTGCCGGTCTTTGGGCTTCTGGCCGTGGCCCGGCCGCGTGCCGTAGATGGGCTTCCAGGCGTCGCTGCTGATGAAGGAGAGCTCGTTGGGCGCGACGCGGACCACGTGCCCGTATCGCTTGTGCAGGGCGTTCATCTCTTGCGGGGGTCGGCCGCGGAGTGTCATTAGTAGGTATGGGATCCGGGTGGCAGCCATGGACCTGGGACCGGGGTATTTGGCTAGCGGGTGGAAGAACATGTTGTAGAGAACGATGCCAAACAATGATGCAGATATCTGTGAGGGTTTGGTGCTAATTAGAAAGTAGAGGGACTTCCTGCTGAGGGATCTGAAAGCTCACGAGTATAACGAGTAGCCCTAACACGGGTAGCTCCGATAATGGGCCGGAGGGGAGTTTCTGGATCACACCCATTTTACAGAATGTCTGTGACACTTGGGCTAAAATAGAGTAGCTTACAGAAGTGGTCTGCGGAAATCTCTACCGACCAAATATCCCAGAAGCAAGACAGGTCAATTCCGTCCAGTTTATATCAGTCTCCATGATCGAGAACCCCGCACCTGCCCGCCCTCGCTTAGACAATGGTGTCGTATACCCGGGTCCAGTCCTGTACCATAGCAAACTAGAACCTCAGCTCGTCCAGTCAACTGTGTTCTAGATGAAACCCCTAGCCCTCGGTGGGATCAAAAACCTTCAACGTGGACGGGGGATTAATTACTCGTGCAGCCGCACAGACTGTCGATCCCCGTTGCGAAATGTGACAGGCTAACATACAGCGGCTAATTCAACCACACACCGTAGGTGAGCTGTGTACAAACACTCCTCCCAGTAAGGATCAGCATCTTGTGTGATATGATAGCTGATGTATGATTTGCTCGTGTCGACCAGGTCATCTATCAGGGTGTACAGTACCTCGAGTGGGGCGGCTGTGGATCAGCGGGCGGGGTCGCGGCCGAGATTCCCGTATCCGTACCGCCCCCGCTGTCTACCTCACCATGACATGGGGAAGAATAGGTTCAAATCATCTTATCATGTACTTCGACCCTTCCAATACATAGCGTCGATTGAGATAATCAACATTGTGTCTGTTTTCCTAGTCATTTTCTCTCCGTTGGTATTCAGTGAGTCCTCGAAGACTGAGTTGCGAGCTACATCTTATGGACAACTATATATCCTAAACAAGTATCGTGCATTCATTGGGTCTTTTATATATGTATGAGATGCTGCGAGGAAATCTTACCTCATCAAGTCTTTCTCTACAAGATGCTGATCAGCATAGTACTCCTCGGATTGATTCCGGGCGGATCCAGACATATACTGTAAAGGAGAAGAACGAAGGAGATCTTTGAGTGGGATATTCGGCAGCATTACTCCTCCATGGAAAATTGATATCGCAGTTGATACCACAGCTATATGACAAAGCGACTCGTGAGTGTCTTTTGTGGAGCAGTATCTGGTATGTTGCGCTGTAATCCGATGGACTAGATACAGAAGGATGGTAGCTATGAGCCTGAGCCTGATACGATCATTGCTTGATCACATCACCCTGTGATTCTATTGATGATCTGACCAAGCTCAGCGATGAGAAATGAGGAACAACTCTTTCAATCCTTGGTGGTTGAACTACTTAAGTTGTTTGTATGGGTAACTTGCTTCGTGGATTCGCCTCAGATCACGTGACCGGATCACTCAGGAATGCTGGCAGATTATACAGGAACGTACCGTACCCCCTTGATTAATATGAGATGTGAAAGGATTAGAAGAAGCTAATATTGGCTCAGCGCACATGTCTAACATCGAGTTTATATTGTTCAATTGCCTCGGGCCTAGGATCGAAATAGAAAGCAATAACAAAAGGAGACTGCAGGAGAAAGAAATCAAGGGGATTCTCCAAAACGGAAGCTATAATGAAATGAGGTGAAGGTATTTTCAATCACATAAATGTTGACATGTTGAGATCGACCAGGTCTTCGCTGCCTGGTAGTACCAGTGTGAGATGGGAAGAAGATGTTCATCTTACGGCGGGGGTCTCCGATTCCATCTCCATATGCTAGTCGGCCAGGGTGCTCGGGCACAATTCGGATGACCCATGGCCGCGGTCTTCGTGCGAGGGATCGGGCGGTGGTCTGTGGTGGACTGTGGTTCTGAGGAGGGCTGAGACGTTCATCAGCTAGCCAGCCTCTGGAAACACTCAGTCTCCAGGACTCCCACGGAGTCAGTCCGTGGGCCTTGGTGATGATCATGAGCAAAGTGGAAGGCCTTGACATGGTGTTCTCCTTTGGTTCCCCTGGCCGGAATGGAGCTCTCGCCGATTGTGCTGGTATCATGGCTAGCGAAGTCTCCATACCCTGTTCTTTTAGCCCATCAAGGCAGACCAGCTTTGGGTTTTCGTGGTGCGATTGGCATTCTCTGAATCGGTGGATGCTCATACGGAATGAGAACCAGTCCGTATGTTTTGGCGGGAGGGGGGCGGTTGTGATATAGGGCGAAGCTTAGACAGCCCTACGAGGCGAGCAACATAACTCCGACAACGAATGCGGCACACAGAGAAGAGACGTGGATCCGCAGCGATGTCGCCCCACTTTCCTTCGAATCGCTATCCGAGGACGAGGCGACGCCGGTCGCGTTGGGTATGCCCGAGGAGCCCGTGCCGATCTCGAGGATGTGATCCTCGCCAGGGTCGGTGTTCGTCTTGGCGATGGCGACCTCGTTGTTCTCCAGATCATACACCACGTACGCACTGCGCAGGAAGGTATCGCCGAGCACGAACTCTCCGTCGTCGGAGTCTGAGTCCTGAGGCACAATGCCGAAGACGCAGTAGGAGCCCGCATCCAGAAGCAGATCGCCCACAGGCACGGAGAGGTTGAACCCGGAGAACTCGAAGACGACATCGTAGTCCTGGTCCGCGACGTCGCAGTCGACGATCGCGTAGCCGGCCCGCTCAACATACTCGGCGCCCACGGCACTGATCAGATCCTGGGCGGCGGCGGAGGGGAGGTAGGTCAGGGAGGTGCCGCTGTCCAAAACACCGACCACGGGGAAGGCGGTGTTGTTGACGCTGGTGCTCTTGGTGCCCGTGACGTGCACCCCGTTGAGACTGACGGCCAGGGTGTCGTAGACGCCGTTGATCTTCTCGATCGGCAGGGTGTGTAAGCTGCCGGTGTATTTGGCGGTGTTGACGCCACCGAACAGGATCGTGCCTTCTTTGGCGTCCAGATCATCGAGCCAGAGACTGTACGCGGCGGAGTTGATGAAGCCCTGGTTGGCCAGCGCTTTGGGTAGGTTGGCATATACTCCGCCGCCGAATTGCGCGGAGGTCTCTCCGCTGGCATATCCGATGCCCAGAACGCCCTCTACATTCCGGGTCAGTCAGTCGTGCCTAAGGCAGGAAATGGGGATCAACAAGGGGTTTAACTTACGACTGCTGGTGCTGTTGGTAGCGACACCGAACTGAAAATTGGTCAAGGTCACGTTCCCTAATTTGACAGTATCGTTCACATAGTCGCCCGCCGCTTCGCTTCCGTCCACGTATTGAATCACGAAATCATCATTGACCAAGGAGTACGTTGAGGAGGCCGAGGAGTCATAAGTGCCGTAGGAGTTGTTGGAGCTGTCGGATCCAGTACCTGCCGCGTTGACCCAGAGATCGCTACTTCCGGTATCGATGATGACGCTGACGTTTTGTCCGGGGGTGCCCAGCTCGAGGCTGATGATGTAGTCTACCTCCTATAGAATCCTTCTGTCAGTCACTGTCTTCAACCCAGATGCTATCGATGGCAAAGCAACAAGGGGGGAGGTGAGAAGGGCGCCCAACGTACATTATTGCCGATATCGACATCCACAGTCGCTCGTTTGCGTAAAGATCGGATCGCGTTGTGTCTCCGTTGGACATTGTATTGTAAGGTCGCTGGTTGACTGCGTTCGTGCAGGGTAAGCGCCGAAATGGGCTGGATTAAACCGCCGGCCAGCGACAAAAGGAGGGCGAGATTCTTCATGATGGGGATGGAGATGGGCAGCTTGGAAGGGCGGTAACAGTGCGTCGAAGGGAGGGGGCTGGAGGGTAATTATACTGCGACGAGATTTAACATGGCGTCATGTTTCGCCTGACACCACGGTCCACTCAATGGCTTCCGACTAAGCCGCTTGATGAATCTTGAATCTGTTTTTTTCTTTTTTTTGGCTGGAGCCACGCGGCCCCCTCGGAAGTAGGGCGGGCGGTTGTGGTTAGGCAGATGCGATTTGGGATTGACGATGACGCGGCTGTGGCTTTGCCGCCAAACCCGGCTGGGAGGTTCTGCTTTCGGTTCTCTCGGCCTCTAGCCTGAATAGAGGCTTGGTTCGGCCTTCGCGGGAAACCTAATTTCCGCCATGCACTGGAAAGAGAGCGCTGCCTGAGGCAGAAGGATGCTCAGCCACCACCAGCCCAGCCTGCGCCATGCAAGGCTTGGCTTTCCTTTCATCACCTTCAAGGTTGACGGCTGGATTCGTGGACATCGACTTGGCTCCAGCCAATCGCCGTCCCAACCGCTACACTCCGACCTTCGCCCTTCTACACCTCTCATTTCAGCATCAAGCAAGGTTCTACCCAGCTAGATTTAGAACCGACCAGCAATGTCTGACCTGGCATAGACAACACCGAGAGTGCTGTCAATGCTCACATTGATCGAGACGTATGACGTTAATCAATGGCAGATACCCCTTCATTTCCAAGATCCATATTGTTGAATACATATTGCTGACCGTAGCAGTGAAAATCGACTCGGCAAGAAAATAGACAAACTATTGTCACCTACGCAATGCATATCAAGACAATATGACGAATTGTAGTCCGGACCAAGGATGAAACCTGACGTGGTTCCCACGAGCGGGCGAGGGCGAGGAAGGATCACGTGCCGTGATGGGACCTTCCGGGATAGCATCATCTATGGTATCAGACTGACATACCTCCTCCCGAAGCTGGCGGTTCGAATAGCTCTCAGGGAGAAATCAAGGCAAAACAGCTTCGAGAGGGCCTTTTTGAATCCATCAGAAAGAGCCCGCTAACATCGAATCCCATCGTCCAGCCGCGGAGACTTCGAAAGAGGCGACCCCGCGCTTTCCGGCAGTATACAACATCCCCGCAACAGCACCCAAGCCTACGATGTAAAATGCAGCTGGAAATCAACGACCAAAAGGCAGAATGCAAGTGCCTGCGCCCGGCCTGGGTTGAACGCTCGACCTTGAAGCGGCCAAAAAATTAGGTAAGGACATAATGTACATTCTGGGAGACATCAGAGTAGTTCTCCCCTCTGATGTCTCCGAGGATGCGATAGATTCTTCTCTAAAGTGGCTTATAAGCCTGCATTCCTAACCGCTCGCCAGCTTTGTGGGGGACAGCATCAGCTCTGGTACTGTGTAGATGACACAGGAAGCTTTCCCTTGACCTTGCGGTCATTTTGATATGCGACTCTCGAGATTTCAGTAGGGGGGTTGTTGGATGGTGCCGAAAAGGTGCCCCTCCAGGCGTGTTACTGAGGCATGAGCCAGGAGCTCGATGAGGCAGCAAGGCAGCAACAGAGTATGGCACGAAGGCCGCGAGGCACCAAAGCACCTAGGCAGCCCTAGTAGGGCTGGACTACCATTAGACCTTGGATTGGTTCCAGCATCACTACTCGACTTATTGTGTATCATTCGTAAGTCGCATGGTGATGGTCAAGGGGAAAAGAGTTAACACTCGAGTGATTACTAGGTAGTGAAGGGGGCAACGCTTACTAGAACTCACACATCAACAGGTGCATATTGTTCCCTAAGAGCATCATTCAACACCGAGCAAGTACAGCTATTTCATAACCAGTGAGAGCAGTTCCCTTGTTTGGGATCTAGCAAACTCGAAATCCCCGCCCCCTATTGTTACTCTGAATGTGGGTGGAGGTGGGGATCTACTGTTCATCTTCCGAGGTGGGGTCAAGCGCCTATCCCGTACTATCAGCTAACAACTTCTCCTGCAACCAATCATAGTTAACTGTCTTATGATGATCAACTCTCTTCTACGGGCGCTTTGCGCGCCAAAGAAACTCAGTCACATGACGGAGCATCTGGGTCAAGGACATCTAAATCCTACTTTCGAGCAGCTGGTCGCGGGCTCTGTCGGCCAAGTCTCTGTGTTCTGCATGGTTCCCCATCTGACCTTACGAGGGATGTGACACTGACGGTGGTTGCGACGCATTTAAGCAACTGCAAGTCGAGCGACTGCAAGTAAAGTACATATGATTCTCACCCCCCAATGCGCGGGTTTCATACCATTCCTGGGGATAAGGCCATGCATGCGCCAAGCACAAGCTATAGATCGGCCCTGTCTCCGGTAGAGAGTAGCTGGTTCAAGAAGCTCGTTTTGCCAGAGCTTTGAGCTTCATTCAGGGCTCTCGCATGCTCATGTGATTTAACACCAAGGCTGGTGAATCGAATCGATACATTAATATGCACTTCTGTCTATTACCCCTCTAGGGATGTAGAATATATGCTGTCCATTAGTGGTGAAATCAAATATATTGCAGAACCTCAATACGCGCCCAGGCGACACTTGCTAATGCGCCCACTTAAAACCACTCTTGACAAATGTGTTCCCCGCCGTCGCTCGACCGAATACCTCAGACGTACCCAACTCAACCCCCTCACTCCCTCTCAAGCAGTTTTGTTTTCGCACGCAGAGAAATGGCAAAGAACAGCAGCGCCTGGGTGATTGGCTGCGAAGGCAGTCGGAAACTTCCTGCCGAGCTCCCTGACCTCTGCCTTGGCGCCTATACCCGCCAGTTGCCGCTGCAGGGCTTTTTGAGAACCGATCATGACATCTGGAAGGGTGTTCTCGTTGAAAGAAGTGAAGATTGCGACCAAGAAGATCTATATTTGAGCTAGAAAAGGGTTGGACGGTTCGATGCGATGGTCTTTTAGGGTCTCGGGAAAGCTGAGGATGGTCGGTAGAGCCCAACCAAGCGGACGCAGGGACATAGGGAAAACCGATATGCGAATTGATCGAACAATGCCTCTGCAAACATGCAACCTTTGTCGGCTTGCGTCATCTTGTTCTTTTCGACGTCCTCGCAAATTGCGACCATCGCGTCCTAGTTCTGACCCAAATCTGCCACCGTCGAGAGGGCTGCCGGTCTTTAAGAGGCTTGTGCGGGACCTCGACCAGTAACACCAAGGCAATTTTCCTCCACAAGTTTGGAACAGCAATCTTTTGTCTCCCCGCCTTCAATCGCACCTCATCGGACCTCGGAATATGCGCAGCTGCGCTGGCAGCTTTGGGTATAGTTGGGGAACCATAAACGGTGTGGCCGCCAGATTTCAAGACATATGACTCAACTCGAGAGATCAGATAATTTACAGAGGCGTTCAATCAGAGTTCGGGTGAAACATGAGCCCGGCAGAATGCCCTAGGAATCGAATCGAAGCAATTGTCCTGCGATGGTAGTATGCCCTGTGAGACTAGGGACCGGCCAAATGGCAGGACTAACGACGACAACCAATTGGTGATATCTATAACCATACCAGCCCATTCCGACAGGCCGACTATCGTTAAAATGCTAACAGTCCACCGAGACAGCCGCATACAAAACAGCATGGCACTGAAGATCCGTCACGTTGTAGGAGCTTCCTTCGCAATTGGACCCGCTCCACGTTTCCACCACGCAGCCACTGCGTCAACCAATGATGTTAGCATATGTGCACATATTGGCGGAGAGAAAGCAGCAACAGGGGTCATATCGAAGAAGACGCACCTGTTCTGAGTCACCTGAAGCGAGGTTTTATCGGACGAAACCGCCATGCAGGTAGAGACATTGCTGCGCGTCACGGCAAAGACATCCTCATCGCCGCCACAGGTATCGTTGGCATACATCTTCACCACGGCAGGGTAGGCGCTGTTCTGTGTTGGAGCGGTAATGACAGAGGCCTCAGTCGTGGAACTGGATTGGGTGGTCGTTGTTGTCGTTGCTGTCGTTGTCGTCGTTGCTGCCGTTGTTTGTGCGGACATCGTCGTGTGAGTTGTACTCGCTACGGTCGTAGTCGATGTAGACGACTGATGGCTGCTTGCAACATCTTTGTTCTCAGTGTGTGTCTTGTGCCGACTGCTAACCACGCCTCCCACCACGGCCGCCACTATGACGACCACCAAGACGACTAGGCCGCCCAGCAACCAGCGTCGTCTGATTCCGCATATCTGGCCCCTCGCTGTGTGTTCGACTAACGCCTGCTGCTGCTCTTTCTGGGCGGCCAACTCCGCATCGACCACGAAAAGTGGTGGTGTCTTCGACTCGGGAGTCGGTATGAAGTGACCATGGCTGTATGATGTGACCTCCGGCTGACTGTGAGGGTCGTCTTCGATATACGCCCGCTCCTATTGACCGCGCGATTTGTAAGGGACTGTCTAGTACGCAGCATCTCGTATACAACGAGTTCTGAAAATTAGCAGAATGCGTACCATTGGTAAGTCGAGTCCTCGTGTGTTAGAGCTGGATCACAGGTCTTGACAGAGAGGGATAAAAAATGAGTCGGGGTTTGTCACAGGAAAGCAAGATATACAACAGAGAAAGGAAAGAGGGAAGCAAGAAAAGCAGGAAGGAGAGAAAGAAAAGAAAGCTGCAAGCGGGATGAGCAGAGCCGCGCCTCTGTACAGGACATTGCGACCGTTGTCTAGCGAGAGCAACCACGAACCTGAAAGTGGAGCAGGGAGCTCAGAAACTGCTAACAAATGAGTGTCTCGAACAAAGCTCGTGGGTGAAGAAGGGTGCACGGAAACGTGCGATGATATGCGCCACGGGGTTATTGCCCCTACCTTTCAGCCTTTGAACCAGTGACATGTGCTGGAGAGAGTGTTTTGGCCCCCAGTTAATAAAAGCTGATGGATTAGTCTGGCCTAGGTAGTGGATACTGATGTCGCGAGTCGATACCCCAATTTACCTAGTTTGCTGGTGGAATTCACTCGATTATGACTCTATCACCCAACTAGGTTAAGAAACCTCACCGTCCAGAGCTATAGTTGTGTGGTTATTATTGATACCAAGTCATAAATTGCCTAGCCTCTGGCTGAGTAGGACCCACTTATCCACACTGCGAACCAGTCACCTTCCATATCTTCCCCGACGAAGCTGCATCCCTAGAAGCCAATGTGGATTAAGCATCGATGAAGTCGGACCAGGGCGGAAAGCAGCGAGGATATTCAGTCACAAAGCCCAAGCACGCCAAAACCCTTGGCTAATCGTATCTCCAAATGTTTCAATAATAAGGATGGTTTCGTGTCACTGCTGTCGCAATACCAACATGTGTTTGCGGAATTCCGAAGTCCTGAAACAATCTACTTGAAATATATATCTCGCCAACAATGTAAACCATATGTGACCTGCCCATTGAGTCATTATAGTTCGTTCAATCTAGAGCAATCATTTAATCCTTCAGTAAACAGAAGAAACCGAGGCTGAGAGCCCAATTACTCTACGTCAACAGAGCAAGATGTCGGAGCTACTTTGCTATTGGTCGTCCTAGTCAGAATTCTCTCTCCTACACCATCTCTCTCACCCATAAACACATACATAAGCATCAGTTCTCGTTCCTCACTCCTCTACCTCGTCAAATACCATCAACACATCACTACCCCGTATCCTACATTGCTTAACGCCCATACTCCAACGCCAAACTCTGGATCAACCGAATCCCCTCCTTCCGCCAGTCATCCCGCTCCACAAAGGTAGTCACATTCGCATCCCAGACCACAATCACCGGCGCGTCAACGCGATAAACAGGCCACTGCACCCCGTCCCGGGTGGCGTTGCGCCCGCGTCCTAGCCAGGCATTGGGATCGAGACTTGTGACGAAGCTTGCCCACGAGCCGGCCATTAGATAGCTGAGCTCGGTGTAGCTGGCCGGCATCCTCGCAAAGGGACTTGGGTCATAGCCTTCGCCGGCAAGGTTGTTGAAGATGAAGGCCACGTCGGAGAAGTGCTCCACGCCGACCTCCCACGCGAGACCCGCCGGCTTGGTGTTGAACCGGTAGCAGTACGCGGGGATCCCGCGGGCGGCCCAGACCTCGCAGGTGCGCCGTCGCGAGGCGATGAAGACCTGGTCGCCGTAGTAGGCGGCTGTCTGCCGGAAGCTGGCGCCGTAAGGCTGCGGGAAGGTGATGTTGGTGCCGCCCAGCTCCTTGGGGGAGGGGATGCCGAAGGTCGTTGTGTTGGGGTAGAGGGTGAGCAGGCGGGTGGCGATGGTGTTGTTCAGAGCTAGTTGGTAGCTGGATGTTGCTGGATCATAGGATTCGTTGGTTTAGCAAGCGCCCTACCCTTTTCCTTCTCTAGAGGCGACGGAATAACATACCGGTCATCCAGCCCCGCAACTCGAGAGAGGTATTGACAGGCTTCGGACACTGCGTCGTGCCCTCGTCGGTCGTCGTGCCGGCAATGATCGGCACGTGCACGAAGGCACCATCTTCCAGCTGTTGGCTGGGGTAGCGGGCCACAAAATCACCGTCGACGGTGGGTTCCCACCCGGTGTTGTACGTAGTGGTATTGAGAATGTTGTTCAAGGTGGCAAAGGGGAGGTCGCGCAGACAGTCCAGTTTGGTGGAGTTCTGGTGGCTGCTGCAGCCGGCGGCTGCGACAATCCCATCGAACCTTTCTTGATACTCGGAGGTCAGGTTCAACGGCCCTTGCGGAATGACTGGGCCAGACTCCATGATCCCTGCCCGGAACAGCTCGTCGTCCCGCCCATTGAATGCGCGAAGATGGTAGCCCACGCTCTCCGACCCCGCGCTTTGTCCGTAGATAGTGATCTTGTCGGGATCGCCTGAATTATGGAATGTCTTGTGAGATGATTTGCATACGTTTGCCAAAAAACCCGGAGGGATGGTAAAAGGTCACGAACCTCCAAATCCTGCGATGTTCTCCTTGATCCAATGCAGAGCCAGTCGCTGGTCCTTGAGACCGAGGTTCAACGCCCCGCTGGCAGCCACCTCGTCGCCGTTCAGAAAACCGAAGGGCCCCAGACGGTAAGCAATACTCACTCCGATGATTGGTTGATCGATTATGACGGAGTTATTGACAATGAAGGTCAGGTTGTATCGCTTGTCGGGAGTGCCTCCTTCTTTGAAGCCGCCACCTGCAGGACGTATGTGGTCAGAATCCAGAAGAACGCTGCTATATGACTGCCAAAGGATATGAAAAAAAAAAAAAAAAAAAAAAAAAAAGGCCAAAAGGCCGCATGATAATACAAAGTCAAAGAAGGAAGAGAAAGCAGAAAAAGTAAGAAAAGTCAAAATGGGATGAGGCCGAACTTGAAGAAAACTGATTAACTCACCATGAATCCATACCAACACTGGCAGACTTCCATTCTTGTAGCCAGAGGGCCGAATCACATTCAGATAGAGACAATCCTCGCTCTGGAGGTACCCTTTCTGATCCCCACCGTAGCCAATACACTCCTACAAGGATCGTCACCTCAGAACGAAATGCCATAACACAAACCAGAGGGGGTTACTCACAAAGGCATACTTGGTCGCAGGGCGGGCTCCCGTCCACAAGGCATTCAAGGACTCCGGATTGGCAAATCGTCGATCCTCCAACGGCGGACGCGCAAAAGGGATTCCCAGAAAAAGGTCCTGCTGATACTCGGAAAGATACTGACCCCGATATGTCCCGTTCAAGGTCTTTGCAGTGGGATAATCGGCCTGTACCGCACGTGAGGTGATTTGAGTTGAGCTACAAAGTCCTGCACACAACACGATACAGATGAGCGACCACATTGCTGCCTGGCCGCCCGGTAATGACTTTTTGCTTGGAGACCTTTTCCAGATTATGACTCCAAGACTGCTGGACGATTCTTATGTCTTTTATAGGTCAACGAGGCGTGTCCAGCTTTGATCTTGCGGAGTCTATTCCATGGAGACCCCATGGGGTAGCCGTGGGGTATCCCTCCCTCTGTTGAACAGCATTCCATTCTATTCTTTCTTAATTCCCTCACCAAATATACGGGTCGCAAATGAAGGCCCATGAATGTGTCATGACGAGGATGGCATAACCGATGGTACCAGAAACCCGTCTGGGGTAATGCGGGGTGTTCAGAGCACTCCTTGTGGGGTTGCGGGAATAGCAGAAGTGGGATTACCCCGCGTGGTGTCTCTAGCGATCGGACATGTCCGACATCAATCTCGGAGTGAGAGGATAGTGCTTGATTTGAGCTAAAAGCACACTGAATTAGTGGTAGGCAGTTTCCCGTTGTGCCCGACACTCGGGGTTTGGGCTGCTTTAGCTTACCTGGTCTGAAATCAAGCATGCCTCGGGCGAGAAGCGTCAGTCCCAGCGGGTTGATCAAGGTTTGGCGCAGCCCTAGTCTCCCCGTTTTGGTGGTCCTTTGCGAGACATACTTGATCTATCAGAGGAGATCCGTTCAGGTGGGCAAATATGACGACCAGTCCTCCGTTGATAATGATACAAATGCTTCCAGGCACTGTTACTGTCTCCGTACCTGATGACAACCAATTCAGCCACCATCGTTATTTTCTTGCTACAAGCTTACCAGGAATTGGCTACACCTTTGCGCAGTTGCGTTCCCCGGATCAAGAAGGAAAGAGACGAAACGGACAATGCTGCAGCTCATAGCATTGGCCTACTTCCTTGTAGGCTCAGTCATGGCGACCCGTCTCCCAACCGGCACGACCCTCAATGGAACCTACACCGGGGTATACTCGACCTCATTCGAGCAAGACTTCTTCCTTGGAATCCCATACCTACAAGCCCCCGTCGATGACCGACGCTTCCACCCGGCCGATAGCCTCACGAGCAGTTGGAATGGCACGCGCAATGCGACCGCCTACGCCCCCTCCTGTGTGGGATACGGTCCCTCCGACCACCCCGACGACATGTCCGAGGACTGCCTGTACCTCAACATCGTGCGACCGCACCATCACACGAGCACGACCACCGACCTCCTCCCCGTGGTAATCTACTTCCACGGCGGCGGCTTCTCAGGCGGCAGCGCGCGCGACGGACGCTACAACCTCAGTTCCTTCGTTGCGCGATCTGTTCAACAAGAACAGCCTGTCATAGCCGTCAGCTTTAACTACCGACTGAGCGCCTGGGGGTTCCTGTACAGCAACCAGATCCGAGACACGGGGGCAACCAACGTGGGCCTCCGGGACCAGCGCTATGCCTTGCAGTGGGTGCAGGAGAATATCGCCGGGTTTGGAGGCGATCCCCAGCAGGTCACCGTCTGGGGCCAGGGGGCTGGGGCATCTAGCGTGGGCTTCCAGCTCACGGCGTACGCGGGGCGTGATGACGGGCTGTTGCGCGGCGCCATCCTGCAGAGCGGGAACCCCGTGCCCGCCCGCGGACTCAACGGCACCCAGTACTTCCAGCCCCTGTACGATGCCCTGACCCAGCAGGTGTATCCCTCCTCCACATTCGCACTGGAGTATGAGATGGTCCCTGGGAAAGACACCTGCTGGGTCAGCCCGGATCGCATGGCGTGTCTGCGGACGGTGCCCTTTGCGGAGATGAACGCTGCTATCAATGCCACGAGCCCTCACGGCTGGTTTCCTGTGATCGATGGGGACATCGTCTCCGAGCAGCCGAGTCGCTCGCTGTATACGCGCAAATTTGTCCCCGTGCCAATCATCCTCGGGGCCGCGACGGACGAAGGAACCGCGCAGATGCCAGCTGAAGTGGAGATTGTGACAGACGAGGATTTTGCGGATATGGTCGCCAGTAAGATTCCCTGCTTAGCATTGGTGAACTGGATAGTTTCTGTGTAGTTCGAGTTGGCTAACGGGGCATACCTAGACCCGCAATCGTATGGCGTTGCTCCTGGGATCGCCCTGCCACAAGTACTAGTCGACCAGATCACCGCTGCGTACGCCAACGTCTCGTCAGTACCGGTTGTGAAAGCGCAGCTGTATCAAGGTGATGCGGCGGTGATCGCCAACCGACGCCAGGCGTGTGCTACCTGGTCCCGCAACAATGTTACGTCGTATTGCTATCGCTGGAATGTCGCCCTGGATGCGGCACAGCGCAACGCACAGCACGGCGACGAGCTTCCCTTCGTCTTCGACAATACGCGCGGCACGGGCTACGAACACAACCCACTGAGCACTGAGTCCCTTGCGGAGCTAGCAGCCCAAGTAAGCGGCAGTTGGGTCAGCTTTGTCGCGACTTTGAACCCGAACGCCTGGAAGACGGCCACTAATAGCAGCGTGGTTGCAACCTCGATAACCAGCAAGGGAGGCATTCCGATCTGGCCGCGATACGGTGCCCCGCACCAGTACGCACTGGTCTTCCAGGCCAACGGGACGAGTTACGTCGAGGAGGATACCTGGAGAGCGACCCCGATTCGGCTAATCAATGGGCCACCGTCGGGAATTGCAGTGGCGTATCAACGATAGATGGGGAAAGAGTACGGAGGGGAGAGGGTGAGACTTGAGATAGGCTCATTGCAGCAGGCACAGGCTCAGGTACTATCTGTATGTGGAGTGTATCTGTGTGTGTATTCTGCATCGATGCGGTGTGCAACTTCGTACATCCACTCTACCATACGTTGTCACGATCTAGAGCGGAGAAAAACCTGCTTTTGGGATAACTCAGATAGCAGATCGGTCGAAACCTAAAAACATGACCTATTCAATGATGAACATGCTTGCATATCTTTCGTGATCGATTGGTGTACACTGCATATTATCATCCCCGTGCTAAGCAATGCCGGCAGTCCCCCTCATCGTCAAGGCACTTGTATCACGGCACTCACTACCTCCTTCCTGTGCGCCCGCCCGCCCCGGCCCGCCCGCTCGCAAGGTGGTACTGGAATCAGTAAGGATCGGAGCCTTGGCGATACACACTTGCAGGGTCCCACAAATTCTGCGGGGAAATCAGAGAGAGCCCATGCGGTAACTGAAGAATGGGAGCGGGACAGGTGGAAAGCGGGGTCGACGCAAGCTTTGGGTAAGTTGGCTTGGCTGGCTCATTTCATTGTCAATTCATTGTCAATCCGAGCCCTAATTCCGCCGGTGGGTAGAGAGGGGAGATACGCGTCGACGGGACATCGGCCCAAGATTGTCCCAATCCAAGCCCCAGTGACTATTACTACGATATTCGACCAACTCAACGACGAATGGGGATTGGGATGATTACCTGGTCCCAGATAATGATCTTACATACTCCGAGGTAGACTGCGGAGTGCGTATACATTGCCGAGACTAGTGAGGAGTTATCCCGTCATGTTGACCTCCAACCCAAACTTTACTTTGCGCTCCTGTCCTGCCATGTATTTCGGACGACGCTACTCAATCGGGGAATTGGGGTAATCCAAGTGGACATGTTGAGAAACGAAGGTGACGGAAGAGCGAAGGGAAGGGAGACAGGTTCCGTCAGTCCGAATGGGAGAGATGCGAGACAAAGCACAGCGGGCATAAGAAATATAAAGGCTGGCTGTCGCTGGCACTGCATCAAACCACCTAAGCAATCTCATCCAAGTCCCTCCACCAACAACTGGGATCGATTGAAGTGGGCAAAAAAGCACAAGGAAGGCAGCAACATGAAACTACACCACCATCTACTCCTGGGCTGGGCTGCCCTCGCCGCCGCCCACGGCGCCTTCGACCATGAAACCCTAGAAGCCGCGATGGCCCGCCATCGCCACACAATCAACGCGCGACGCAGTCTCGAGTCGTGCGCTGGAGACCTGGAGAGCTCAGGCAGCAATCTGCGTCTCCGCGAACGCCGCGACGAGATTATCGAGCATCACCGTCGGCGCAAGCGGTCTACCGTCGAGATCCTGAATGCCACTCACCTCTACACCGGGCCGCGGATCGATCCATCCCGCCCGGGAGAGGTCTTTGCAGACGAACACCATGTGCTTCTCACCCCTTACGGCGACAATGGGCCGTACTATGTACCCGGAGAGCTCATCCGCGAGGACGCGCGAGAGGACCAGCTCGGTGTGCCCATCATCGTGGAGGCGCAGTTCATCGACTACGAGAGCTGTCTCCCCGTTCCCGGGATGTTCTGGGATATGTGGAACGCGAACGCGACCGGGGTGTACAGTGGGGTGATCAACGAGGGTAACGGCGATTTTCTGGACCACTCTAACGTGAACGCAACCTGGCTGCGCGCCGTGCAGATGGCGGACCAGGACGGGGTGGCGCGCATCCAGACTATCTTTCCCGGCCACTACACCGGCCGCACCAACCACATCCACATCATCGCCCATACCAACGTGGTCGTCCTGCCCAATGGCACCATCACCGGCGGCAGCATTAGCCACATCGGCCAGTTCTTCTTCGACCAAGCCCTCATCGACGCTGTCGAGACCACCTACCCCTACACACTCAACCCTTACGCGGTGATTGGTAATGCTCTCGACGACACATTCCACCAGGAGACCGCATTCTCCGCATCAGATCCGGTCTTCCACTATGAGTACCTGGGAGATACCCTGCAGGATGGGCTGTACATGTGGGTACGAATTGGAGTGAATGTGTCAGCGAGCTGGCAGTCCGAGTACAGCTTCACCCATGGTGCTGACGGAGGGAAGTATTCCTGCGGCACGGGTCGAATTGGGGCCAACTACACCACCTCAGACGAGGACTGCGCTGATGACGTTGATGTCGGCGCCCTGCCGGGCGAAACTGCGCCAGGTCCCGCGGTGTATTCGGCTCCGCCTCCCACGGCGTGGGATAATGCCACCGAGACAGAGGAGCAGCAGGCCGATCACGATGCCTTGCAGTCGGCGGTGGCACACGCGGAATCCACGGAGGCGGCCTACTTGGCGAGTATCTCCAGCGAAAGTGCTGCAACAGCTACCGCGCTGTGAGGGTATATTGGCGATGAGATGTTGGTTTAGGTCGAGTGAGGGAATGCTGAGAGTGGGAATGCCTAGATTACTATCGTATAGACATTCTGACCGCGCTAAGTCGATGTGTTGTTCTCTTTACATCTAATATCACTTCAAAAACACTGTTCTAGCAGTACACAATATACCTTGTCCTACATCGTTGTATTAGCTCCTTGGCCCATCCTTGGTGTTTAGAGTCTTCTGGGGTTGCAGCAGCAGCAATGGAGACGTAAACCCAGGCATTCGGTCGAACACTCGGTCCACAGAATCGTCCCTTGACCTGTGACCTCAATCTTAACTACAATGGACCAGACGAAACTATAATACATGTCTCATTCTTAACAATTGGGTCCGTCTGCTAGTCGATCTGATTTGTCGATATCTTCGTTTAATTATCTCTCGGGCTCCCGCTTCGATTGAGTCACCTCATGAGGACATATAATAGAATGGTTCAGATGACATTGCCTTATGATGACTTAGCAAAAATAGAATACCTAAGAATTTATCCGACCTAATACATTAATGCTTTGGGAGTCCACCTCGCATAGGTTGCCTTGGGTTCCACTGCCGAAGCGCTATCAGCAACCAGCCTTAGTGCCTCGATTTCCGCGAATGATAATTGCTCAAGATGGAATTATCAACCTTGGATCATTGTCTGAGTAAGCAGTAACGGCTTGGTTGACATCTAACTATACGTTGACCCCATAAGCCCAGCTGGGCTGTGCAGGGCCGCGCATGGATTGCCTACTGCGCCGACCCACGTGGCGGCTTAGCCCATTTGAGTAATCATTGCGATGCCCTGCAATAAAAGACTCGTATCTTCCTCTTTCCTTCGTCCCTCTCAACTACTGCTCTGACCATTCAACAGAAGCCCCAAATTGATAGTTTACTCCTCTATCTTTCACCTCTGCTTTCACAGCCGACAATTCTATCTGTCCACTACTCTGCATGGCTTTCAAAGTAGCCATCGTCGGCGCCGGCCCCGCCGGATGCCTGCTCGCTCGCCTGCTCCTCAACCAGCCCAAATTCACGGTGACGATCTTCGAGGCGGAGCCCTCGATCAACTACCGTGCACAGGGTGGGTCGCTAGATCTGCATGAGAATGGCGGGCTCGCCGCCCTCAAGGCCGCGGGCCTGTACGAGGAATTCCTGAAGCACGCGCGCTTCGACGGAGAGGCACTCCTGGTGTGCGATAAGCAGCTCAAACCCTATATTCAACTCAGCCCTACCACCAAAGAACACAGTCGTGGGCGGCCGGAGATCGACCGGTCTGCTCTCCGGCGCATGCTGGTCGAGTCCCTGCCGCCCGGGACGATAGAATGGAAGCGTCCATTGCGTCGCGTGGTTACCGCCGACACAGCAGAGCCCAGACAGGGCTACACCCTTGAATTCGCCGACGGGACGACCGCATCCGGGTTCGATCTCATCGTCGGCGCCGACGGCGCGTGGAGCAAAGTGCGTGCGGCGCTCTCCGACACCGTGCCCCGGTACGCCGGCATCGGCGGGTTCGCGCTCCAGATCCCAGATGCCGCACGCACCGCGCCAGCATGTGCGGCGCGCCTCAAGGGCGGGGCGATCTTTGCGTACTCGACGGGCTGCATGCTGGCGGGGCAGCAGCTGGGCGACGGCAGCATTAACGTCGGGCTGTGGCGGGCGCGGCCGGAGGGGTGGGAGCAGCAGGTTGACTACGCACTGGCGGACCCGCTGGCTGTGCGCGCGGCGCAGATGCGCGAGTTTGGTGATTATGCCCCAGAGCTGGTGGAATTTATCGCTCACGCCGGAGAGGACTCGCCCGTGGCATCTCGCTCCTTCTACACCCTGCCCGTCGGCTTCCGCTGGGACCACCGGCCGGGGCTGACGCTCGTGGGCGACGCGGCCCACGTCATCTGCCCTTTTACCGGGGAAGGGGTTAACCAGGCGCTTACGGATGTGTTGCAGTTGGCGCAGGCGTTGGGGGCGCTGGTCCGCCCCTCCGACTTGGACTCTGCACTGCTCAAGTATGAGACGGAGCTGTTTGCCCGTGCAGTCGTGTTCCAGAAGCGGGCGGAGGATGTTGCGCAGATGATGTTCTTCACGGAGGGCTCGCCGGCCACGACTATTGAGCGATACACCATGCAGAATATGCAGAACTCCATGTCCCCCGGGGCTTACAAGGCGTTCTATCCTTTGCTGCTTACGGGGGTCTACGGGTATTTCTTCTGGCATAAACGGTTACATAAGTAGGCGCAGGGCCATCCATGATGTATTTAGACAATCCATGTTTTAGTGTCAAAGATCTATATAACGAGTTAGATAGATTGAAAGAACTTTTTGAAAGTTCTGTCGAGCGAGACAAGATACACGTCATGAGGTGAAGCTTGCTGTCAGCTGAGATCTAGATGAATGAGCTGACGCCGTGGTGCTTGCACTCGGGTTCACTGCTTATATGAACCAATGCGGTCCATGGAAGGTTTCACGACAGAGATCACTGAAATCACTACTTCATTTTCCTTTCCTGCACCCAACACACCCCATTGGAGTCCGAGCCTGGGCGTCGACAGAAGAACGTGGCGCAGTCAGCCACGAAGGGTAGGGCAGCTGCTCAGCTCAGCCATCGCAGCCCATTCGGCTATAGTTACTACTTCCTACCGAACAGGTCTAATGAAGTGGGGAAGCGATGGTGGAGTCGCGGCCTTGGAGCCAATAAGCACAGAAGGTTGGATAGTCGAGAAGTCTAGCCAACCCGTGGGAGCGAATATATGGCTGCGCAACACCCCGCCGCTCATTGCGCTCGATCTTCTCATTCAAACTGCCAGCAGAGACACAATCCTTCCTCAGAATCCTGGCATTCAGCTTCATTATGGCTCTTGAGTCCCTCCCCGTCGAACTGCTTGTTATGATAGCCCAGTGCCTGGACGCAGAAGCACTCTCGTACCTGGTCCGAGCGAACCGCACTCTCTACCACGCCCTCGTTCCGGTCCTCTACCGAGTGCACGGAGAAGACGCGCTGCGGTACACCGTGCTCCACGCGCGCAGTTACCCCCTCACACATACACAAGAGCAGACCACCCGGCTCGCCTTCACCCACGGCGATTTCAGCCGCGGATGCGCGCACGGCCGGACAATCGAGCTGGCGGCGGCAAAGGGCCTCGTGAGCGTGGTCGAAGGCCTCGTGTCGCAGAACAACCAAGAGATCTACGAGGCGCTCGTCTACGCGGCGAGACAGCGCCACGCCGCCGTGGTGGACGTGTTGGCCCGCTACCGCGTCGACGTCCATGCCGCCGACTTTGAGGGCTACACGGCCCTGGACTGGGCCGCTAGCTCGGGCGATACGCCCATCGTCGCTACCCTGGTCGCCCATGGGGCGGATGTCCATCGCCGCTCCCGCCGGGGCTATACGCCTCTCCTCCTTGCGGCGGGCAACGGACACGCCGCGACGGCCGAGTTCCTGCTCCAACACGGGGCTGATGTTCACTGCGTCACTGAGGAGGGCAGAACTGCTCTCCAGCTTGCCATGCGGAATGAGCGCGAGGAGGTTGTGGCACTGCTCGAACCTCTTGCACCACGGGAGACTTCGGTGTGATGGCTGCCGGGGTCTCGTCGTCACAACCTCGATCTCTCGGGACTATCGACTGGGACGGGCCCAGGGTCTCACGTTGGAGTACTGGCGGGTGCGTGATAATAGTTCTGAAAAGACCTTCGTCGGTGTTGATATATAGCCATGCTTGACTGCCACGAGCTATGCCCATCTCATTACCAACGTGGGGGTGGTGGACTGCGGCCCACACCTTTGCACTACACCAAACCCAGAACATCTAAACCGGAGGATGTAATATCCAGGCAACTTCGGCAAGTTCGTCCTGCCAGAGTGCATCCCATACACCCAGTATTCATTGCAAAACGGCCCATCGCACTGTTATCGGAAGCAGAATCATCTGGTTGCCATTGGATGGATGCCTTGGGCTAAGTGAGGCATCACCCCTGCTCGAACTCTGTCTAACCTGGAAGTAGCAGCAGTGAGCATCCTGGAGTGGGCTGTCCACTTAGTGTCGATTCTCTCATAATTGAAATACGCATCATCTCAGTCAGGAAATCCTGATCGACATTCCAACTTGCTTCCGCGTGGAAAAGGGCTTCCTGTATCCCGAGCTAAATGTAGGTACCTACATAAATAGGACGTGTGGACGAATAACAAGACGGAATAACTTGATGCTAGCAGAGTGAAGAATATGTACCTTTATCTAATGAAACGCAGGTTGCGTGAGCGCTGAGAGCGATCAGATCAATATGATCGCAACAAATGTCACTTTAAGCAGGGATCGCGGGCTCTTGCAACACATCTACAACCAAGTTCACTCGGAGACTCAGACATGCGGCACATCCCACAATCCAGCAACTGGAGCTAATGGTCGAAAGCGATCACCACCTTAGTCGCGCTATGGTTATTAAACCTCGCGTAGGCGGCCGGGGCGTCCTCGATATCGACGACATCACTCACGATGAACCCGGGCCTGGCCTTGCCCGAGGCGACCAGATGAAGCAGTTGCGGGGCCAGATCGAGAGGCCTGGAGATCCCAGCGCCCCAATGAAAGCCCCTGCTCCAGAAGTCGGCCAGCGAGAGGTTGAAATCGGTATGGATGGTGGACGCCCGGGGTTGGCTGGCGGTGTCGTGCCCGCCGTGACTGTACACCCCCACCGTGCCCATGCCCCCGTTGACAGCCGTGACGGCCAGCATGTTCTGCAGGATGACGTCCGACTGCACGGTCAGGTTGCGATTGACCTGCTCGAATCCGACGCAATCGACGCTCCGGGTCACCCCCCGTGGCTCGCGGGCCAAGATCTGGTCCACGGGGTCTGCGGTCTGGAAATTGATGGGGATGGCGCCAATAGACGCCGCCAGACGAAGCCGCTCCGGGACATAGTCCACGCTGTACACCCGGGAGGCTCCTCGCAAGGTGGCCGAATACGCCGCCATCAGGCCCACGGGCCCGGCGCCGAAGATGGCTACCGTGTCGCCCGGCTGGAAGCCTGCGAAGTCCAGCGCTGTCCAGCCCGTTGCAAAGATGTCCGAGAGCATCACGTAGTCGTTGAGCAGGGAGGTGGTCTCGTTTGTGGTCGGGTCGGTGTAGTTGACGGCAGAGATGGGGATGAGCCCCTCTTCCGCGTGCGGTACTCGTAGATACTCGGCTTGGGTGCCGCCCAGAGTCCCGCCGTTGCCAAACGCCGCATACGGGACTGGTGTGAGGGCCGTCTCGAGATGGCCGTCCGGATTGGTGAAGGGCACGATCACCGCATCGCCCACGTTCAACAAGCTAACCTCAAACCCAACTTCGGCAATGTATCCCACCCCCTCGTGGCCGACGCCGACAGGGAGGACTTGGTGTTCCATGGTGCCTCGATAAATGTGCAGGTCAGATCCGCAGATGGCGGCCCGGGACATGCGAACGATCACGTCGGTCGAGTTCTGGATGGTGGGCTTGGGGACGTCCAGGACAGAGATGTTGAATGGCTGGCCTTGCCAGACCACAGCTCGCATTGTCTCGGCCAATGCGCTCATATTGGAGAGGGCCATGCTATCTTGATTGATGATATGGTATTGCTCTCTGGCCACAAGGGAGGTCTATGCAACAGACAGTGAAGAATGTGAATGGCGATGTAGGGTTCGGACTGTCGTGCGTGGGTGGGCTTTTTATATCATCTGTGATTATATGTCGATGCTACGGGAATGCTGTATCATCTGCGTGGTCAAATTTCGACCGCCCCGTGTCGTCACCACCTCATCGCTGCGTATTCAGCAAAGAGGATGTAGAGGGATCGGCAACTCACGCCAAACATGTGCTGTGCTGCCTAATGGGTGACCTCGCCAAGTCACATCACCCAGCCCCTAGACCCTAGGCATTGTGCCAGATCGAAGTGGACTGATTCCTTCTCGCACCGTCAGTAACCGTATCTCGCCATTGGTTTAGTATGCTGCATCCCACTGGACAGAGCAGTAGGACGTGCGCCAGGCCCACCAAACAGGTAGGAGGTCTGTTACCATCCACATCCCACTTGGCTGAGCGAGTATGTACTGCACGCCGAGCGTGTCCCGATGTCTCAGCTGCAGAAGATTATCACCACACCCACCGGTGTCGGCTGACAGGTTCGGCTTTCGTCTGGTGGGTCCATGTGTGTCATCCAGGCAGGCCCTGACCTCTGCTAGACCTTTAGCTCAGAGGCTAATGCAGGCGTATGACATTGATCGACATGGAGCAAGATGCCGCGATCGATTGCCGGATCTCGGGTAATCCTCGGCTGTGCGGTTCATCACTGAATCCGCGATAAGGTTGGAAGTCTAACAACTTGATTGACTCCCTAATCAGAGAAGGCCGGCCGGGCTTACCGGCTTTATCAGCGCGTGGCTGTGATCGGCTTACTGCCTTGCCATGTCTTGGCTTCTGGCCGTGGACTGACCCAAGACAGCTCTTATAACTTTCTAGATTGGTCCATAATGGAAAGGATAATTCTGCCGAGGGTGCCGTGGAAACTTCATACAGGGACTCTACAGAAGAAGGATAAGCAAATCGACAAAGAGCTAGCACGAGTATGTGGGACCCCTGGGCGTCACACTCCTGCTCATCAAGTACACGCCACCTGACTACTTGCCCGGAGCAACCACATTCTGAGGGACCCCGGGAGATTGCGGAGATAGCATCAAAAGTAGTAGACGAATGGATTCCCTGCGGTCTCGAGTGCCAGGTATACAGGTAGAAAGCGAAGAACCTGGGATGGCGATCTCTTTCATGCTGGTGATTGCAGCATGTTTCCTTGAAGTACAAATAGCCACGCAGCAGCCCTATCTTCGTTTTAGGCTTTCTTCCGTCAAGCAGAGCTGAAACTTCCACCAACCAATATGTCATCTGCGCGCCTACGAGCTGCCCGCCGCCGGCAATGAGCGCTTCTTCATCTGCTCGGGCAACTCCACCTACCAGCAGTTCCTCGATGCGCTGCGCGCGGGGATCCCCGAGATTCGTGACCGCGTGCCAGTTGGGAGGCCGGGACCGGGGATGTCCCCACGGACGTGTACACGGATGATACGTCCAAGTCCCGGAAGGTTTAGGATTGGAGTATCACTCGCTGGAGGAGACAATTGTTGATGCGGGGCGGTCTCTTCTCCGGCTTCAGAAGGCGGAGCGGGGCTAAAGGCTTGGGCTGGGTTGCTGCAGACTGAAAGAGCCTGGTTGTCGACGTTTCTCTCGGACAGCCATCACTTACGACTGTTGTCTTTGTTCTCATTCCCCAGCTCAGCGAAACCGATACATAACCTGCATCCTTCCCAGTCCCCGGAACAGCTTGTGGCCAGGATAATTCATGTTGTGTTTGGGTCTTCTGAAGTGCGAAGACATACTGTTAATCAATCAGGATCTCAATTGATCAATGTACTTGACCCGTTGCGTGCACGGGGTCACTCATCCTGTGTGTCTTGTCGATACGTACAGGCATTATCTCTATATCTGCTTTTTCCGCACCATGGAGTTGCCATCCTTTCAGTTGTAGTGCTTTTTGCCGTATGAAATACTAGACAACGCTATGCACCCAACAGGATGGTTAGGTATATTGCAGCTGCCTCAAGGTTTTATTCAAGAATAGTCTTACAAGTTCTACTCCCAGCCCGCCCTAGTTGCGCCGCAGCCTCATAACCATCACCAACCCTTGACGCTGCTCATCGACCACCGCTCCGTGAGTCTTCCGCACTACCTCCACCAACTCCTCATCCCCGTTCGCGATCAGCGCCTCGACCAAGGTCGCCCGCCCGGCGTCCTCGAACCCCAGCCTTCGATACAGGTTGACCGTCACATCGTTGCCCGCCTTGACGATCAGCCGCACCTGGACCGTGTTGGGCTCCGCTCGGTACTCCCGCAGCCAGTCCAGGGCCGCCTGGCATAGCTGTGCGCCCAGCCCGCGGCCGCGGTACGCGGGGAGGGTGAACAGACTCAGCATCTGCCAGCGCTCTTCCTCGCTGTCCGGGCGCTGTGCGGGTGGGTTTGCGGCGGCGGGGAGAGCGAACTGGTCGGCGGGGGAGGGGCCGCGCAGCGTGACCTGGGCGATCCATTGCGTTCCGCTGTTGGCATTCTCGGAGCCGCTGGGACTGGCGGTAGTGGAGGTCATCGGAGTGGCCGCGCAGATGAACACCTCGCGGTCTGGCACGGTGAGGCGGGCGATCCAGTCGTCCTCGGTGAAGGCGGACTCGATGGCATGGGTGGAGGAGAAGGAGCCGGGCGACACTTGGAGGGCTTCCAGGCGGAGGGCGCGATACTGCGCGGCTGAGGCGCGGATCGTTGCCTCGTCCTTGGGAATGCGGAAGAAGGTGTAGGTGAAGTCCGGGGAGGTCATTGCGATGGTTGCTGGTGTATAATATTGATTGGAGATGTGACACGTGGTCTGGGTATCGGTTGATCGGGGAGGACACTGGTAAGAATACTTGAATTTGACATGATGGCTAATTCGCATTCGACCCCGCGACTTATAGGTGTTACGGACTTGGGGGATTGTGAGTCAGATAATACACACTACAATCAAAGATACTGCTATAGGATATCTACGATGCTTCCTGTTTCGACGTTACCGTTTGAGATCCACCCATGGTGAGTCATGAGTGGAGCTGAAAGTGGCTACAAATCCCGGGGTCGCAAATCCCGGTAGTCTCCACCGCAAGATAGCTTGGAATAGCTTCAAACTACCCTTCTGGGAGGGAGGTACGCAACGATCCACATGGTCGATAAGGGTTGAGGGAAATGATTCATCCTGGTAAGCCTACGCATGGACTCATCCCTCTCACATCCATTATCAACGAACTATGTAATAAGACTGTTACCATCCAGAGTCGAACAACTGAAGACAATTGCAGGTGACTGCCATCATAACCCTCGTTGATAACGTATATCTTCAAGCATACCTATCTACACAAATGCTAAGATCAATCCCCAGGTCCAACCCGCTCCATATTCGTCAGCCCAACACGGCATTAATGGGCCCATTCGTTACCGAGAGATTGGTCTCCAATCCGCAGGGGCTCAGCCGAGGCCTGAATAAAAGCCACCCATCGGGCACGACCATTGTTGGGAGTGACGTTCCTCCATCGGTGCATCGTAGCTCTCTGCACCAGTACATCGCCCGCTTTCAGGATCCGCGTCTCCCCGGAGTCCAACGTGATCTCCATCTCGCCTTCGAGCAGTACCACCGTGTCCGAAGTCAGAGTCCGGTGCATGGGGCTCTCAGCCCCGGGCTCCATCGTGATCATGCAGGTGGCGGTCCCGCCCTCAGGGCAGATCCGACGGCTACCGGGAAAGAACGTGGTGGTGCGGTCTTCGCGATATTGCTCGATATCGGCCTCACTGGAGAGATCGAGTGGGAATGAGTGGCTGGAGGAGAGGATCTTGATTTCACCGATTGGAATGGGTATCGTATGTTGCTCGTCCGAACCTTGGGAGAAGATGGCGGCTCCGTTGGAGTCGTGGGTGGTGATATAGTGAGCCATGGGTTGCTGGCTTGAACGAAGTAATCAGGGATGAGAAGAGAATGGGAGGAAGAACGTTTTCAGTGGGAGTTGGGAGTGCAGAAAAGAGTCCTCGTGAAGAGTAAGAGGAGACCTAAATGTAACTATTTGTAGAGAGGAACGGGCCACTCGGCATTCGGGTCGGACGCTCGGTGTCCGACATCTCCGCGTTTCCCGTGCAAATAACAACGGCTCGCCAATCAACTATTCTTTCTTCTATACGCTTCTGTCCTGGTCTCAAGAGAGTGGGGTTGGGAGAAGAAGTGTAAGCATTCGGGTATCTTACGAATTGCTTCTAGATGGTACATTCTGGTCGAGTGGGCACAGGACTGCTTTATTCCACAGGTTTAGCCTCGCTTTACTAGTGCGGGGCAGATAACCCTCATTCTTCAGAACCTGCCGAGTAACCAGGAAGACAGTAAGACACCCCCCTCAGATATAGCTCCATAGCAACGACTATGGATTGCCTCATGTCAAAGGTCGTCTATTTGGGATTGGGATTCGCTACTCTTTATTGTGAGCTAAGGTGGCTATTAGCATCGAGAGTAGATCTCTCGGGGTCAGTGCAATTGCACTAGTTGCTTAATTACCAGAGTCGTTTGCTGATGGACTTGGTAAAAAATATGAAAGCACCATCAAGATGTCGCAACTTGACATAGATGTCGTGCCTCAAACGTTGTCCATTCCAGAAAGACTCTCTACGATGGAATCCTTGGATCGAGGCCTCTGACGGGCTGTTGGGCGCATCAGTAATACTCTGTACAATAGCTAGTCGGTACATTCAGCCGTGCAAGGCGCGTAGTCGGAAACGCCGAACATCCCCCAGATATGACAAGTATCATTGTAGCCCCCCAAATAGCACGGTGTTTCTTCGCATCTGGGAATATCGGTTGTGAACGTTGGGGCTTCGACACATTCCATCACTTGACTGTTGTGCAGACCAATACTCTACTTCCTCAAATATTCGCTGTGAAAGCAATGACATCTAAGCCTCACTCTAGGGCCGTGAAATGACTACGTGGAAGATGATTCGTAGTGCGGTAAACCGGGAAGAGAGGTATCTTGGAAGACAGTGGAGTCTTATGGTTTGCATACCTCCTATTTTCAATTTCAATTGCTGCGGCTAGGGCCCTCTGCCGCTTGTCGACTTATTTTGTCTTTCTACGTAGGTAGAGTTCTATCTAATAGGCATAATCTTCTCGGACTGAAGCTCCTTTTCTAAAGGCCAACAGTTGGCCATGTTTATAGCTGGAGAAGCTGATTGTCAAACAACTAAAGCCGGAGCACTAGCTTTCAGCAAATACTCTAACGGAGATATGATCCTTCATGTGCAGGTTACTGAGTTGAGCAAAATCAAGGAAATTGAAAATGATAGCAGGAGAGGGACAATTTGCGATGGGGCTGTTCCAGATACTGGCGGATAGATTCCCACACCCCGTCTGGGATTTGCCAGTAGTGGACATTGTCGTTACAGCCCTAATTTGGCCCTGCGATCTGGTATCCCACTATTTGCTGTACAAATTAGCCTCGTTCAGTTGTTCTAGAATAGTCGGCGATATCACCGCCCCAAGGGTACTTGGACCTACGCTAAGTGCCAAAGGTTGCGACCGAGATCGAACAATCAGCAGGTGTAGTGAGTAATGTGAATGTGACTTGGTAAGTGTACAATCTTCGGTTGGTATTAGAAGTCCGACAGCAAAATAGCTAAGTCTGATCTAGTTTGTACCTGCTCCCAAATGCAATGGTTTGGCCGCATGGTTTAACTATTCTCGTGCTACATACTTGCCACTTACGCCTGGAATCTCCCATTCATTAAGCAAAATATTGTTTCTGGCGAACAACTCCGGCATTCAAGTCTCCGGGAGGCGCAGGATAAATCGCGTCGTGCGTTGTGATTGCCTGATATCGACTAGTAGATGGGCCCTCCCACGGATCCTTTGTACTGCATAATTGATGATCTATAAATCACGCTGCAGAGCTATCGATTTACTACAGAACGCGCCAAAGTCCTCCAACCTTTTGTGCACGGTAAATAGAATGTGACCATAGCATTTATGGGGAGTTAATCAATTAAAGGACTTTGTATCCAAGACTTGTCGAACAATGAACACATAGTCTTGAAAGCTCTATCACGGAGATCTGCACGAAATAGATGATGGAGCTCATGCACGATGCCGTTCTTCAGGATACGTTCCAGCAAGCTCCTTGTTCAGCACTCAGTACCCAAACAGTACATAAACCCGCTTGTGTTGCTAAAGGACCTCATACCCACCGTTTCAGGCCATACGCCCACAACGTACTCCAAACACCACGGTAGAAAGCTTCGTCTTCAGGACCAACATTAGATCATCAACAAGAGAGAAAAATGGAAGCAGGCAGCAAGGATACCATCAGCGGACGCTGGATCGAGACGCTGCGCGTGATCTTTCCAGCGAGCGAGGGCTACACACTCAACGCGACGATTCACGAGCACCGTGGCTCGAAACATCACGAGACCGACGGCAACGACGCCGACAACCTTAAACTCTACGACCGACTGGCCGTCTATTGTTCCGAGCACCAGGGCGAAATCTTCAGCATGGTGCTGGAGTGTAGGGATGTGAGCAGCGCCGGGGCGCCGGAGCCGCGCAGCGGCGTCGCGGATGCTGTGATAAGTGCCCGCTCCAAGTTCTTGTTGAAGGAGTGGCCGGCAACCTTACTGCCCATCCCTACGTACGGAGGGGTCATCGCCTTAAATGATGTGTTCGTGTATGGGTTCCGGTCCTATTGCGTGGAGCCATGGTGTGACTTGGACCTCGTGTGCGATGACCCGCAGCACCTCAAGAAGGAAGAGTATGGACAGCTATTCAGGCTGTTCCTGGATCCAGAACGGGAGGCTCAGGGACTCCGTGTCGACGATGCGGAGTTGTTCACGGTGTGGTTGGCAGAGTGGAAGACGAGCCTGGTTTCGAAGGGACCGGCCGAGAGTCTCTCGTTTGAGTCTCTGATGCAGGAATCTGCTCAGGCTCCAGAGATGGGCGAGTTCATTTGCCCTGCGCTCGAGGACATGAACCTAGGGGAGATACGGATGGGTTCACACTGGCTGCACACTCCCGGAGGCGCTCTTCAAGAGGCCGATGAATTCAGGTTGCCGGATTCCATCAGACGCAGCATAGAGTGCTCCCTCCCGAGCCACGCGCTGGAGACTCTGGAAGGCGTGCCTGCATCCCCTGACGACGACATCTCGTTTGGGTCTCTGTCACCCATCGTGGAGAATACCCGAGAGGATTTCCTATTGGAGTGCCTCGGAGATACTCCGGAGCCAGCCCTGGGCAGTCCTCCAGACTGTATGGATCTGGATCAGGCCATCCACGAGGTCACTCGGAACTCTTTGCTACAGTTCCTCGAAGAGGAAGACCCCGAAGAGTTCGACTAGACGCCTCCCTGCCGATACGCGCATCCGCTGAGCTCGTGGGCGGGTGCCATTCTAGATAATGATTAGTATTTGTACCTACTTGCAACAATGCCAACTTTTGAGATCTTGCTCTTCGCTGAATTAGTTCTCAGTTCTTCCTTTGGGATGTTCTCTCCCCCTACCCTGCAGGCCGAGTTGTGCGCCATGCTGTTTTGAACAACGGCTGCTTGTGACTTGTGTCGGTGTGTCGGGGAGCGTGAAGATGGTGGATTCCAGGCCATTTGGGAGGAACAACCTAATCTATACAGGTGCTGTGGCCGAGGCGCGGTTAGCTGCCTTCAAGCAATCAGAGAAGGCGATGGACTTCAACAGCCTTTACATCACGGTTGCCCTAAGCGGGGTTTAAGCTTGCAAGATGTTTGTCTATCTTCTGACATTCAGTCCTTATCATTCAAGGCTGAAGTTGGGGATTGAGAAATTGTTCGAGATAAACCATGCAATTCTGAAGTATGATAGCAACAATCCTTTCCACGCTACCCACTAGCATGCAACAATGTACAGTACAACATCCCACTAGGTAGCAGAGAGAGAGAGAGAACAAAGGTATAAACCCAGACATGGATACACCGAATAGCACCCAGCATCGTGGTGGCCACCGACAGAAGATATTAAAAGCTTGCATCAACGCAGGACATCCATATAGACACCAGTGGTGCTTATGCTATTTGAAGACAGATTGCAACACTCGCAATATTGAATTCACACAATCGTTTACGCCTCGTTATACCTTCCGAGATAGAGGGCTTTTCCCCGTGGGATGTGGGATGCGGAACATTCCAGGTTATATGGAACAGGCTCGCTAGCTTTACACAAGAGTCAGGGTCCAAAGCAGTTGATGTCTGTGCTAGATGATCGAGTGTTCCGACTGAATACGAGGCAGGCCAGTGTCGGACATCTCGTGTCGTGAGGATACCTTTGCGACACAGATCAAACATAGGTTTCCTACGACGACTGAGCCATTTCCGACACGGGTCTTGGTCTCGGGCTATCAATGGAAGACCAATCTCTCCTCATGTGAGGGAACCTGTGGATGTCTTGTGGAATCATTGTCTGTTATCCCCAGTGAAGATGTTGTCAGTGCCAAGAAGGTAAACAGTGTGGCTACGAACAGAAGCATGACGGGACAAGATTTACGCTCCCTACCCGTACAATGGAAAGACTCATACGACTGTAGTTGATCTGGCCGACCGACCACCGGCAGATCAAATCTTACACCTACACCAGGAACATATACAAGCCGACAGCTACAGGCTTTATATGACAAGGACTCAGACAGGAACTCAAGGAAGGACAGGTCTACTAGTGATCTTCTGGTAATGATACAAGACGATGGATATCCCGAAAAAGGCTTCGAATGAGATACGGCTAAGTAGCCACTTCTTCTGCAGAATCCGGCAACTGCAGAAACTTCTTTCGTACATTGCTCAACCCCTCCAGGTCTCCGGCCTTCGTACCCACAAGCTCCAAGGGAACCCAGCCTGGAGTGAGGCCGTTTTCGAAATCCACTAGCCATACATCCCGGTTGTGATCAATCAGCACGTTATCGGGTTTCACGTCGCCCCAGATACACCCTCCCTGGTGGAGGGAGTAGACCGCCTCGTGGAACTGGTCGGACCACTTGCGTCGTTCAGCCAGAGCAACCTCTGTCTCAATGTCTATCATGCTGCCCAGTGTAGTCGAAGGAATGAACGTCAGTAGGATCCCCGGGAATGGCGACCCGAGGCCGAGAAAGCCTTCCAGCCGGGGCACGCGAAGCGCAGCCGGACATCGCGCCGCAATCTCTCGCAGCCGGAGCGCTTCGGCTTCCAGGATCCCGGTTCCGACTGTCGTGGTCTTGTAGAGGAAGGCCTTGCCCTGAATCCTCACCTCGAAGACCTTATTGACCGGGATAGTGCGGAAGGACTCCACCTGCGACAGCTCGAATCGCGGAACGTCGGCCATTTCTTTGAAAACCGCTGGCACGGGTGGCACATCAAGGAAGCCGACGAAAAGCTCCGGGTGGTCGTGGATCTCGAGGCGCAGGTTTACCTGCGAGCTGCGCAGATGGGCGTCCAAGTCGAGGGTGCGTGGTGGGTTGTGCTCCTTGAAAATGGGCTGTAGGAACGGCATCAAAGTATCCACCAGCTCCTCCCAGCGGTGCTTGTCATGCAGAAAGACACACCTTTCGATGAGGGTCGTCCCATCGGCGACCTTGTAGTCGGGCGGGAGCTTCTTGTACTCCATGCGCACTTGAAACTGGGTATCCTTGGCCACAAAGCAAATGAGAAGCTCGCAGCAACCATCGGGGTAGGCCAATCCGGCCGATCGGATAACTTTGTAGGGAACGTCCGGGGAACTGCATGCTTCGGTCTCGGTCTCGGTCTCGAGATCTTTCGTGTCGACCGGGCCACAGTCCTCGTTGCCATTCGGTGGTCGGCGCGAGTCAACGGAAGGGTCATCCTGCTCTGTCGGTCTTTCGTTTGGGGTGAAATGGAGGCCCCGAGAAATGGGGGAGGGTGTCAAACCTAGGGGACTCCAAAGTGGTTAGTTCTTGTGTTTTTCTTTCAAAGATCTCCCGAAGACAGCAAAACCTACTGTTCCCATCCTGCTCTCTTGACTCGTCATTTGAAATTCTGGGACGCTTGCGTTGATGTTCTGCGGGATCACTTTCTCCAACCATCCTGCTGATGTAGGTGGGTTGTCGGCGGGATTGAGGAAACTGTGAATATCAGATAACAAGGACTACGTGAGGTAGTTAGTTGCTGTGACCAACACAAGAGGGGCAGCAGGGAAACAGAGAAAGAGAATCGTCTTTATCACTTTACTGACTACCTGGCCATTTAAGTCTTAGCTAAAAGGCAAATAGCCTCCTAATTGCCGGGAGATTGGTCTTTGTCGCGTTTAACCTATTAATTCACGGGTCTGGGTTGGAGCAAACCACTCACCAGAACTGCGATTGAACTTAATTATCGATTCAGCCATCTAATCATACCATGCAAGGTTGTACATCTTGTGTGACAAGGGAGAGAAAGAACCAACTCGATTAGCCAAGGTCCTTGTCTGTCAAAGAACAACAACAACTACCAGCAAGCAATTGAAAACACACAGGGAAAAGGTAAAAAAAAAATAAAAATAAAAATAAAAAAACAAATGAAGAAAAGAAAAAAAAAAGAAATGAAGAGAAGAAAAAAAAAAGGGAACGAAGAAGAAAGAAAGAAAGAAAGAAAGAAAGAAAAAACGGGAAAAAAAAAAAGAGCAGAGCAGAGCAGACCAGATCCGCCAGTGCCTACTTGGTCCGACGAAAGCTGGCCAATATAGAGTTTTAGAAGCATGCGTCTGAGAAGTGAGTTGGAGACATGGATTTCCAAAAAAAATACCGTCTAATAGCACAGAAGGCCCTTCCACGTGCCAACGCGATCCAGAGCCATCAATGTATCAATAAGACAAAAATTGTAGTGTACTGCGTTAGTGGCCATCTTTCTTAGATGGATCAACTAAGTCCCTATATTTACTTCTCCCCGTAAAGGGTAATGCAATACACTTACCTAGTATGAATTACTAAACTGCGCTCAGTAGACAAGACAGTTCTGCCAGTAATTTGGGAAGTATGGAAGAATACTAGTATACAAGGAGTAGGAACCCTGGGAGGGAGCCCGATTTCCGCCTCTGTTGTGATTGTTATCATTGGGTGCGTAGCTCTTTGTTTCACAAATACAAAAGGTTTCAGTATTACCTTGTATTGTACGCAGTCTTCTGTACAGTACAGTAAGTTGTAGCCAGGTTTACACGGAAATAAACAAAGATCCAGCAAGTCACCATTACATGACCATGATAATTAACCACATTGTACTCTTATTACAAACCGCCGGATGACTATTTACATGTACAGTACATGATTTCCCCACAATCTTGGTCACAGAGACGACAACGAGGTAAACCGAAGAGAAATGATACCCACATCACAAGCACCCACTAGAGACATACAGCGCCCGAAACCGCGACTGCTCCCGCGCCAGCAGAGCGTCTGGCCGCTCAAACTCGACGAGGCGCCCATTCTCCATCACCGCCACCTTGTCGAACCACGCGAGATTATCATACCGGTGGACGATCGACACGACCGTGCAATCCGCGAACTCCTCCGAAACGACCCGATCCATCAGGGCTTGTGTCGCATGGTCAACCCTGCAATACCCGGCATGGAGGTTATGCGTTAGCCCTACCCTTTCCTCAAAAGCCCCACCCCTGCGGAGCCAACAGCAAATGCCAGGGAAGCAAGAACAACATACCGACTCATCGCCTCGTCGAGAATCAACACCTTGCTTTGTCGGGCGACGGCGCGCGCCAGCGCGAGCAGCTGCCCTTGTCCCGCGGACCACCGCGTCGGATCGAGTGTGGCGTCCACGCCGCCTAGTCGTGCCACGAGATCAGTAAGATGTGTTGTATCGAGGATGCGGGCCAGAGCGGTGTCGGAGAGGGTGTGGGTTGGGTCGATGTTGAAGCGGATGGTGCCGGGGAGGTAGCACGGTTCTTGGGGGACGACGCTCAGGCGAGCGCAGATGTCCTGTGAAGGGACGGAGGTGATATCGAGGCCGTCAATGTGGATTGTGCCGGTCGCGCAGTGGGGTCGGAGGAGTCCAGTCAGACACAGCAGTAACGAGGATTTGCCGCTGCCCGAGCGGCCGCAGAGTGCTATTTTCTGGCCGGGTTCGATGCGCATGCTTACGCCGTTGAGGACGGGGTTAGATCTTGAGGGTGAGTTATTGAGGTCAGCCCTATCTTCTGCATTGGGTACAAGGAGAAAGGGCGTGGGGAGTGGAACGTACTTGTATGCAGCACTCATGTTCTGCATCTCGATGGCGCCACGGCTGGGCCAGGCTGTGTGCTGTGGAAGGGCGGCCTTGCCGCTGGATTCGGAGGGGGTGTGGGCGGCGAACGACTGGATCCGTGAGACGGCTCCGAGGCAGGACTCAGTCATCGACCAGAATTTGAGCAGCCGAGCCAAAGACTGCGTGAAGCTCATGAGGGTCACGACGGCGGTGCCAGATGACCCCGGGTCGAAAGAGTCTCGCATCAAAACCGTCAGCACGGTTAAAAGCACGATGAGACCGCTGGCAATTAGGTCCATGGCGAGGGTCAGCCATTGTTGCACCATGAAAAGCGTGTATGTGCATTTCTGTGAATTGTCCACCATCGAAAGATTGGCTTCCTCGAGGTGGGTGCGCCATTGGAGCGCCCGAATGCTGGCACCGCCGCTGAGGGCCTCGGAGAGGTGCTGGAACAGAGGGGCCTTGGCCTCGATGCTGAGGAGGCGGATCTGTCGCGACGTGCGCAGGTAGCATTTCTGCAGGAGGAAGCAGACTAGCAATAGGGGTGGGACAGCCAGGGACATGTACTTGGCTACCACGAAGAGGATCGCTAACTTTAGGAGACACGACCCGATGGCTTGGCGTGAGCAGCTGGTCAGCACGGAGATAGTCTTTGGATTCTGGTCACAGGTTGCACTCACCCTTGGTTGCGTTGACAGCTGCCAGTGGTAATGTCATATCCACTAGCTCCAGGTCCTGACTGAATCTATTATGTGTATGATAGGCATGAGTTAGCGTGCTTGAGCCATGGCCAAATGAGCGTCATCTTACCGATTTAAGATATCACCCGAAGTGGTATCATTTAGCCAAGAAAGAGGAGCACTGAACGTGTTAGGTCTGCTTGTGATGCAAGTGAGCCATCAACTGCGTACCTCATTATGCTACTCAGAAGGTCCGCGTGTAGACGTTCTGCACTAATGGATATCATGCGTATCAGGTAGACCCTGTTGGGCGTTAGTCCAGGGATCAGAGTGGGGACAGGCAGATCCTAAGAGGAGTAGTCGAGTACTAACCAAGAGCCTGCTGCGCCCACCACAACAGTGCCGACTGCAAAGGCAATAAAAACGCCCAGATACATCCCCGAGAGCTGGCTTGAGCCTTGCGAATCTGCATTCGACCACCACTTCAACCAGAGATCTAAGAGCAAGCAATAACACGGAGTCAGTTGCGGCGGTCTATTGATGCCACTCAAGAACGAAGAGTAGGCGCGCTTACTGGGAAAGTCTTGACAGAACGCGGCGATGAGGATTAGAATGACGTAGAGCGATGCAAGCGTTCGACCGGTAGATTTGAGGTAGTAGGAATAGCCAGCTCCAACTTCGGTATGGGAAGGCTGTGTTGAGTCATGAGCGCAACTGTTTTCGTCGGAAGACAATTCGTCCTCCTCAGGGTTTACGCAGCGTTCAGATGCTATCGGCCATTTTTTGGCAGCGTCTTCATCAGCGTCCGTCGAGAGAGCTTGGGCTTCTGGTGACTGCGTTGAAGTTGAAGACAGAATATGCTGCGCCACTCTGCCATTTTCAAGGACGAATACCTCGTCTACGAGTGCTGCAACCTTGGCTGTTCAATCCCAAGCAAACCGAACACGTCAGCGTAGCTTGCAGTTGAGACACAGAGGGGTACTTACAGTTATGCGTGGATAGTAGCACCGTGATCCCCTTGCAACGAAAATACCCTCTGTCCGCGCTCAGCAGGCGCTGGCAGATTCTATCGATGGTGACAGCATCGAGGCCACTGAAAATATCATCCAGAACAACAAGTTCGGAGCGCGAATAAACCGCACGAGCAAGAGCCTATGAAAGGAACCAACGTGTAAGAGACTGAGACACAAAAGCGGTAGGACGCAGAACTCACGACACGTTGCTTCTGCCCTCCACTGAGGGCATTCCCCTGCCCACCGACACGAGTCAAGTCCCCGTCCGGCAGGGCTTGTAGATCCTCGCTCACCCCGCACATCCAGAGCACCTGGTGATACCAGGCGGGCTGCATTCCCATGGGGCCAACGATGTTGTCACGGACGGACCCCTCAACCAGCCAAGGTACCTGGCTGCAATAGGCCGTCGGCACACGGGGCGTATGGATGTATCCGTAATCAACGACAGTTTCGCCCAAAACGCTTTCCAGAAGCGTGGTCTTGCCGGCGCTGACCGGGCCCACGATCGCAACTATATCACCTTTATGCACATCGAGATCAATCTCGTGAAGTACCTCAGGTCCGGATGCGTTCCACTTAACTGTGGCATTCCGCAGGGCGATTAGAGGGCCCTTCTCTGTGTCTGCAGATGGAACCTCGGAGCCCAAGCGGCCTAGCAGCGATGAGCTTGACGACACGAGTTTGGAGTCGAGCTGAAGAGGTTGCGCGTGTTGGTGGGCGAAATATTCCTGCAACCTGGCGAATGAACCCAAGCATTGGAACAGAGCAGGTAGTGCCTGGATCAGCGTAAGAACTGGCAGTGTAATTAGGCTCATGAGAGACAGTGCGGTGAACGCCTGTGCGGGATCGAGTGGGCTGCTTTTGTTTGCGGTCGAGACAATGGTGAATAAGGCAAATGAGGCAGCGGGAGAAACCAGCCATGAGAAATTGGCTATAGACGTTGTCAGAATTGGTTGCATAAACCCTGTACCAAAGAAGGTCAAGTCATTCCACTCACCAATGAAGACCTCCCAGCACAGCAGGGACCGGAATTTGTGGGAGGTGGCAATCTCGATCGACCGACAACGGGAAATGATAGTCTCAATATGCCCCCCAAGACCAAGCAGTTTGATGGATTTGATATCATTGAGCATTCGTCGAGTGACATCGATCCGGCCTTCCACTCTCTCAATCCACTCGCGCTGAGCTTGATTCTTCAATTTGCACACCTTTGCAATAACAAGTATACACACTTTGCGGGAAATGGGTCAGTCTGTGTCACGGCAAATGTAGAGTGGAACCTACAGAGAGATAGAACCACAGGGACGATGCAGGAAACGGCAAGCTGTCTTCCCAGCAGCCAAACGGCTAGACCTATGTCGATCGGCGAGGCCCATATCTCGTGCACGTCCCGGAGGCCCGTAGCGATTCGCTCCACGTCCGTCCCCAGCAAGGTGAGTGCAGACGTACACCCTTGATCTGCAGCCCCGTGCTCAAGGGTTTGGCTGTAGACTGTAGCAAGTAAGGCCCCCCGTACCCCAATCACGAAGCGATACGCCTGTCGGTTGTAAAGGGCCTTGGATGCCTGGACAATGTTATTAATTTTGTATCTGAGAAGCTTTGTCCGCCGGAGGCAGAAGTCCAGAGCGCCACAGGCGGCCGTTACAGAAATAGCACTTACTGCAAGCCCAAGATAGACTATTGCCGATGCTCCAATCAAGCCATACCCCTTGTTTCGCGTCATCTGGTTATCAGGAGACCCCACAAACTTGATCATGGCGTTGACCAGAAGGGGTTGCATCAGGGTGAACGCCGAGAAGCACAATCGAGGAATGACTCCATGTAGGAATTCGGTTTTGAACGTCCGAAATACCGTGAGGAAGAGTTGGTTTCTGCGTGATTGGTACACTGTGGGAGGGAGGAGTGGATAGTCAGCCATAGTATC